AATCCGGATATGGTGTACAAAAACCTTTGCACCTTTTGTTTGCGGTATGTTATCTTTTCCGCAAGTTTATTGTTTTCTGTTTAGTATTAAAAATTTAATTAAGATCCATTGATTACATCTGTGATCCGTTTATTTGGCAATCGCCAATGGCAGTCAGCAGGGTTTAAAAACATTTGTTGTTCGACCTGTTAGTCAAATGCGTTTTGTTAAAATATACTTTTTCACTCTTTTGTTCTTTTGGAAAATGTTGTTTGTGCTGTATTTAGACCCCTCTAACAAGAAATTTGTTTTGCATGCACACGTATAAAAATTGCGGTTTTTATCCAACGCAATCATAGGTTTGAACGTTGTTTTCAATTTAGACTTGTTTATATTTTTTTCGTTTGGGCTTGTATTATATTTGCCTTCGGGTTTATATGATCCGTTCATCCTATTTTGACTCCTCAAAATTCAAGAGTCTATCCCAAATTGAAGTAAATTGTATGGCTTTCCAAATACCGTTTCGATTCCTAACATCACTGAAGAGACATTAATTGTCGAAATCCGGATATGGTGTACAAAAACCTTTGCACCTTTTGTTTGCGGTATGTTATCTTTTCCGCAAGTTTATTGTTTTCTGTTTAGTATTAAAAATTTAATTAAGATCCATTGATTACATCTGTGATCCGTTTATTTGGCAATCGCCAATGGCAGTCAGCAGGGTTTAAGAACATTTGCTGTTCGACCTGTTAGTCAAATGCGTTTTGTTAAAATATACTTTTTCACTTTTTTGGTCTTTTGGAAAATGTTGTTTGTGCTGTATTTAGACCCCTCTAACAAGAAATTTGTTTTGCATGCACACGTATAAAAATTGCGGTTTTTATCCAACGCAATCATAGGTTTGAACGTTGTTTTCAATTTAAACTTGTTTATATTTTTTCGTTTGGGCTTGTATTATATTTGCCTTCGGGTTTATATGATCCGTTCATCCTATTTTGACTCCTCAAAATTCAAGAGTCTATCCCAAATTGAGGTAAATTGTATGGCTTTCCAAATACCGTTTCGATTCCTAACATTACTGAAGAGACATTAATTGTCGAAATCCGGATATGGTGTACAAAAACCGTTGCACCTTTTGTTTGCGGTATGTTATCTTTTCCGCAAGTTTATTGTTTTCTGTTTAGTATTAAAAATTTAATTAAGATCCATTGATTACATCTGTGATCCGTTTATTTGGCAATCGCCAATGGCAGTCAGCAGGGTTTAAGAACATTTGTTGTTCGACCTGTAAGTCAAATGCGTTTTGTTAAAATATACTTTTTCACTTTTTTGGTCTTTTGGAAAATGTTGTTTGTGCTGTATTTAGACCCCTCTAACAAGAAATTTGTTTTGCATGCACACGTATAAAAATTGCGGTTTTTATCCAACGCAATCATAGGTTTGAACGTTGTTTTCAATTTAGACTTGTTTATATTTTTTCGTTTGGGCTTGTATTATATTTGCCTTCGGGTTTATATGATCCGTTCATCCTATTTTGACTCCTCAAAATTCAAGAGTCTATCCCAAATTGAAGTAAATTGTATGGCTTTCCAAATACCGTTTCGATTCCTAACATCACTGAAGAGACATTAATTGTCGAAATCCGGATATGGTGTACCAAAATCTTTGCACCTTTTGTTTGCGGTATGTTATCTTTTCCGCAAGTTTATTGTTTTCTGTTTAGTATTAAAAATTTAATTTAGATCCATTGATTACATCTGTGATCCGTTTATTTGGCAATCGCCAATGGCAGTCAGTAGGGTTTAAGAACATTTGCTGTTCGACCTGTTAGTCAAATGCGTTTTGTTAAAATATACTTTTTCACTTTTTTGGTCTTTTGCAAAATGTTGTTTGTGCTGTATTTAGACCCCTCTAACAAGAAATTTGTTTTGCATGCACACGTATAAAAATTGCGGTTTTTATCCAACGCAATCATAGGTTTGAACGTTGTTTTCAATTTAGACTTGTTTATATTTTTTCGTTTGGGCTTGTATTATATTTGCCTTCGGGTTTATATGATCCGTTCATCCTATTTTGACTCCTCAAAATTCAAGAGTCTATCCCAAATTGAGGTAAATTGTATGGCTTTCCAAATACCGTTTCGATTCCTAACATCACTGAAGAGACATTAATTGTCGAAATCCGGATATGGTGTACAAAAACCTTTGCACCTTTTGTTTGCGGTATGTTATCTTTTCCGCAATTTTATTGTTTTCTGTTTAGTATTAAAAATTTAATTAAGATCCATTGATTACATCTGTGATCCGTTTATTTGGCAATCGCCAATGGCAGTCAGCAGGGTTTAAGAACATTTGTTGTTCGACCTGTTAGTCAAATGCGTTTTTGTTAAAATATACTTTTTCACTTTTTTGGTCTTTTGGAAAATGTTGTTTGTGCTGTATTTAGACCCCTCTAACAAGAAATTTGTTTTGCATGCACACGTATAAAAATTGCGGTTTTTATCCAACGCAATCATAGGTTTGAACGTTGTTTTCAATTTAGACTTGTTTATATTTTTTCGTTTGGGCTTGTATTATATTTGCCTTCGGGTTTATATGATCCGTTCATCCTATTTTGACTCCTCAAAATTCAAGAGTCTATCCCAAATTGAGGTAAATTGTATGGCTTTCCAAATACCGTTTCGATTCCTAACATCACTGAAGAGACATGAATTGTCGAAATCCGGATATGGTGTACAAAAACCTTTGCACCTTTTGTTTGCGGTATGTTATCTTTTCCGCAAGTTTATTGTTTTCTGTTTAGTATTAAAAATTTAATTAAGATCCATTGATTACATCTGTGATCCGTTTATTTGGCAATCGCCAATGGCAGTCAGCAGGGTTTAAGAACATTTGTTGTTCGACTTGTTAGTCAAATGCGTTTTGTTAAAATATACTTTTTCACTTTTTTGGTCTTTTGGAAAATGTTGTTTGTGCTGTATTTAGACCCCTCTAACAAGAAATTTGTTTTGCATGCACACGTATAAAAATTGCGGTTTTTATCCAACGCAATCATAGGTTTGAACGTTGTTTTCAATTTAGACTTGTTTATATTTTTTCGTTTGGGCTTGTATTATATTTGCCTTCGGGTTTATATGATCCGTTCATCCTATTTTGACTCCTCAAAATTCAAGAGTCTATCCCAAATTGAGGTAAATTGTATGGCTTTCCAAATACCGTTTCGATTCCTAACATCACTGAAGAGACATTAATTGTCGAAATCCGGATATGGTGTACAAAAACCTTTGCACCTTTTGTTTGCGGTATGTTATCTTTTCCGCAAGTTTATTGTTTTCTGTTTAGTATTAAAAATTTAATTAAGATCCATTGATTACATCTGTGATCCGTTTATTTGGCAATCGCCAATGGCAGTCAGCAGGGTTTAAGAACATTTGTTGTTCGACCTGTTAGTCAAATGCGTTTTGTTAAAATATACTTTTTCACTCTTTTGTTCTTTTGGAAAATGTTGTTTGTGCTGTATTTAGACCCCTCTAACAAGAAATTTGTTTTGCATGCACACGTATAAAAATTGCGGTTTTTATCCAACGCAATCATAGGTTTGAACGTTGTTTTCAATTTAGACTTGTTTATATTTTTTTCGTTTGGGCTTGTATTATATTTGCCTTCGGGTTTATATGATCCGTTCATCCTATTTTGACTCCTCAAAATTCAAGAGTCTATCCCAAATTGAAGTAAATTGTATGGCTTTCCAAATACCGTTTCGATTCCTAACATCACTGAAGAGACATTAATTGTCGAAATCCGGATATGGTGTACAAAAACCTTTGCACCTTTTGTTTGCGGTATGTTATCTTTTCCGCAAGTTTATTGTTTTCTGTTTAGTATTAAAAATTTAATTAAGATCCATTGATTACATCTGTGATCCGTTTATTTGGCAATCGCCAATGGCAGTCAGCAGGGTTTAAGAACATTTGTTGTTCGACCTGTTAGTCAAATGCGTTTTGTTAAAATATACTTTTTCACTTTTTTGGTCTTTTGGAATATGTTGTTTGTGCTGTATTTAGACCCCTCTAACAAGAAATTTGTTTTGCATGCACACGTATAAAAATTGCGGTTTTTATCCAACGCAATCATAGGTTTGAACGTTGTTTTCAATTTATATTTTTTCGTATGGGCTTGTATTATATTTACCTTCGGGTTTATATTATCCGTTCATCCTATTTTGACTCCTCAAAATTCAAGAGTCTATCCCAAATTGAGGTAAATTGTATGGCTTTCCAAATACCGTTTCGATTCCTAACATCACTGAAGAGACATTAATTGTCGAAATCCGGATATGGTGTACAAAAACCTTTGCACCTTTTGTTTGCGGTATGTTATCTTTTCCGCCAGTTTATTGTTTTCTGTTTAGTATTAAATTTATAATTAAGATCCATTTATTACATCGGTGATCCGTTTATTTGGCAATCGCCAATGGCAGTCAGCAGGGTTTAAGAACATTTGTTGTTCGACCTGTTAGTCAAATGCGTTTTGTTAAAATATACTTTTTCACTTTTTTGGTCCTTTGGAAGATGTTGTTTGTGCTGTATTTAGACCCCTCTACCAAGAAATTTGTTTTGCATGCACACGTATAAAAATTGCGGTTTTTATCCAACGCAATCATAGGTTTGAACGTTGTTTTCAATTTCGACTTGTATATATAGCGAGCTACATATATATGACCATGTATTTACAGAACAAAATTTGACACTATCAAATTTGGTAATGGAGTAATAATCATTATATAACTGGGCGTAATATAAGGGCAGGATTATTCGTGTGAAAAACAAAAGTTCTCTGATTTAGTAATTTATTTTACAATTCACCTAAACAGATAACACAATGTTGCGGTTATTAAGTAGCTTAGTTTACGATCTGCTGATCACAGCGATTATGTTAGCAATCAAGGTAGCCTTTTATATTCTATAAATCTATATTTTATTACAATATTTGGATCTTTCATTCTGATTCTTATGCACGTACCTTTGGCTTGCCATTTTCTTTACAAGTTTACCTGGAATGTAAATAAATGTGTACATATAAATTTACATCAAAGGTGAAGTGTATATCCGATATACCTTTATACACTAGAGGTTTTACATGCACAATCATGTCGATTTATCAGAACTATGAAATCGTTTTACTTACCTGAAATATATTTTGACTTGCATATGAATTAAACGTTCATTACACACATTACATTTAATCTATATGTTGTATCTTGCATTAAACCTTCCAAAGAATTTTATAAGAGAATATTGTTTTCCGCGTTATGTCCCTTTAATGATATTATACTCGGAAACTATAAAAACGCACTTACGCTGTTCAAATTAAAAGAGAGTATCCATTTTCTCACATACACGTATATTCTTAGAAAGCATGAATATCTAGACCGAAAAATGACGAATCCTATTTAATATCAATAAATGATTTTTTGATATTAAAGAATGATTTTTTTAATAATAAGAATGATTTTTTTAATATTAAGAATGAATTTTTAATATTTAAAATTCATTTTTAATATTAGATATTCAGTCGGATGTATTACTATTAATAAACGAATTTTTAATATTGAAAAAAATGTTGATTTTTTAATATAAAAAAATCAACATCTATGTTACCTTAGTGTTTAAGTTAAGGCAAAATAATCATAATCTGCTATACGCTCTTATGATGCTATGGAATAAGTCGGCCTGGAGACCTTGTATGATAAGTCAACTAAGACCGTCTTAAAAGTCAACCCGTACCGTCTATTATTTCAACTAAGACAAACTAATAAAACAAAGTTAAACTTTGGGCTATTTAAAGATTATAAATGATTAAATGTCACATTTCACTGAAAAGTTTCCTTTTAATGCTGCTGAATTTGCAAAAAAATATCAAAATAATTTGTTCAATGTGAATTCAAATTTCTACTAATCTGTTTTTTTTTTGTTTTTTTTTTATTAAATTGATTTATTCCCAATAAATTGTTATTACACAGAGATATGTCTCGCATGTCTTCATAAAATTCAGAAAAAGATATTTCAAAGTTTGGTGACTATGTAAAACACATCTATCCCATCGAACTTGAGATAAAGGATACAACAGATACAGTTAAGTCTCTCCATATATCGACTGACAAAAGGGATGATTTTAGCTTCCAAATTGTTAACTTTCCATTTCTATGTAGCAACATTCCAGCAGCGCCTGCATTCGGAGTATATATCTCCCAGTGATACGATATTCCAGGGCTTGTATTTCCTATCATGATTTCCTTGATAGAGGTTTGCTGCTCACAAGGAACTATTAAACCAAGAGTTCAAGTGGTAAAGTTCAAATCATTACTTCGTAAATTTTGCGGACGCCATCACGAGTTGGTTGACCATTATTGATTATCTGTTTCACAGATGACCACGGATATGTTCCAATTGACGTGACCACAATCCCGTCTTCTTTTCCTCGAATGTGACCTATCGAATTAAAATCATCGCCGGATTTGTACTTGCATGAGCATCACGACGGGTGCCACATGTGGAGCAGGATCTGCGTACCCTTCCGGAGCACCTGAGATCACCCCTAGTTTTGTGGTGGGGTTCTTGATGCTCAGTCTTTAGTTTTCTGTGTTGTGTTTTGTGTACTGTTGTTTGTCTTTTGGTCTTTTTCTTTTTTTGCCAATGCGTTGTCAGTTTATTTTTCGACTTGTGAGTTTGAATGTCCCTTTGGTATCTTTAGCCTCTTTCGTATACAGAGGAGAGGAACGGTTAATCGAGGATAAATTTGTTGAGAGTAATTTTTACTTACTTTAATCTGTAGAGAGTAAATTTTCAGACCATTTCTTTGTCGAATTTATGATAATGTCCTAACTCAACCAACAGACTAAAAATTTGATAAAAAGGATAATCGATGGAATGAATTTGCATGCGATCAAATGATGATTTTCCTTGAATTCAACATACTTGTATTGAATAATTATTAAAAAAAAAATCCCATGCTTGCTATATTATAAGATAAGAATTGCTGTGTGTCATAGGATGTTTTACCGAATTATTATAAAACTAAGTTACTTTTCTGTTAACCTTACTACTTGACCTTTAATGGAATAATGATAAATAATGTTACACAAAATAAACGCATACAATTTTCTTCCTTAACGTACGTGCACAATCAAATAATGTCTAATTTATGGTCGTCTTATAGTTCCTGTTTTAATGCTTAAGATCATGAATGAATACTAAATGACGGGAAAGTATTTGTAGCAGTTGATCAGGGACCTCGTAGCGTAAGTATTGTTTACCTTGGAATACATTCAAACTCTGTATTGATTTATTGTATTGAATTATAACTTCAGTTAACAATACGAATGCTTTACCAGATAATTCGTCCCTGTGAGAAATTGAGCTAAAATTAGTTTTACCGCTTATTTCAATGATGTACAAACATGATAATCTACGTAATTCAGTTAAAATGTTTTTTTATGATGGTCTGACGATTTTAAATACTTAAAAGCATTTCAGAAATACTGCTGATTTTATATCAATTTTATGATAAGACTTTATAAAACCTGTTCGAATTGTTGTTTCGGATTTTACCTGTTTTCTTGAGCGACAGTATTCAACAGATGTGGCCACTTAAGCTAGTTTCCTGTAGTAGCGAGACAACTTGACCTTGTTTTTTAAAAGCATGTGTCGTCTTTTGTTTTCTTCTTTGAATAAGTGGCCAGCTGCACTTCCTCCGATTTTTTCAAACTGTATGTTTAACTTTCGCGGCATATTGTCTAGATAGTCAAATGGTCGAATGTTTGTTCGAAAAACTGGTTTAAAGCCACATAATTTAATGACTGTACCAAGTGGGGCTGTCTAGACCATATTCCCTTGCTCGTGTTTGTCTTTCATTAAACGAGAATTTTATTCGAAGGAGTCTGGGTTTTTTTGTTGTTTTTTTTTATTTGGTCTTTTATACTGTCTAATAATTTTGATAATTAAATTTTTATGTTTTACACAAAATCTTAACCCATTTTAATTATGAAATATTCAGTTTATCGATTAAAACAAATACTGTTACTATAAAGGCCAAAACTTTTAGATATTATTGCCTATCTAAGATTATTACATTTTTAGTTTTTTTTTCGTGAAACAGATACTTTTATGAACGTTCTCGATCATCTAACAAACATGACTAACCTTCGAACATGTTTGATATGCCTGTTTTTAATACTAACTGTTTTGACGTGTCCTATTATATAAAATATATACATATGATGTCAACTCTTGTAAAAATGAGCATAGAGCATCACATGATTTGTTTTGTTTAATTTTGAATTAGTACATTGTTTTAAAACATTGTTGTACTCACCAGTTGCTAAGACAATTTTGCGTATACAGCCTTACTATTTGTATGATAATTAAATCCTTTCCATGCATCATCGAAAAATAATCCTTGATAAAACTAAAAATCCTAAGTCAGCTACAAATTAAACAATCACGTATTTTATTGTAAGTGAACTATTGTAAATTTATACGACGGGTTTGTTGGATTTTTATAAAAGTATATGTGTGGTTTACGTAAATACTGATCGCAATAGTGAATCAAAAGATTCGGGTGTAATCTTTAGCGGTTGGTATATGTCTTGGTTTAACAACAAATAGGTTTAACATTCAATTTCGATCAAAAGCACCAACGTTATTTCAGTCTATACTTTTGTATGATAATTAAATCCTTTCCATGCATCATCGAAAAATATTCCTTGATAAAACTAAAAATCCTAAACATTGCAACACCTTCTGTTGACAAGAGTATGGAAATTTTGTAGACGATGCATTTGTTAACAAAGTTCTATAACTCTAAAATTGAAAAAAATATTCAATCTGGAGTATTGCATCCTTGAAACTTGTTAAATGTACAACTGTCAAAGTTAACATAAAATATCTCTGTTCACCATTTAGTATGTCTGTTTGTTTTGCTCAAACATTGTTAAAATAATCAAATTCTATGCGATTGCATACAAGTGAGAGGTAAAGCTAGCCATAAAACCAGGTTTAATCCACCATTTTCTACACAAGTCATGGATATGGCAGTTGTTTTCCACTCCTTTGATGTATTTGAGCTTTTGATTTTGCCATTTGATAAGGGACTTCAAGTTTCTAATTTTCCCTGAAGTTCGGTGTTTTAGTTATTTTACTTTTTTATAACCTGATTTTGATGTGTAATAAAGAAGTCGGACACTCGGATTTATGACGCACCCGTTCTCGCTTATTTTGTAATTCATGTGATTCCTTCAGTTTTTATTTTTATCTTTGATTTGAATCTTCTTAATGGATTTATATGATATATGGACATTGACAAACTACTTTTGCCTCTAATATATTTTGAATAGATAAATTGCATACACAAATTCTTTCATATTCTGTTATGGTTTATGTATTAACCTTTTGGTATATTTTGTCAGAATAAATTCTCAATTGTGTTGCGTTATCTCACTATTATCACACACACATTCACGCAAACAAATAGATACTACTGTTTCCATTTCTTTGAATTAAAACAAAATCTAAGTTAACATAACCAAAAGAAATTTTACCAAGTTTACATAACTTTATTACCTACATTTGTACGATCATCTGAATATAAATATATAAATTACTGCAAATATAATTATATCTGATTAACTAGTTTATAACAAAAATACTATAGTTCTTGTGGAAACTAAACGTTGAACATGTCACAATAAAAAAGTGAATAAAAAGTAAAACGTATTAATTCTGTCCATTTTTTTCTGCATGATCTTCAGTTTTCTCTTGAAGTTCGGGTTTACCATCCGTATTGTCTGTCACGTGATCTGCAGTTTGCTCTTGACGTTCTGGTTTACCACCCGTTTTGTCTGTCACATGATCTTCATTTTTCTCTTGAAGTTCGGGTTTACCATCCGTTTTGTCTGTCACAAGATCTTCCGTTTTCTCTTGAAGTTCGGGTTCATCATCCGGCTTGTCAGTCATTTTGTATTGGACAACACCTTTATATAGCAGCGGACCATATTCGTGTAAATACATTGAAGGCCACACAACGTAGTCAATCTCATCACCACTCTTTGTGTATCCCCGAAAGTCATCCATATTTTGCTTTGCTTCAAATGTATACACTAAGGGTGGATCACTGATGGCACTATACCAACAAAGTTCGATGCATTTATCTACATATGGTTGTAAGTCCTCAACAAGTCCAGTATCTTTTTGTCTTTGCCAGTAGCTCTGCAATGAGAATATTCAAAGGAGGTTACAACTTTGTGAAAGTATAGCTATTCATGTCAAGCAATCAGGGATGACAAGATTACGTTTAACCTTCAAAATTACCCAAATCAATTCATCAAAAGGAATACAATACTAATCTTTTGGCCGAATGCTATTCATACAGTGGAAACATTTTTTCAAAAAAATGCACGTTAATACATATTGATGATACAGTATTGAAAATAATAAATCAAATTTTCAAACATTTTTATTGCTGAATACTACATTTTCGTTTTCTTTATTAGCAAGAATCTAACTAACTTTAGACTTAGAAATATAAATTCCATTTTCTCACCTTTTCTCAATACTTAAAAAAATCGATGAATGTAAATTATTGCATTATGTATACAAAAACTAAATTTGAAACTCAACTTATTCACCTCACACAATGTTGGTATAAACTGTTCAGCGAACGATCTTCTTGTTTCTTTTATTATTTTACTGTTTTGAACTGGAAATTCATTTTTCACCGTTTTCTGAAATTCAAAACATATTGTTTAAATTTATTAAATATTTTTTCCGATTAAGGAAGTGTCTTATTTTCCTGTATAGCATGGAATGGAAAACAACTGCCATGTTCCTGACTTGATGATGTGCTCATATGTGCATATAAAATGTGAATTTAATTTAGTAGCTAATCTGGCTTCTTCATGTTTGGGAGGCCGGTGCCTTAGGAAAGAATTGCATTTTTTTTTCCAAAAATGGAGTGAAAAGCAACGCACATACTAGTAGCATAAACACCAAAGGCCTTACAAATGAGACAGTTGCATAGACATATTTTGAATTGAGTAAGGATGAAGCTCTATTAGGCCTTAAACGCTTTAGTAAACAAGGATGCATCTACAAAATAAACACAGAATGGAAACTTCTGTCTGGATCATAAATAAGCGTAGGTGAAAAAACTGTCAAAATAGGTGCAGTTTGGGTACCCTCATGTTAAATGTATTTTGTCTATTTGTTATACATTTGTATTTATAAATTTATAAATGGCGTCTGTCGTATTGAATGGAGGTTTTTGTCACATTCATTAAAAATAGAGGCACTATGATGCATTTTTAAGAAAATTTTCACTTCTGTAATCAGCAATCATATTTCAATGGCATCATAAAAATAATATTATACCGGTATCATATTATTCGGTATTACTTGAACGGCACTTTAAAAAATAAAAAAAAACGAACTCCAAGGTAAATTAAAAACATCCTGACAGAATTAAATGGATTTATTAATATTTGTCCAGTTTAAGTTTTTATGTAATGATGGAAGCAAGTTTAATGGATAGTTGTGTCATCAGTCAGATTTTTTTAGGAGGTAACGAAATGATTTCTCAAATGACATTTTGATAAAAACAAATAACATTCCTATAAGTACCAAGTCAGGAATATGACAACGACACCCCCCCCCCTCACACACACACACACACCGGTACTTTATAATCCGTTCGTTTGGTGTGATTGAGCTTTTGATTTTGCCATTTGATAAGGGACTGTCAGTTTTGAATTTTCCTTGGAGTATTTTTGTTATTTTACTTTTCATGATCCATTGAAGGTATTTTAATAAATAATGGAGATCTTGTTTGGTTCAAATTGGCCCATTTGGTTTCAGTCTTGAAGCCTCTTCAAACAACACGAATAAAGCACATGGCGGATAACACAAGATGAATGTCAAGTAAAGACAAAATCTCACACGGATGAGATAAAATATTCAGCTTTAATAAAATATTGCAATACCTCCTCCTTTGATTCCTTTTCTTCAAGAGAAAGCAGTATGTTATGCAGGTCTGACAGCTGCATTTTTGCAACATCACAACAAAAGTCCCAGCAACTCTGAAATGTTTCGATTGCCATGTTTAGATGTTTGAATGTCAGGTTGGTAACATTGTGGTATGATAACGCGTATAGAACTTATCTGACATGGACATACAGCATTTGAAAAAAGCAGATAGAACAAATTTCATAAAGATTGATATCTTTTACCATATGTATAACGCAATGTTTGTATTGAGACTTGTCAAGAAATATCATACAATGAAAGCTTTCTTTTGCGATTTAAATTGGTTAAAAAACATCAAATAACCATAAGTTTAATTAAATACCACAAATAAAAGAATTTATGTTTTCTTTTTTTTTTAAATTCATTTTCTGAATAACCTACTTTGAAAATAGCTATTAGTTTTTCACATGTCATTTTCTCGTCCATGCCTTCGGTGTTGATAATTTCGTAGGCATCCGTCCAAGAATTGTCGTATAGACTATTAAATTTCTCTGAAAGTTTCTGTGGACGTTGAGGGTCACTTAAATCTGTTATGTAAGGATTTCCATCGGTCATTCTTTCTCCTGCTATTTTACTTAAGCTATAAAAGAATATACTAAAGAAAGATCACACGAAGATGAACATAAATATTTCTTCTGTTCCGTATTAACTGTGTTCTTAAAAGGATAATATTTTACATCCAATATATACTTGGATGACAAAAGATTGCTTAAATAGTATTTGTTTAATAGAAAATAACCGAAAGTATAATCGTGTTGAATGAAAATAACACTTTATAGATTTCGTTCTTCCGACGAGATTTTCTTGATTTACATTCATCAAAACATAAGCCGTAAATCGTTAGAAGCCAAACGACCAAAAAGGACTTAAAAATGTATCTAAGGTCACCTTTGCCTGGGGTAGTAGGAACCTTAGTTTCTCAATAATTTCCTGATTTATCAACCTGGAATTTTACAATAGTATGTCATAAAACATGTCAGAACCGAAGCACAGATAACTGAGCTTATGAAAATATCTTAACCTGCACAGTTATTAAGATATATTGATTAAATTCCACATAAAGTAAATGGTACAGAAATGTAGAGAGAAAAAATGGTAAAACGAACTTCAACCAAACATCATGAAATTAACAGCCCCGGAAGGCCAACCATAGATGTACATGTTTAAAACTAACAATGTTCATCAAGGGCCAAAATGTATCCGAAGAAATCCAGCCATTCAGGGAAATCTTGTTAGAATACTTTATGACGATCACGATGTACCATCTCGTAATAATTACGACGTAAATTATGTGCAGTGATAACGTCAGCTTAGGATGTATATAACCCTGTGAGCAGGTTCAAGACCAAATATGCATAACTGTCTTTCTTTTTTGTCATATAATCAATTCATTAGGATGAAACAAGTGAAAAAAGAAGATTGTCGAAAATCCTTAAACATGCTACTGCAAAAATCTTTTTCTGCATTTTATGTTTATTTGATTGTTTTCTTTTGTTAAAATACATTATTGAATTGCATTTTCCATTTCTATATGTCCTTTTCTTATGTACGATCCTACAACAAATTCGAGAGACGTAATTTCATGGTCATTCATTTAAAGGCATTTTTTTCGTCAATACATGAATTTCGGTTGTTAAATTATTATGTATGCGGACTTTAAAAGAGAAGATAGGAATATCTTTCACTCGTGTATAAGTCGTCCTTCTTAGTTTTAGAATTATTGCATTTATAACTTTGAATAAATACAACTCTTACCTTGTGCGAATTCGATCTACCTCTTTACGGAGACCAGCATTTTCAATGTTAAGTTTGTTCAGTTCTTCGTGTAGTCTAGAATTCTCGTCTTTCAAAGTTTTGTCTACAGAAGTCTTCTTTAAATCGTTAAAGGTTTTTTCGCGTTCGATACTTAATCTATTCTTTTGTTTTTTCTCCGCTTCCACTTCAGCTAAAAGCTTATCGTATTGCTTCTTTTGTTCGAGTAGTCTATGGTTCAATTCTTCATTTTCCCTTTGAATGAAAACATACATTTCTCCTTTTACAAAGGTATCTATGTCAAAAAAAACTACTGTAACAATTAATTTTAAGTACTTATGTGTCTGTGAAGCCTCAATAAGATTCTTTAATTTGAAAATTTGGTGTTTTGCCTTAAACGTATACTTAAACTCAAAACAGCATTTTGTGATATAACGACAAAACTGAAAATGAACTGCATCATGATGACAAAATATGACTCGAGATTCCAAAGTTAAGTTAATGCATCACTCAGGTAAGATCAAAATATTCTAGTATGACTTGCTTTTGATAGTTAAAGTTAAATCATCAGATTTACTTTTTATCTATTTTATGTGTTCGTAAAACAAATGATTTCAGAATGGTAGCTATTCAATAATATATGTACTTTTATATACATCATTCTTCTCAAATCGATTTCTAATATGTGCAAACTACTAATACCTTAATAATATAAATTGATAAACCAATAATTGATGGTAAATTATATATTTTTATTAATATACTTTTTTAATCTTTTGTTTTCATTAGTGAGCTTTTGATTATCTTCTTCTTTTTTCGAATCAAATACTTCATTCTGAAAATAAAAGAACATGAAAAGAGAAAATTATTTACAGAACACTTTATTGTATATAAATATCAATAACAATTAGAAAGAATCTTAGGTGGATTCGCTTATGCCTTAAAACAACTTGGTACGTTGGTATGCTTTAAAATCATCGACTCATGTGTAGATTATATTATGTCATGTTGAGGAATGAACGATTCAGCGCAAGGGAGTTATAGAGCATCAAACGCGACACGAAATAATGAAGTCACATCATAAATACAAGGCTTAACATTTATACGTCAGACCGCGTTAGGTCGTCTACAAAAGACTCGCCAGTGACGATCGAACGAATAAAGTTAAAAAGGCAAAAAAAATTACGAAATTTAAGAGCATAGATGAGGACCCAAAATTGCGAAAGGTTTTGCCAAATACAGCTGAAAATACCGTTTTCATTTTACTTATTTGCTGCTGTCAATCAGCGACATATTACCCCATAAATCTTCATTTGGCCTCATCCTAGTAATTTCGAGATTTTGCGTTTTAAGTATATGAAAAAATGCAAATGTGGTATGATTGACAACGATACAACTATCCACCAAAAATCCCTGGTCAAAAATTAAACAACTACAGGTCTTCAAAATTGAGCAACATCCATTTGCCGTTAAGTGAGCTATAAAAGGAAACAGGATGTTTACAGCGTATGTAATAATTTAATTGTTAAACATACAAAGTTCACATATTCGTACCTTGTATGAATAAATGGATTGATTAATTGGTATTGGCTTAACGCTCATGGAAAATAGTTTAAGCTTACTCAGAACGGGAACAAAAGGAAATTGTCAATAAATCAAATAGACCTTAATAGTAGAAAATGAGGGTATTTGATAGGGACAGAAACGTTGCTTTTAAAAAATCCACATATATATCACTCAGTGAGTCATTGCAGGGGCTCTTACGTACACGAAGTATGGTACCATCCCTACATCAGATATATTCTCACCGGACATAACTGACTGTTTATCTTTACGTCTCGCACAGAAACAGGGCACCCACCATTTCGAATGTTTTACTGACAATATTGCAGAGATCCCCATATTTCTCGACCCCAGTCAACTATTGGTGTTAGAAGATGTGGGTATACTTCAATTAAGTTTTCTTAAACTGTCGTTAAATATTACTGTTATTATCATTATTATTATTATTTTGTTATTGATAATTTTGTGTGTTTTGATAACTAATAATCTACAAAAACCTGCACTTAAAGAGTTAGATTTTCGCCTTTTTTGTTCGGAGGATTCTGGTGTTGGTTATTGGGTCGGTCTAAAGCTATCATAAATATATTTATTTAATTCCTGTTATGCTCTTTAAGTATTATTGAATCCCTTTAAATGTCTTATACAGTCATTTCTAATCTAATATCGATGTATTCTATCAGAGCAAGATAAAGACCTTATTTTTTAGGGCTTCAGTTGTTAGGGGCATACGCCTTACACAACACCTTAGTAAAGTCGAGACATGCATGTAATTCATTGTAATGATACAAATGAAAAAGCAAAAGATAAATATGTCATTCCAACACCGATCGTTGTGGAAAGACATACAGACATGCTTCGACTTTGTGCGTCTGTCAAAATTGTCCAGGGGCCAGAAGATACGACTGTGGAATAATAATTATCGTTATAATAAGCAGATTTGTATGAATAATGCTGAATCAGAAAAAAAATACCACGATGAATTTATCACTCACTCAACACATTTACTAGTTTTTGTTAAACCTGTTTAATCTATTAAAAACACATTTACAATATCCTTTATTTTTTACATTTTTACTCACTCCGTCTTTTTTCTTTGGGGCGGTAGGCTTAAGGATTTTAAAAACGACTCCTCCGTTTTCACTAGAAAAAAGTAAAAATAAGTATAAGTTATAAAATATGTGTACGTGTGATGTCTTGGAGTACAAAATTTTTAAAAATGATCTTTTAATATATTTTGATGTTCATGCCAAATAATAAATATTTGACGGGATAGAAAACTTTTTCTCTTTTCTTGATTTTTATTGATGGCCTGATACCCAAAGTTTTAACAATCAAATTTTGAAAACGTTTTTTGAGTTAATGCCTTACCAGTTTAAACACTATTTCAAGCTAAATTTTGAATTGCTGGTAAAAAAAAATCATGTTCGAGTTACATTGGAGTTCAAAACGAATTAGAGTTACACCTTAAAGTGAAAAAGTAATAATTGAGGGTAAGCTATTAATTTTTGGTGGTTTGTTTGTCCAGCTCATGATAAGTGTTAAAATCTAAATTCTGTTCGAATTTGAAATTTAGCTGTTCAATTTGAAAATTATTGAAAGGTATTGTGTGAGGAAAAGTAATACGAAATCGGGAAATAAAAACTGTTTTAAAATTTTATTATCGCGGTGTGCTCACTTGAATTTAGAGTTCAGTTTCTTGTAACCGTTCTAGTTCCGGATAAATTCCAAATAAAAGAAAACTTAAAAAATGGGATGAGTTATGATTAACTTGTCGTAAAAGCAGGAGATATGTATATCAAGAGCAATTATTTGGCCATTGAAATTGCAAAATTAGTTAAATTATCAAACACTTTTAAAATGACGTTAATTTTTTTTTATAATTGAACAGGTAAATAATATATGGACACTTTAGTGCAAAAAGGGTTACTAGAATAGGGGCGGAAGATACCAAAGATATATTCAAACTCATAAGTCGCAGACAAAGTAACAAGATCATTTCACGAAAGGAGGACGGGATTATGGTTATGAGTGACAATTGGAACATCGTCATCTGCAAAACAGATATTCCATAACGGCCAACAAACGCATAATGGCGTCCGTAACATTTTCGAAGGGATGACTTCAACTTCATAACTCGTACCCCTTGGTTTAATAACTTCTTTGTAGGCAGCAGCCCTCAATCAAGGGAATCATGATAGGAAACGCAAGCTCTGGAATTTCGTACCAATTTGGAGATATATATATTCGTGTGCAGGCGCTTATGAATTACCTAGAAATGTAAAGTTCACGTTGAAATCACTTCTTTTGTCGTAAAATATTCTCAACCGATCATCATTGTCAATTTCTAAATGTTTTGTCGTAAAATTTTGTTCTCAACCGATCCTTGTTGTCAATTTGTAAATGTACGTCAAAGATATGTCACAATCACGTCATAAACATGTTGAAACTGACATAATTGACCTAACAAATGCCATTTACGTATATTTTTCAACAAAATAGATATGAGCCAAGGCTTCACCCAAAAAGAAAGATTATACACATTGACGTCATCATAAAATACATTTTTTAGCAAAATATCTTTTTGGGTAGAGCCTGTGCTCATATCTAAATGATAATGTAAAGATTTCATTATGAGGCTATTTTGTTTTTGCAATACATTCAAGGAGCCTTAAAGTAAATATGTAAGACAAAATTCAAAACTATGAGCATCTGAATGATGTTATCTGATAGATTAATAATACTTTTTGATTTTTGATTTCAAGGAGCCAAAAAATTACCTTCTCCTTTAGATGAAACATTAGTTTAGTTGAAGGAATAAATAATTTTGTATTTTACTTTGAGTCTTAAGATCAAGAGAGTTCAGACCAAAGTTACAGCATTAGTTTTCGTTGTAGTTTCAGTCATTGTTTAACTGGAGTTTAATGCTTACTTTACAACCGTATAATTGCGATATTAAGTCGACAGTGGTTCTGCTCATTGCAGGATATTAGTCTTAGAAATATAATTTTGTTTATTATATAAACACATCGCGATCATTTTACCCGTAGTTCGTCATATGCTGTTGAATAGGATCCTTTTAAAACTGATGGTAAAATAGAAATTGAAATCTGAATTCTTTTGATTAATTCCTTTTGCAATCCGCTTTTATAATCAATACATTGTGATTCTACTGCAAGTGTTTACCTTTTCGAGTCAAAGTAAAAGACAACAGATGAACTTCTAGTGTATTTCATATATATTATTGCATATGCCACATGTGGAGCATTATCTGCTTACCATTCCGGACCACATGAGATTAAACCTGGTTTTTGAAGGGGTTCGTGTTGCTCAGTCTTTAATTTTCTATGGTGTGTTTTGTATACTGTTGTTTGTCTTTTGGTCTTTTTCTTTTTTTTGCCATGGCGTTTTCAGTTTATTTTTCGACTTGAATTTGAATTGTCCCTTTGGTATCTTTCATCCTCTCGTTTATTATTATTTGTGAATCTAAAGTATTCAACGTTAGATCCTCGGTAAATAGAGGACATCAGTCATCTTTGTATTTTGCTCTGCATCAACTTAAATGTAATAACGATTTCGGTCATGTTGAATTATTAGTAGATGATGTCCAGTTCGATCTTTTTTGCATAAAGATTGTCTGTTTATCTACAGTTACTGTAGTTTCCGAGTAAAAAATGTCATCCAAGTGGCAATTATAACTCCTATAAAGGATGGACTGACGATTTTGGCCATTTGACTTATTTATAGAAATTGATTGTCCTGCTAAACTTTTAGCCGTTTACATCTTCTGTTTATCTGTAATAAGTTTTCCAGATAAAAGACAAAATAAAAAAAAATCATTGAAATCGTTATTTAACAGCAATTTTGTAGTTCCTGTAAGCTGTTGTTCTACTGTTTTGTCAAGAAGATCATGACATTTGTTTGTTTTGAACATGTTAAAATCCCGTGAAATGTTATTCATCGGTGACTGCAAACTTGCAATAGTTCCGTTGGTTTTTACGTAAAGGATACTAAAGGAACAATTTTGCCGATTTTCGGGAAAAAGAGAAAATAAAACTGAAAGAGAAATGGTTTAAATTTTACAGGTCGGTCTCCATTTGCATATTTCCTGTTACAGACAATAAATATCTTCTCGTTTATTTGCAAATGCATGTGGATTTTTGAATGCCAAATTCCCACAACAATAGATTATTCTTTGTGACGTCGAAAAAAACGTATACTGGTACTTTGATGCAAATTCAAACATGCGAAATACATCTATCGATTTGTTAAAAAAAAAACCAGGTATGACTCATATTTCAAATAATGGTTATATTTGAACCTGATATCCTCACAATAAGCAGGTTATTATTGTTCAGTTGCTTCATTCGTTACTAATAATAAAGAAAAAAAAACTTCTAATATTGTCAAATTTATTATTAAACATATATTTGATTTCTGTCAATAACAAGATCGATCATGTTGAATCACAACTCTGTTTCTTTAATCACAAATATTTTTTATCAGGTTTTTTTACATGCAGCACTCTCCAAGGTATAAATCTAAATCCCTTTATAGGTTCATATTACAGAACAACCAGCCGCCTCGTAGTAATAACTGTGCTTTTATTGTACCCTGTTTAATTCATAAATGTCTATTTCGAGAGTCCTAGGGACTTTCATAAAAAAAAAATCCGTGATATTGATAGATTGGTATTTTACGTCCCGTCTTGTAGCAAATATTACATGCATACCAGGACCAGAACATATCAACGCGATATGAATATTTACCATGCTTTGTAAATTGTACTTACCGACACGTTAAACCAGATTTTAAACGTGCTCATTCACAAGGTAACAGTCAAAAATCATGTCACCCTACACATACACATCAATATACTCCGAGCCAACCAGTCTTTGTTCTTACTCTTAAATGTCACGTGCTTAGCGAAGAAGCAGCAAATACCAACTCACCCGACCGGGGATCAAACCTACGACCTCACATACTCGAGGCAAGCACGCTACCACGAGACCACTTATATATGAAGATGAATGTAAAGTGATCTCTGATGGTCATACTTTAAAAGGCATTTATAGCAAATGGAATGTGTTTTATATGTTATATCACATGAACAATAAAGTTAAGTATGAGTCAGCACATGTACCTACCTGTTATTTGTTGACATCTTTTTCTGTTCTAGGTATTACTTTCTATACATTCTCCAGCATCAATCTAACAACGAATACATGTAACAGATTTTTATATAATTTTGTATCTACATAAAATTCGGTAAGAAGTTTCACAGTTACTCTTAAGTACGTTGTTGATTGCTGATTGTATACATAGGTAGCTACACTTTTGAAAGAAGTCTCATGGATCATTTGGAAGACCTAGTTTACATATATTTTTTATTTGGCTCTACTTGCACAAATAAAAAGATACTGAAGTTGTCACAAAGTTATTTCGAACCTGTCATATAAAGTTGTCTTTCCGAAATTCTTGAAACTTGTCAATGATTGCCACAGTCTTTTAATTTTTTCTTTGTGTCGGATATTCGTTTTCTACTGAAAATCATTCTAAAACCGTGTTCATACGTTTTGGTTTGTCGTTTGTCTTTTGTTGCAAATTTGATGATAGGCGTCAGAAAAAGCGGTGTATAAAAAGTATTATCACACCTCGGATAAATTATGACGTAATGATTGGTTTGACGCAGTCAAGTGGTGACCCCCTATGGATCCGTATAACTTACAATGTATAATATATAAACGTTACACTTAAAGACCAAACAGCCTATTCAGTTCTACCAGTGATTTTTCCTTAAAATTTTGTGTGAAGGTATTTCATGATTTGAGGAACAAAATATGAGAAAAAAAATTGGGGGTCACCGACTTAGTTTTGTCACTATAGCAACCTCAGTTTCGTGTTTTCCCGAATATTAACATGATATTTGCTTGTTATTTAAACTCTCAAAAAATCCCGTTATATCAAACCTACAAGCATAATTCTTGTTTCATGTTAAACAGTAGATTTGTGTCTATCAAATACAGGTTTAAGAGTTTAAGACTCTTATTGTTTTGATCTTAAAAAATATGATTTATTTCATTCCCGCCAAAAATAAAACGCAAGAATGAAAAACGTTTCAAGTATTAAAAAATATCTACCAGTGATTTTTTCATAAAAATTTCAAGAAAGAAAGTGCCATGTGTACTCTTCAAAATAAAGCAAAAAAATGTATATGTCACCGACCTTTCAAAAAAGTTATGATTAATTTTCATGTTTTTTTCTCGTTCGTTTTGAAGAAAAGAGTTGTCTTTCTTCAGAACATCGAATCTGACGTCATAGTACAAGTTTTCCTTGCTGGCGCACTGTTTGAAAAAAATTGCAAATTGGACTTTTGAAACCCACATTTAAATTTTCAAGAATCAAGAATAACAACTTTATTCACCTATTTTATTATCCGGTAATACAAGAGATCACATGTATGTATCAGTATCAGATCTCATGATGTTGTTGCCGCACAAAATTAACCTTCAGAAACACCATCCGTCGGAATAAAAAAAAATGTTCGAAATAACCTTTTACGACGCTTTAGAAAGGAAAGTATGTTGTTGTCCTCTCTCTCTCTCTCTCATTAGCAAAATCATTGAAAATAAAAAGAGAAATGAAAGATGACACTGGCTAACTTACAGACTATTTGACTATATTAGACTAGATGTGTGGGTTTTTTTGTCGCGTCAATTTCAGAACTTGGCCGTAGCTCACTCTTTCGCTACTGTTGACAGACGGACAGACATAAGCACGGACGGACTTCTTTATACCATTATGTGTCCCGACTAAGACGAGCGTATACAAATTATGCCATCTAGTTTGTGGATTCATTATTACTGAATATTTAAAATATAAGAAATTAAAATTATAGGTATAAAATTTTTAATATATAAATTAAAGTTTTTGATTCTAAAACGTTTTACATCCATTTAACCTATCATAAAATACGATCCCCGTTATTACTACCTCACGTGTTTTGAATAAACGAGACAGTAGATATAAAATACAAATAAGTTTTTATTTCAACAATTGATTAAGAATCTAAGAAATAATTTTCCGTTGAAAACTATAAAGTATTTCTCAAAACAGGATGAAATATTATGAATCTAAATACTAGTAGCTCATTTTGGAAATTAAAACAAAGACAAGGTTGTATGTATAGATTGCCGGCATTGAAAATCGAAATTTGTTTTCAATCTTTCCGGTCATTGTAGCTTTTTGAAATTGAGAAATTTTATGTTGGATCTTATTCTTGAAGCAATTGTTTTTGTCATAAGTTAAATTTACAACAAGTTTAGTTTTAAAAACCGTAAATTTTTTTTTTAATTCACATTCACTGAGTATATTAATTTCTTATATTTTTTGCCGTAAGCGTCTGTGAGATCAGGCGAAATCTTTATCATTTCTCCTTGAGACAATTTGAAATGAATCAAATGACAAAAGACAATGAACCTTTATCATTTTATTTTTACTTTAAGATTTTGTCAATTAAGCAGTAAAGATAAAATTTAACTTCATTGCAAGATCACCATTATTTTACGAGAATCTTAAAGAAATAAGTTAATCTCAACATGCATACGTTGCCAGTATATCGAAACTTCTTGAAAGTATTGTTTATCGGCCTAACCTTCTGAAAACTCAGTTTTGAAAATCACATATTAAGTTAAAATTCTAAGCGTAAGTCATATAAATCTACCAGTGTAAAGTTACACGGGCGTACGAGATTTGCGCCGATTTAAAAAAAATTTCGATCTTTAATTTGCGCCGATTTGATTCTTTCATTAGCGCCTATTTTATTTTTTTATCACTAGCCCCGATACTTTATTTGCTATACGAGTAAACACATGTACATGTAGTAAACCTAGAATGTATATTGCATGGTAATATATGGATATAAATAGTGTTCCCTTATGTTTAAGAAAATTTTGGTCATATTGTTCGAGAACTTCGTTTTGACACAAGAAAGAAAAGATGGACTTCGTTATTGGCAAGTACAACAAGTATAGAAAAGATAAAATGACAAGAAAAAAATATATCAGATGTGTGGCATATAAATTCTCGACAAGATAATAATTCATTGTCATACTGAACTATTAGTTCGGTCAAGAAAGACAACTCGTACTCAAAAAAGGGAGGTAACTCAATGTTCTTATAAAGGGAAACGAGTTTATCAGTATTTCCGAGGAACATGTTGATTTTTGCACGCCAACTTGTACATAAATAATTAAATATCGAATCACAACAGGTTTTGAATGTTTGATGATCGATATCCACGCTTTAATCCAATAGTATAATAATTTGTAACTTAATAGGAAACCGAGTTTAGAATCAAATTAGAATTATTAGGGTTTTTATATAATAATTTTAATTAGTTTTTATTATACATTTTTATATATGCGTATCTATTGAAAACATTTCTTTCTTAATCTTTGAAATTTTTTCTAAACATGCAAATTCTGTTAAGAAAAATAGAAGTATTTGATTTTATAAGACAAAATTAAAAAAAACAGAGAAAAGAAAAAAAAAAGAAATCTGCCCACCTAAAATACTGAATTTTGCCATGTCTGGTTGAATGACTATATATATTTTGATTCTCATACAGACAATGCATTACATCGGTACAGAGAAAAATTATAAACTCATATTAACTCAATTTAACTATTAACGAACTTAGTGAAATGTTTGCTTCTTTTTTTCATCTTTGAACTTCAAGATGGCGAAATGCATCTAAGTTTAAAATAGAGAACGATTTAAAACAAAATTGATTTCACTTCTTCAATACATGTGGTATACATAACTTTAGCCACTAATAATAAATAAAAAGTATTATGTAATCAAATTTGGTTAAATATCTATTTCAAATTTATGATCTTTTATATGTAAAGATAGTAAGATAAGCATAAATAAACAGAATTAACACCTTTATGTTATTGCTTCGAAAACGATGATGTCCTACTGATTTTATGGCCATCATACTCATACTTATATTCCTTAGTTTTAAGAAGACACATTTAACCAATTAATTGTATGGTGTGTTATAACTTTGGATATCAAAATAAAGGTAAATACAGAAAAGCGCTTTGGACGCATCAAAATCATTAAAGAAGTGATATTGTCAATGTTAGACATGAATCCCAAAGTTTTTATTTGGAACAGTTTTTTTTCTAATTTCATTTTACATTTTAGCAGATATAATAAGTACAAGTTGATCCGAAAGACTGTGTCATGACTAAACAATTGCAGAGATTGTTTAAACACTCATTTTTTTTAGTTAGGCTAAATTTATAGAAGTTAAGCGGAACTTAACCTTTTTTCGCTTATATTTCAATATCTCAACATCTCGGGTAACTTTTCCCGTTTGTGCATCCAGATAGTACCACCGTGTCCTATAACTATTTTCTTGACTTAAAACACTCAGTATGTCCACATTCTATGACAACCACTAGCTCGTAGTCTTTATTCAATACCGTTTCAATTCAACTCTTATTCTAACCTTCAGCGCACCCATCGCACATTCTTTGAAAGATCATGTTAAGCGTTTAGTGATGCTATTGATTTATTCAGTCGGTTGTCCATTGAATTAATACAAGCTTCCCATGAAGGGTTGAGACAAAAAAAAAGAATGAACAATTTTAGTGTGAATGCGCCTTGAAATACAAATGAGAAATTTTTTACATTCTACTGCAAAGTTTTCGGCATCTTAAGGTGCAAACGATTAATTTTATATCATGCGCGGATATGATTGACGGTTTTGCTTGGCGTCGAGTGACAAATAGTTCATGCATATTCGGACGAGAACAAATCAGCAATAATTCAATAAGCATGATAAGAGGAACGACTAGGAAGAATATGATGAAGAACAGAAATTTCGAATGCAACTCGAAAATGAATTTTTTGCCATCAAACCCCTGAAAGAGTTGTTGCAAGGGTATATATATATATATATATATATATATATATATATATATATATGCTAACGTAAAGGAGATGTGGCATCGGACGTGGCTGCGTGTTTATACATTCAGCACAATGAAGCGAATATAAATAAGAAGATGTGGTATGAGTGCCAATGAGACAACTCTATAACCAAGTTAAAATTTGTAAAATAAAAAATTATAGGTCAAAGTACGGCCTTCAACATGGAGCCTTGGCTTACACCGAACAGCAAGCTATAAAGAATACCCATTTACTGCCAGATGGAAGAAGTCCATATATGTTATACTCCATTGCTTGGTATAATTTTTATACTGGATATGATAAATTAATTAGCAACACACTGGCACAAAAGTCTTGTCCATGCAAAATCATGATTTGTAGAATATTTGTCATACAATAATGGAATTTTCCAATGTACTTTAAAGCAATAGCTTTAAACATTAGCTTGGTTAAAAAAAGGGACATGTCGGTGAAAAGAGAACCATAATTATTTCTAATGGGATTGCATATGGTCTCAGTTGAAAATAAAACGTCAACCTAACATAATAATAAAAAAACATTTGGTCAATAAAAAAAAATCAAACATCATGTCAGTTTCACAGTTTCAACATTTTTGTCGAATTAAGAGTTTTTTTAAAATATGATTTGTCCGTTCCTAAAGCAAGACATTTGTTTTTACTATGGCCTCTTAAAAAAAGATGGACTTATAAGTCTACTTAGACTTTAAATTGATAATGAGGAATACGTGTGTGTATCTTTTATTTGACACAGTAGATGTAAACCTCCATGCATGTTGCGAGACTTTATGATTTCGGTCGTTGTGTAATCAAGTAACAATCCATTATGCGATTTATTTTAATTAAAACTTTTCAAAATATGTTACAGTTTCGAGTATTTTTTATTTATTTTCATATTCGTTTTAATTAATCATTTTATAATTATGTTTATTTCTAAAGGAATATATGTAACGGATCTCCGTGAACTATGACAAAGTATTAAGTAAACACGGGGTATTTTCCAAATACATGTAGCTAACTTAGCCAAATCAAAAACTCGTCAAAGATAAAACTCTGAAAGATTTCAACTTGAAATGATAACGGAAAAGTGTGAGAAATTAATAATATATATACGGTCAGATTACACGCATCACTCCCTGTGGAGAACAGTCTTAATTAGCTACTTGAATCACACAAATCAATGTTGGTATCCCGGGGTGTGTAGGTTTATGCAGTACATGTAGTTGAAAAAGTTAATTCGTAAATATCTTTGTTAAAAACATATTTTAAACTTTATCATAGTATTGGGAAGTTTATGTGTTTTTCAGGGAAGATATTATTGTTAGTTAGCTTATGGTTATGGAAAAATTATGGAATAATAATTACTAGTATTGAAATTTTAATAATTAAAAAAAATCATGTCATTTGTTGTGTTAAAAATATAGTTGGTGCAACCAAAGAACCTAATCCAATTGATGTTTTATATGGTCACGATATATGGAATAACGATGAAGATTCTTCTTTTATGTCATAAATCCGAAGGATTTTAATTTCCACATGCATGCATCCGCTACAATAACACCAGTCTAATCTAATAATAATACGTGTGTATTTTGTCAAAGATTTTCTTTGAAGCTTTAAGCAAATTTATTTTTGTCATAATAATGAAAAATATATTAAGATTGTTAATTGTTGGAAGTTCACTTTTCAACATAATGATTCCATTGTATACTTCATCCTCTCTCATGATTGAAAAGTGGAAAACACAAAAAAAAAAAAAAAAAATATACCTTGTGTATTGCAAGTATTGCTACTTTAATGTAGAGTAAACATGTATACATTCACAATTATATTGTTTATCAAAGTCTTAAAGGATATAATCATACCGATTCATAAAAGTATAAGTGTTTGCCGATGACTTCGTAACCAAGCGTGTAAAATTCTCTATTCCATGACAAATTAAAGAATTTTCAATTTTCAACCATAAAAAGACGGGAGAATTACAAAAGTTAATTTTTAGGCAAAAATATCATTTTATTTCCCTGTCTTTGGAGATTATAAAAATATCGACGACGAAATAAGAAAATAACGAATACTATTTGTTATTGAAACAAATAGATGTCAGGGATTCGCAAAACAATGCCTTCTCTGTATACATTAAACGGGCTACTTCGCTATTTATGGTAGCAAATTTTAAATCAAAAGTGACGGATGTTTAAAATATCTTATTTTCATAAAATTTACATCATTACACAGTTTTAAACTTTAACTAACTTTATTTAACGGCGCGAAGAAGATATTCAAAAGTTAACATAAAGTAATACGGGTATAAAAACTATTTGCCCATACAAATCTATAGTAAAATTAATCGCCGTCTGTGGACAATTACTAGCGCATGCGCATTAAAGACCGAACGAATTCTTGTACATGACTAGTATTACATTTTTATGGATTTTATTGTGGTGCTTTGAAATGCTGTAAATAGAATTTTACTCCGTGATTTTAGTGGATGTAAACAGAGTGCACAAATATCTCTTAAATTGACTTATCCTGCTCGAAATTCTACTCCCACCTTCCCTTTGTGAGCAGGGGACAACAGTTATATAAATGTTATAATTGACAATTCATAACATATGTACAACTTGCTAACGGAAGAGGTTTATATGATAAATATGCTTTCACCTATAATCTACCTGTACACAATCGGCGCAAATGAAAGACAAAATCGGCGCAAGTGATGAAAGAAAAATATGAAATGCAGATCGGCGCAAATGCAAAAAGCCGAGTTCAAAATTTATATTTTTATTATTATTTTTATTAGAACGACGGAGGTTACAGATAGTGTAGTATCTTTTGTGTCCATTTGTATTTAATTTCTTCTAGGTCTCAGTGCGACGCTTAATTCCACTTTTCTTGGAAGACGTAGTTTTTTAAGCGTACACCATGTTGAAATCCGTGAAAAACGCGAAATAGGACGTTATAATTTGACGTTTTTTTCATGGCTAGAAACAACGTCATAGAGCTTTTATGTCACTACCAAGTTGCGTTAGTTGATGCGCATCAACAATAGGCTGTTTGGTCTTTAAAGTAAGTTTAGCACAAATCAGATATACGTATATGGACGATGAAAAATGTTTCACATGTTTTTAAAGTTATATCGCGTTTAAAAAAATAATCTCAACTAAGAATGTTTCAAATTTAAACACTTTCCGTTGCAAATATATGCATTTGTCTCACAAGTTCGAAAGGAGCTCGATGACAACCTGTTTTTGTTTTTATGAATACATGATGGAGATTTCGGGTATACGTCAATGAGATAGCAACACAACGACATAATGATTACATACATCTAGAGGTCAACTTACAGTCTTTAAATATGCACAGCCTCCGATAGTTAAAGGCATTATATTTTCCGATTTGTCCGTCCTTCTGTCTGTTAGTCCGTCCGTTAAAGTGAGGTTAAAGTGGTAATTTTTAAGGTAGGTTAAAGTTTTGGTTTAAGGTACTATGTGGCACATTAATTTGAAATTGGATACACATATTCATTCGTAGATTAGTCTGTTCGTCCCGCATCCACGTTAAAGGTTTTGTTAAAGGTCCTTTGTGGTCATATCAACTTGAAACTTGGTACACATGTTCATTGTGAAGTTACCGTTTTTTAATTATATGCCAAATTAGGGTTTCGATCCAGATTTCGAGGTTCACATACAAACGCTTTTCTTTTGTTTATCGGTGTATCTCTTCAACTTATGGTTTTGTATTGTCTCTTGTTATTTTTTTGCTTATGTAATGTATAACCTGGCAAACCTGGTATCTATGATGTGTTTTCTTGACGTCCCTATCGTGACCTTGATATGCTGATTAAAATAGAAAAAGTTGTAACTTGAACCAAAAAAGATCTTTTTTACCATTACAAACAGTTTAAAAATGATTACATAAAATTAATTACGATACTTTTTATGCCAAGAACTATTTGTAGACAAGCATACAATCTAAAAATCTTACGTATGTTTAGATATCTTTTCTTTCAGAGTTTACTGACAAAGAGTCTAAAGACAGACAACGGTTTAACATCCCCATAATGTTTTATGACAGAAGATTTTTGTTGGCGATCGTATAGAATGTTTGGCAAAATTTTACTTACTTTCTATTTTGAAGTCCTCCATGTTTGTGATATAAATGATTTCTCGGTATTAGACCAGATATGCATGGTTAGTGACCTTATTTGAACAAACAGATTAAATGGTGAAACGATTAAGACAAAGCAAATCTTTTGTAAAAAAAAATATATATTTTATTAAAAATAATATTTTGTCACCATAAATGTAATCGTTTTTTACTCATTAATGCAAGCAACTGAAAACGGAAGTAATATGTGTGTATTACTAGGGGGCTTTCCACTAGTTTACTTTTGGTTTTAAATTTTACCTTTGAGCGAGGTAACCATGTCAGGTAGAAAAGATAAAAGGTAATTAACCATAACTTTAGCCTAAACTAAGTTTACAATGCTGCATACGGATATATTAGCGTGTTTAAATGATTCATATAGTGTCGTATTTCTATTCTCAAAATATACTTTGGATTTAGATACTTTTTGCATCATGTCTTTGTATAAAAAATAAAGTGTATTCACTTCACTATATACAACTCCGAATTCTTGTTTTTCGCATATACAAAATAAGTATTTCCATACCAGAAATATATTGCACAATATTGGTGTAAACGATCTAAAGCCTGTTTGAGTTTAATAAATCTTCCAAAATCAATTATCAATATCGTATTGTTTATTTTGTAGTGAATATTTATCTAGATAGTATGCCAGATCATGCAACCTCTGGCAATTTTACCGAGTCTGTTGTTCAATTAATTAAAAAGCTATCCGTTAGGTTCAATAATTAGCAATATTTAAAAAGTAAATAATCAGTTAGCAATGGTTAAGGAATGGATGAACTGACCGTGACAGCGCCTGATAACAATATATTATTAATAATTTAAATATCCGAAGGGTTCATCTTTCTTCGTCAAGTGTAGTATTATTTATACAATATATATATTTGTACAATACAAATACAGTCTCTTTGTATCCTGCTTCATTATTGAGCGTTAATTAATATCAAAATTTACCATTTACGCCACAGGTCATTTTCATGTCTTCTTAACAAGCTGCATTTCCAACCGGAACCCCTTTCCCACTTGCAAAAAAATAATAGAATTGTTGCCAAAAAATATTGTAGCTTTGCAAAATCTTTTTAAATTTTATTCAAAGAGCATCAAGGTTAACATCTCTGTCATTAAGTGGATTTTTTAAGATAATTCAATTTATAGTTATGTAATCTAACTCAAATATTTGAAAGCCATTGTATTACCTTAATACGTGTGAAATTGTATGACCAAAATTCAATTCAATTTATAGAACTCAAAGGAACTATATATTTACTCTGGAAATATGTAAGTTAGTGAATAATGCTTTTGTGCTAAATCAATGTACGATGAAAATGCGGATTAGAAATACACCACACGAGCTAAAACTTGACTGAAAAGTAAGGGTCAAGATAACTGATGAGCACTGGCTGTGTTGACCAAAATAGAATTTATAAAACGTAACTATACTGCCAAGTGAAAAGATGTTTTCGATACAAGATGATATTGACGGCGGGTTTGTTATTACTGTATCTCTAATTCTTTCCTGTTTATACTTTTCCCAATCGTTTGGATATTTTTTTTTACAATCAACTCGTTTGAGATCATTTCTTCACTGATCGAAATTCGCACATTTTCTCTGAATTTCCAATTGTGACGTCACGAAAAAGAGCGACCATGCCTGATGGTCTTCATAATCGTTAAGTTTTCTTTTTATCACAAAAAAATGGGTTTTCTATGTATTATAATCTATACAAAATCAGACCATGGCAATTTTGCACAACTTGTAGCTTGATAAAAAGAATTTCCAATTGTGACGTCACGTAAAGAGCGAGGTCATGCCTTATGGTCTTCATAATCGTTAAGTTTTCTTTTCATCACAAAAAATGGGTTTTCTATGTATTATAACTATACAAAATCAGACCTTGGCAATTTTGCACAACTTGTAGCTTGATAAAAAGAAACAGTGACCTATATGTTTTACTGTATTTTCTAAAAAAAAGCATGATTTGAACTGCATTTTGGCAAATTATGAAAAAAATTCTATCGATTTTAGTTTAGACCCCCATCTACCTTAAATACAAAAATTGAACCGTCTCGATTTGAGAAATATCGCATCTCGCTCGATGCAGTGATAGAATATATATTCACATCAACTGTTTCTTCCAAAATGCATATATATTATGTTGCGTCTCCAATCACAGATAGCATAAGCTAAGAAGATAATAAGTACCTACACATTGCTTATATAACTACATTTTATACTATCCGTAGGGGAAACAAGGGTCCGACTCTAGCTGATTATCAGGCTGATGCACAGAGATTGAGGAGAGAAAGAGATACTCTTTATCTGTAAGTACAAAGTCTTTATATGCATATGATTAACAAAAAAGTCCTGTTTACATTATATATCAATCAGCACTTTTCTACAAATTTTCTCTCGATTTGTTTCATATTTTTTTATCTGTTCTTTATTTTAAGACGTATTGTTCGCATGTTTATTCTATACTTTCGTTTTTTATTGTATTGAGATGAGAACCTGGTAAATGATTAATTTGCACAAATTGGATTGAAATATTAAAGGAGCATTAGCTGTCGAATTCATGCAATATGCATATCCAAATTACAAAAAGTCTAAAATAACCAATGCATGGACTCGATAATATGTATCAACATTTCGTGTGTATTTTTCAATTGTCTAGACGTCATCTAATTAACCATCGAGATGACCTCCGAAGACTACCGACGGTCATATAACCCGATATAAACATAAATATAAACAGATAGCAACCACGTGCAATTGGATTTTCCTAGGTCTGTTTGATTTCATATTGTAGGTTAAAGCGTATGTTTATTATCGTTTCTACCTGTATAAGAATGATTTTTTTGTGGGTCGAATCAGTCAACTAAATGGTTCATCCTTGTTTCACTTTCAATGTTGATATTTTTTTCCATTTAATAGCTGAATACATGCGTAACCCATCTGCAGGTAAGAGGTTAAATTGAAGGTCATATGAATACAGATTCAATGAAATCGAATTATTCACTTGCACTTGGCTGCTAAAAGCGAATTATTATTTCACTATATCACTTTCATTAACGATTGAACTAAAAATATCATATTCTATTATTTTTTTGTATCTTTAACAGATGGGAATTGTCAAACGTTGGAAATGTTTCTAAAAACTTACACACAAACCGATATTTTCTCCAATTCAACTTTTAAGATATGATAGTGGAAGAATTTAATGCGAAATATCATATTTTAAGTAGCATATCTAATGTTTTTAAAGCCCATACCATATAGTAAGCTATAAATGGCCTTGGGAAAATAAAATGTGAAATAATTCCTAGAAGAAAAAAAACTATTATCTGATTTATTTACAGGCAAAACCCATCTTTCACTATATAATGTTTTTTTACAGACAAACGCAGTATGATGCTGAATATATAAGCAAGTTGCACCTCAACTACAAAGTATTAGAGCACCAACTAAAGACGCTTAAGGACCAAAAAAGTGACCTTGAAAGGACGCATAATAAAACTATGAAGGTATTGGTACACAATGAAAAAGAAGCAGTTATAGTAACACTGAAAGAAGATATAACACGTCTCCAGGGTGAAAGAGATGACAGGGACAAACAGATCGCAGACCTGAAGGCTGATAAAGACGAACTACAAACTAAGTAAAAGATTAATAAATATATAAGTGAATCATGCAGAATAAAATAAAACATTATAGAAAATGAAAACAGTAAAAATAAAAATATTAAAATCACATCGTCTTTTATTAACACAAATGTCCTAACATCATAATAAAAATATAAAAATACGAAGATGTGATATGATTGCCAAACGAGACTATCCACCAGAGAACAAATGCCAAGGATATAAACTTAGTTAACTAAAGGTCACCATACGGCCTTCAACAATGATGAAAACGCATACCGTATAGTAAGCTATAAAAGGCCCCTGAATGACAAAATGTGAAACAATTAAAGAAAAGAAAACCAACGACTTGGTACAGGCACATTAAGAATGTGGCGGGCTAAATTATGTTTGTGAGTGCTTACCTGGGACAGTGGTGTAACTGCACAACATAAAACCAAATTGTAAAGATCAGTTGTAAAGGGTCTGACTCACCAGTAAAAATGTTTCAGCTTTTTGTAAATGCCGCAAAAATAGGTAAAAAGCATTATTCAGGGGCAATAATCCTATATGGATTCGACTGACCATTTACTGCTATGTAGACTTACTTGTAGACCCTATTGTGTTGACATAGTTTGTGTTATTTATAGTTTCTATCTACATGTAAGAATATAGTTTTTGCGAAAAACATAAAACAGATCAAATCCGTCATTCAAGGGCAATAACTCCCATAAGAAGATGATTTCGACCATATTAACTTATTTGTACATCATATTATTGCTGGTCACTTTTGCTATTTACAGTTTCTCTCTGTCTGCTATATTTTGTACACACACAAAAACGCTTCTTTTTTTTTAAAAACCCGTCATTCAAGGGCAATAACCCATATGAAATGTCGACTGATGATTAATGGCCGTATTGACATATTTTGCTAATCATGTTTTCTTTCAACATTTTCCCGAATACAAGTATTAAGTGTTCATGACTATATAGTAACACATTTTTAGGTATGTTTTAAATTATCAAAAGCAAAATCAAGTTATAACCGACAAAGAAAGTATTCAAAACTCTTACTTGATAACTTTTCAGAATTTTGTTCGAAGAATCAATGCATTTACATTTATAGTGTCTATCTTTTAGGACTCTTTAAATAACATTACTGTAGTGAGGTTTCTACAATCTGATTAAAGCACAGATCCTCTCTCCAAGCCTTTTTTTTGTAAGCAAAAATTGCACACAGGATCTGTATCTTAATCAGATTGGAGGTTTCTACATGTAAAGCCAAACTTTCAATCCAAATCTTTGTATCTATGATAAAATATAGTACAGTTTTAAGTTATTTGTGGTAACGAAATGCGTGACGAAATAATTTATCATTTATATATGCATTACTTTCATTGAAATCTAAAGACACGTATACGTAACTTTCCGAGCAAATGGCGTGAATACATAATCTACAGTTTTGTCAGTTGTATAATAAACGCATGATACATATAACTATTTCATTTTTACATAGATTACATCAAATTTGACAGCAATGAATAAAAAACATCATTGCTCTACCATCAAGGCAATACGTTTATTCGTATGAATCAAGATTTATACAGTTTGATCCACATGCAATATTCTTATCAGTTTAAAAAGCGCGTCTCCCATAAACATATATCATATGTATTTTATCTTAGTCAATGCGATGCATGCACCTTTTTTTAATCAAAATTGGTTCATATTCTAGACTCAGTAAAGTTGCTGGGGAAAGGATGCTCGATAAAAATCCGCAAATAGCAGACCTGGGTGATTCACGTCGGCCACAGAAACTGGTGGAAATGATATCTATTCTGTATGATAACAAATGGACAGACGCATTTGAGAAATCAGAAGATAAGGGCGACGAAAAAGATATTTGTATACACCTATTGGATATATTTAAGGTTATTTTCTTACTTCTTTCTGAAAAAGTCACTTTCTGTATATAAAATGATTGTTGTTTCATTTTGCATTGAAAGGGATAGATATAACACTTAATTCCATGTATGTTTGCTTCTATACATGAATCAAAAAAATCTTTTGAACATTTTTACTTATCGTATAAGTTATACCCATACATGATATATGTAAAATTTATATCAATAAAACAAATAAACGGGGCAACAATTGTTTCAACTTTTTCAAGTTTCAGAACTTAAATGTTTCTTCGACTGACATGCAATATATCTTCGGGGCTTGCTCTTTAAAACCAGTTTGATCCATGTTGAACAACCGTTCTTCCGTTCTTCCGCTGTTTTGTATATGTTTATTAAAAATATATCAACCTTTATAATGAGAACTTTTGCATACAAAGACAGCCAATAGTATATACATGAAGACACTAGACACAATGATGTTTCTATAACAGTAACCAACTATTACAGACATGAAATAAGTACAGATTACATAACAATACGTAGAATAAAAATGGCACCTATCTTTTTCAGTTTTACATTCTTCCAAATTGAACAAATTGTTATGTTATGTTTTTGAGAACATTATAAATAGTTCCGAATGCGTTGAGTTTCACAGTGTTAAAGAAATGTTGATCATTCACAAAGTCTAAATATTGTTAAACGTTTTTTATAGGCATGTTGGAATTTCTGCAAAGAAACCTGTGAAAAACAGTCCAAAATTTTAGAGCAAAACATACTTCTTGCATCAGAAAACAAGGTGATATTTTGTTTGTAGGAATAAATCTTCCGACAAAAAAATGCTATACGCATAGGACATTGCAATATTTTTCGGAGTTAAAGAAAGGTTTTCTTGAAAATTTATATCATATTCTCATCTAAAGTAGCACAATCAAAATGATACTACTAGCCAATAATAGTAATGGGGTTGCTATCCAGGAAAGAATCCCCAACACGAAGCTTGAGGTCATCACCGGATGGGTTTTCGGCAACCGGATAATGAATTTTATTTTTCAGTGACACGCCTTTCTCGGATTAGAGGTTTTATCATAAGTCGTTAGTATTATATACATGTATATTATTTGCAGTCTACAGAAAGAGTTTTTTTCATGGCCAACAGTCATAATTCGTAAAAAGAATAAAAAATGTATCATCATCCCAAAGTTTGGTAGCAATTGGTCATTTACTAGTACACGAGAGAATTTTTTTTAAGTGACAGCGGTGGCGATAACTCCTAAGGTGGATAATTAACGTCAATTGTAAATGTTAGTAGTTATATGATTTTCAGCATTTTTATAAAAAAAAATATTTTCGTTGATTTTTCTATTGGTCTTATTTTTCAAATGGTGGCTACGTTAGTTGTTCAGTGTGAACATCTAATATAACATGTATAATTCAAAATAAGACACCATACGAATGGGTTCCGTCAGATAGTCGAGGGATAGCTTAAAGATTCACTCAAATTAATAACCATTGTATCTCACACAGTTATAGTTAGTTAAAAATTACTCATTTATGTATTTTCTCAACAAAAAACTACAGACAGATAGACAGACAGAAAAGTAAACAAAAATACCGAACGCCAAGACAAATTCAAAAAGGGAAAGTCCATAAAAACTGACAAAATCAAACGCTATCAATCAACGAAACAAGTGAAAAATAACTGCCACATTCCTGGCTTGGTACAGGCATTTTCCGAAGACAAATAGAGAGACAAACAGACAGACGAACGAACGGATGGGTCGATAGATATTGAAGACAGAGATCACTGGAGATACATTGTCTCCTTCTTGTAATGTTTCTTATTTTAGGAGGGTTTGTATGCCTTGTCACCAGGAAGTTCAAAGTTACTGACTGAAATCCGAAAACGCTCAGCTAAAGAAATGTTGCCTAATTTGTACGAGGTTGGTACACTATTAAATAATAGCTTAATTGAGAAATCTTTCGATTCTCGATTCACCCCCTTGACACAAGGCAATATTTATATTTTGTCACTATATACACAAATAAGTTAAAAGACATCAAAAGGTAAACAAATACAACATACTAAAAAAGTACTGTTGACTTCTATGTAGATGAAATAAATTACCTACGTAAATAAAGACAACAGTAGTATACCGCTGTTCGAAACTCATAAATCGATAGAGATAAAAACAAATCCGGGTTACAAACTAAAGCAGAGGGAAACGCATCAAATATAAGAGGAGATCAACGACACAACAAAAACACAACATTAAAATGTAACACACACAGAAACGAACTATAATATAACAATGGCCATTTTCCTGACTTGGTACAGGACATTTTAAGAAAAAAAATGGTGGGTTGAACCTGGTTTTGTGGCATGCCAAACCTCCCGCTTTTATGGCAATGTTAAATATAACATTAAAATGACAACATTACATGACAGGATTACAATACAAATGAATGGGAGAACATATAGGACAAAGAAACACACGAATAATAGCTAACAAAAGGCACCAGGTTTAAAATCCAATACGCCAGACGTGCGTCTCGTCCACACAAGACTAACCAGTGACGCTCAGATGAAAAAAAGTTTGAAAGCCAAAACAAGTACAAAGCTGAAGAGCACCGAGGACCAAAACTTACAAAAAGTTGCGCCCAACACGGCCAGGGTTTTCTGCCTGGGACAAGAACATCCTTATTATTTAGAATAATTTATAATATTGCAAACAGTAAATTTTATAAAATAGATAAAAAGTATTTTCAATGGAGTTTTTCACTATTCAGACGATGAATCAAGTTATTTTAGATTTGTTCAAGAGTTATTAAACCATATCTTGGAAAGACTGTAAAGAGCGTGTTTTTTGGTATTGCGAGAAAACATGTAATGTTTATGGTGACCAATTGTCAGTCTACACAGTGAACGTTTAATTGATATATTAGACACATGCTCCAACCTGATGCTAATCCATACTGAACCTAGAAAGGTTATGAATAAATTAAGCAGATTATCAGAATTAAACATCAATAGCAAATCATCCAAAAAAAAAACAACATTAAGATATCGCTTAGACAACTACTAAAAAGTTCCTTGTTTTTAACAAGCACATGAACATGCGGCATGGTTTAAATAGATTTCTTGACATTTATGTAACCCAGTCCATTTCGTTCTTCCCGTAAAGATTTTACTGGACCCTACTACTCCAAAATTGGCCATCAATAGCAAATCATCCAAAGAAAAAAACCCATTAAGATATCGCTTAGACAACTACTAAAACGTTCCTTGTTTTGTACAAGCACATGAACATGCGGCATGGTTTAAATAGATTTCTTGACATTTATGTAACCCAGTCCATTTCGTTCTTCCAGTAAAGATTTTATTGGAACCTACTACTCCATAGCATGTCTACTTATATTGATGTACATTCATTTATTTCTTTTGTTTAATATGCTTGCCCATGGGACTATAATAAAAGAATACATATACCTGCAATATTCCGTTGTTGTATTGCAACAGGAATCTACATTTTGATTCGCAAGTAAGGGTTTATTGATTCGAAGCGCAATTCGAGGAATTACTGGTTCTTGGTGCATTGAAATATAAATAACATGGACCACGAATCAATAAGTTATCCATTTGACTTTTGTAAGCCTTTATGTTCTCCTCATATATTTTATGATGGTATAATACTAAACCCCTAACGGGAGGGATTGTGCTTGATTTTCATATGATGAAGACATAATCTTTCAATCAGTTTAATTAAGGTCTGGAGCTGGCATGTCAGTAACTGCTAGTAGTCCTTTGTTAATTCATGTATCATAGTCATTTTGCTTAGTTTCTTCTGTTACCTATTCTGACATCGGACTCGGACTTCTTTTAAACTGAGTTTTACTGTGCGTATTGCTGTGTGTGTGTTTATTCTACATTGGCTAGAGGTATAGGGGGAGGGTTGAGATCTCACAAAACATGTTTAACCCCGCCGCATGTTTGCGCCTGTCCCATTTGTTTTTTTAATTTTAGTTCATTTATATGTTTCGGAGTTTAGTGTGACGTCAATTTTCAATGAACTAGTACACATTTTTGTTTATTTGCCAGCTGAAGCCCGCCTCCGGGTGCGGGATTTTCTCGCTGTGTTGAAGACCCATTAGTGGCCTTGGGCTGTTTTCTGCTCATTGGTCGGGTTGTTGTCTCTTTGAAACATTCCCCATTTCCATTCTCAATTTTACTTTGTAGTACTGGTCGGGAACATGACACCAGTAAAGGATTTATTACATGATAAAGGAGAAATGTAAAGTATCTTAGAAATAATACAAATTGCAGACCTTTGTAGTTTCTTATTATTGAGAAAATCATGATTAAATTGTATGGACAAAACTTCGAAATATTAGTTCAAACATGCCAAAATGGGAAGAAGTCAAGTCACTGTTTCCTGTTACGTGAGAAATTTTTCTGTTTCAGAAATTTAAATCTGTGAAGCAAGATATCAAAGAAGATTTGCAAACCTATGTAGAAAGTTGTTTAGAAGTTTGCTGGTATAGTGCAATAAATGAACCGCCGATGCATTATGGGTTCGATGCAGAAGAACAGGCAGACGACTTCAGGGAATATACACAAGGCGGGAAATCGGTGGACTTTGTTGTTTGGCCAGCAATGTATTTGTGTATGAATGGACCTATTTTATACAAAGGGGTTGCACAGTATAAAAACTGAAATTGGATGTGAACAATAATTATATTACTATCAAAAATACAAATTTATTATTAGGTATATTTAAGTTTTAAAAAAAAACAGTAAAAGTGTGTATGCGCATTTTGTTCTTTAGCATTTAATATTAGAAATAAAGAATGACTAATATCAAATTTAGTATTAACTCGGCATGTAGCCATCTGCGTTATGTATATTAAGAATGTACGTGCAATACAACATCATTTGATGTAAAGTATACGTATAAATAATCATTTTGTGCAATGACATATAACGTATAGATCTAGAAATGGAATGTTCAACACAAGTTAAGGTAAAGGATCGTCGAATAAATTTCTTAAATTGCAATTATATTGAAGTACTTCGTGTAAAAATGAACACCGTAGGTTTCAAGGAAGAGGGTTAAATTCAAGAAAACGGGGTTAACTGCAACGTATTCGTGTGCCTGTCCAAAGTTATTAAACCTTGCTAGTGTTATTTAGTCACATAGATAATTTATTTTTTTGGAAATTTCGTGCTATGGTAGAACTTTGAAATTGATTAACTACTTGTCCCAACTCTGGTTGGTTTACTTTACATCTTTTATTCACTTAAAAACCTCGAACGGAAACATCCATTTCACGTTCTAATATTTTGGTAATGAAAACTTGTTATAGATTTATTGACCGATTCCTGGCAATTCGTGGGAAAATGCAAATTTCTTGAATTGATATTTTTATTTTAATGAACAAAATATCCTGTTCAGAAATGATATCATTAACATCAGGGTTTGTTTATGACATATCATCTTAAGTATACGATGGGTTGCCGTTAATTAGGAATGTTCAATTGCAATAATGATTGTAAAACCTTTCGAATTACTTAACACAATTTTGAAAAATATCACCCTTAGAAAAAGCACATTCCTTTCTTCGTTTAAAGCATGAAGATATGACCAAATCACGTTAATATTTTTGAAATTTGCTTTTTTTTTGTTTGAAATTTAAAAAGACTACAAGGATATTTAAAATGAAATTTAATTATTTTTTGCATTAGTGGTTTGTTATACTGTATTTTGTGCAATTAAAACTATGATGCAAGTAAATATGGAGTTATTCAATTAACTAGACTTCTGTTTAATGAAAAGTTACAAAAATGTACTCATCGTACATGCAAAGAAAGAAGGGATGAAGATAACAGGCGACAGAGTGCCTTAAAAATGAGTAGAAAAGAATGAAGAACACTATTTACACATGATGAAAAACAAACAAACAACAGCCCATAACAAAATATACAGAAACTCCAGATGGAACAACACGAAATAATAAAAAATAGGGGTGAACTCGTACTTCTAATCTCTCGTTTTGGCAGAATAGAACTGATAAAGATTACATTATACTCCTGTTTGTAAATCATTGCGTCTGATATCATTAGGATTTATAATCATTTGTTGTCTAGCCTGTGACGAAAGTTGCGGAAAGCGAGACATAGGGATTGTTACGTTTTCTGCTTAATTTAGTTTGATAGGAACTACTTGTGATAGATCATTGATATTTAATATAAAGTTACATTACTATCAGTACATATCAGTTTGACGACTATTTCGAGGCCCTGCCCCCTAAGTCATGGTCCAGTGATTTTGAATTAATAAGCAATTTTCAATGTCAAGTTTTCTGCTTACGTTAGTTTGATAAGATCTACTTGTGATAGATCATTGATATTTTGTATGGAGTTGCTTTACTATCAGTACATATCAGTTTGACGGCTATTTTGAGGACCTGCCCCCATGCCATGGTCCAGTGACTTTGAATTAATTAGCAATTTTCAATGTTAAGTTTTCTGCTTAAATTAGATTGATAGGAACTACTTATAATAGACAATGATATTTTCTATAAAAGTTATATTACTGTCTTTACATCTCAGATTGTCGACGATTTTCAGGCCCTGCCCACTAGATCATGGTCCAGCTACTGAATTGATAACCAATGTTACTGTCCATCAGTTTGTCTTTTTCTGAATATTATGCCAACAGGCGAGACATATCTCTGTGTCAACAGGCGAGACATATCTCTGTGTCAACAGGCGAGACATATATCTGTGTCAACATTTTTATTTAACATGTCAACAACCGTTTGTAAAATTTATGACAAGATGAACAGTTTGATTTGATGAAACAAATTGAATATGGTCAGATCTTTGATAAACTACAATAGGTGTCAAGAAGCTAATAATCAAATCAGGGAATATTCTGCAATAGAATGAAACGACTTTATCGTTAGATAATATAAGATCAAACAAATTGGTGTACTACAATACAAGAAGATGATACAAGTATGTCATGTGCTGACAGCAGCTCTATATATGGCGGTTTTTGATAGATGTCATTGTGTTAAAGCTAAATAAACTATTATAAAAATGCTGAGCCGATTTTATGCCATCATTTCAAAATCTTTTGTTCAGATATCTTTACATTGATCAAAGACATTACATTTTACTAAAAAATAAGTGTTTGGAGCTGTTAAGTAAGTGTGCGTGGTACCAGTCAAAACAGTGAAAAAGTTTAAAATAAGTCTTTCGGTTTAAAAGAAATGACCTTCGTAGTGAAAAGTAACGTGCTCCAACAATATATATCAACATTCATGACATAGACTATATGTTGAAAGGAATTTGGAATAAAACAAGAAAGCTCAGTCCTTTTTAGGTAACGAAATACTTTAAGAATACAAAATTGCCAGTGTCATTGATATAGCATATTATCATGGTCGTATTTTCCGAAAAACCTTCCTAGAAATAGGCTTTTTTATGGTATTCATTAGTTGTAGTACATTAATTATAATGCTTCTTTGAAAATGAAGGTAGTCATTGATAATTTAGTGATAAAACAATTGTATCTGTCTTTTTTTTTAATTTGAATTCAAGGGTATAAAAGAAGATATTATTCATTTATTAGACACATTTAAAATTTCACGGCATCAAAAGAAAAAGTAATCTATTGTGACACTTGTGTAACGTCTGCTCATGAAGATCAAGGTTAATCCGTAACTTTTCTGGCTTTCTAAGATTTAGACAATAAAAGTAGCATGCCCATACAACTAACTTTAATCGCTCATCTCCTAAAATGAATGCTATAGAAAAGCCGGTCACAATGAATCCGCATTAAACTTATTATTAGTACTTGTTTTAATAATTGTGTGAAAATACGATATTGTTTCACTTTTAACCGATCACTGGTTGGATGCAATTCATTAATTTTCAAAGGTTATTTAAACGGTTTGTTGTCTAAAGAATTTTTACAACTCTTACAGAAGTTATAATCTAAATGTATCGAATATCAAAACTGCATTTATTTAGTATTTCATTCCAAATTTAAAACCTTTTTTTTTTCTTTCATCAAGGTAAGATATGGAAAGTTACAATTGAGAATGGAAATGGGGAATATGTTTGTAAGTAGTAAATATATTTAAGAGGACAGTTGATATATATATAACTAGCTAAAGGGCTTCAAACATATTTTTAAAATGGAAAATATAGGTTGAAAGTTTATTTTTTGTGTTAAAGAAAGTAAAGCAAACTCTGATAAAAAAGGTTCTGTACTTTTTAAGATTTTATTGAGGTTAAATCTATACGATAATATCATTTTAGGGACTATGAGGTATGAATAAAGTGCAGATGAAAGCTGGCATGTAAGTATCTTTTCCGATACTTTTGTACTTTTTTTATAAGAATCCATTCTACATTTACGATTCACATCATCATAATTTTTATACATTAAATCATACTCTAGGTATGTTTGCAAAGTTTACAAACATTAGAATTTATTACCGAATATATGCAATCTGATTTACATTTGTTTACTCGTCAGACTCGATTATAAGCAAAGCGATTTCACAGATCGTATTTTAATTAGATAGCGAATATGACCTGCATAAGGTTATACTATTGTGTGGGTGTATGATGATGTACTATCGTATAATCATTTCACGTCTTTTTACCATTATAGGAGTAACGCTAAAGGTATACAAAATGTGCAATCACAGAAATCAGCTGCCAGTAATAAAACCGTATGTATCTTGCATAAACAACAATTATATATTGTGTATCTTCTCTAGGAATTTATTTATTAAGTGGTAGTTGTCATTTAGTTTAAGCACTGCCTTCGTGAATTAAATAAAAAGTTCGAAATAAAATACATTTTGAAATCAAGATTTAATTCGGCTATACAAAGTGCACATCAAATATGATAATAAAGAATGTAAAATACTGATTGTTATAGTTTCTAATATTGTACTCTTTTGATCCAGAGGGGGTTGAAACCTCATCTTTTTCTGAGGATAATGCTATTAAAATCACATACTAGAAAACGACGAAGATTAGGCTAGAGCTAAGATTTTTTAATGGATAAAGCCCCCTTTGAAATTTCTGGATGAAATTTAGCAGGAAAATCACGAGTCGTACTTTCATTGAATTTATTTTGATTCCCATTTATTCTCAATCGTTTTGATAGGGACAACAGACTGACAGATCAGGGAAGACAGCTGCTGTTAATCCTAGAAAGAAGCCACCTGGGTAAGCAACACGCAATAGCTAATTACAATATTAACATTAAAAGTACCACGACAAAATTAATTTGCTCTCTCTGCATTGACATTCAGTTACTTTAATTATTATCAAGAGACAATTACACTTAGACGCTTTCTAAATCTTGCAACATTGTTTGTACCTGTTCTATGTTTTTATCATTGGATTTTTTCGCTTATCATCGTTCGATCCGTTTTGTGACCTGTGAACCTAGCAGTCACTAGACGGTTGTTTTGAGCGACATTTATACAGTGCAATATATTGGTTGCTGAAGTTTATTGGAATATTGGTTAAATAACGTCCAGCTGCAAATACTTCATACATATTTTATGTTACTATCTACACTTGAACGGATAAAAGTATGGGTATTGACAGAAACAATGGCCTGCGGAGAGAAGATGTGAGATAGTTCTATCATTGCTTCTCGAGGACGGGTTATACAAGTTAGACCGTTAACGTGTAGAATCGTTCTTGTGGTTCTTTAAACGTGAAATGTAAATCTTCATCTCATAACACGTATCTTACCAAACATAATTGAATGAATATGAAATGGATGCTTAAAAAATGATCTCAAATTATTAAGCCAAAATTTCTACGTACACATATTTTCCAGTTTTGAAATAAGAATATTTTTTATAGAGGTAATGACCCAAGGAAGAAAAAGGAGTCTCCTGAGATGACAGAGCTTAAGATACAGATAGCAAATATGAAATCGTAAGTTGGTCCTTTCACGTTGAGAAGTCCAAGACTGTTTACAAGAAGAGACGAAATTTGAACAAAGAATGTGACAAGAATCTATAAAATGATTAATTTGGAGTATTGTGAAGGAATCTTGTCTCTGTCCCAGAGGAATACTATACAAACGCACAAATACATTGATGATAGAAAAACAAAGGATATGGGGTATCCCTCCATGACACAAAAACAGTACATGTAAAGCGAAAAACACACAAAAGCAAAGGAACAGTGCTATTATTGTTGTACTGATACATGTTTTAATGAGATTGTTTTCACATTGCTTGATATGATATTGATCGTTAACCCCGAGCTTGAACCTAACTAAAAAAAAAACATTCTAGTTATATATATAATGTATATGAGAATCAGAAACTTTTATTTTATCTATATTTAAAATTGTATTGTTATTATTCAAAATTTTCATTGTTCAGACAAGTTCTTGACTCAGAAAATTTAATACGTCAACAACAGGATGAGTTGGAAAACTATAAAACAGAAAACATAGATTTATCCAAACAAATGACACAGTTTGTTATGGAAAAGGCCGGAAAATCTAGAGATTCAGTTATTGTGGACCTTAACCAGCAAGTAGAAAAACTACAGAAACAAATCGAGGGTATTGAGAAAGAGAAGACCGAAATCCTGGCAGATAAAGAACTCTATATGACAACGCAAGTACAAACATTTATTCTTCATGAAACTAAGGGAAATGGTCAATAACATCTTAAATGTTTTAAAGTCTACGTTTTGGCTGTTTGAATGTGTTTTTGCCCCAACTGCATATTTGTTAAAACAACAAAATAATAATGGGCCCAACACTACCAAATATTTTTTTTTAAATCCTCTGCACAAACAAGTTCACCATGAAGTTTAAAATCTTATTTTATATCAGTAAGTTACATTAGGAGATACTTGAGAAAGAAAAATAATCTTTAAGTGCACAAATTAATTTTATAGTAAGGATAAAGAGACCCAATTTATGATATATGAAAGTCATTTTATAAGGTAAATCCAGTTTCTGTATGTGCCAAAATCATTCTGATTAATTTTTAGATTATTTTTCCTTTTTATATGACAAAATGCACATATGGTAACCCTATCAGTATTTATCTTTTTGTTGCAGATTGTCAAAATATATAACAGAGAAAACACCAGAAGAAATGCCAGATATACCTAATATGGAGGAGCATATGAGACCAACAAAGATAGCAGACATGTTTAATCAAGTCTACCAGAATGTTTGGCCTAGAGCTTATGAAATAGCAAATGAGAAACTTAACGATGAAAAACTTTCCTGTGTTTATTTGCTTACAATATTTAAGGTATAATTTTTTGTTTAGTAATTGTAAAATTTTATATTGCCAAATGGCAGACATAATTACAGAAAAATATATAATTCAACCATCCTGCCTTGCAGCATTAAATGTTGTGGTTAATGACATGCTCATTTTGGATTTTTTTTTGTTTTTTTGATATATATATGTATACACTTAAACACTTAGCTTCAATTACTTAGATATGATGAAACCATAATATTGGTAAATAATTTTCTCATTCATTCAAGGATTCTTGGGAGTTTTGCTGTGCCTTATCAAGACACCAGTTACATATCCTAGAGATGACATATTTAGTACCTTATGGCCCAAACATAAGTGTGGAGGCTACGGTAAATTTGTATTTCCCGTCTTTTATAATAGTGTAATAAGATAAAACAAGGAGTATATAAATAGAGAATATCATATGGCTTTTCAATATCACATCCAAATCAACCCAAGACACCAATATAATCTGAAGAGTTCTGCTCTAGGGTTAATATTGGTAAAGGGTTAATACTTATAAATTATAACATGTCCTTTTCCATATCGGCCCTAGTATCATCCCTAGACTCCCATATTAGCTCAAGGTGCTAGCCAAGGGCTCATATGGGTCATGGGATGATACCAGGGCCCGTATGGAAAAGGACATGTTAAAATCTATTTATCACATATTATACAAGTGCTTTAGAAAAAAGAAGAAAGAATTTTATTATTTCGTCTGGCAAGATCATACATTATTTTATCCTTCACTGAATTAACTTCATTATTGCAAAGCTCTCCAACCGATCAAAACTATAGTTCTTGAATATTATAATACCAATGTCAGATTCTCTTTTAGTATAAGTGTTCTTTATTTTTTTTAACAAATTCCGCTATCATTTTAATTGCTGTTCCCCGTCCATCATTGTTTTTAGGAACGCTTATGATGTCATAACAGGGCTCAATAATCGGTTATTTGCCCTGGGCAGGAATATGACTAGGGCAAACCTAAGGTTATTGCATATGCCAAACCCCATGTTTTCGTAACAAATATGTGGTAAGTGTGTTATATTGAAAAAGTCACATCATATACACTTTATATTATTCCTCACGTAGATGTTTTAACTCCTGGGCAGGAATATGACTAGGGCATACCTAAGGTTATTGCATATGCCAAACCCAATGTTTTCGTAACAAATATGTGGTAAGTGTGTTATATTGAAAAAGTCACATCATATACACTTTATATTATACCTCACGTAGATGTTTTAACTCGGCATGACGTAATACAAAGAAGGGGTTTGAAAAAAGCCTTTGCAACTGAACTGATATAAATGATGTGACGTCATACTGATTAGGGATTTGATTAAGCTTTTGGAATCGTGACTGATATCGATATCATCTCTGATGACTGATACAAGCTCAACTGCCATTGATTGTCTTACATATAAAATTTACTTGTATTTACTAATTAGTATATAATAATAACTATTACCACTACTTCAAGCAACTTAAAAAGGAAATATGTGACATGTAAGATCTTGTGATCTATAACCAAGTACACGAGAGAATGGTGGAGCTTTTAGAATAAATTTTCATGTGTTTCGATGAATAATAAAACATGTATTTCCCATAGCATACATAAAGATGTGTATAATGTTGCCACATGGTTAAATTGTGAAGGAATAAAAAAAAACTTTTTTTTTTGGTTAAAATAACTTTTTGTGTTGATTGGCTGCTTTCTCATTGAAGTTAACTCCTCAACTCCTTTTTTACTCATATATTTATTTTTCAGTTCAACATTCCTCAACTGTCGGTGAAGAACTTAAAAGTAGTAAAAGAAACAAGAAAACATATAGCTAAACAGACAATAGCAAATCTGTATGGTGTAAGTGGATTCATTGAATATACATTTGGATGAAAGAAATAACAATGACACAAACCCATCAATGTACATAACTTATACTAAATAGGCTTCAAATTTTTCAAAAGGAATACCTCAGACAGCATAAAATAAATACTATTTACGAAGCACTGTTTCAAGTATAATCTGACCATTCAAAGTAAAAAAAAGACAACAGTCCTCAGTCTACACCATTTACAGCAACATTCATGATGCACCAACTTAGAGCAGTAAAAAGACATCTGTAATTCTTATTTTGGCTACATTGCAAGTTACCGTACATTGTCAACAATTCATCATTCGCATAAACATTCTAGATTGCAACCAATATATTTAAAAATTAAAGAAAATTAAAAACAACAGAAATTCTATTAGTTTTATTATGGCCCATATAAAATTTCTCTTGTATATTAGTTGGTGTTGGCAAAGGAATTTAAAATATTGGAAGATTTATGGTCAATTCCTCTTAGATAAACATTTATTAAATGGATTTGGTTTCTTTCAAAGTGATTAATTGGTAAAGGTGTCAAACAAATTGCTAAAAAAGGAACAGTAATTGAAGAAGTTTTACTAATTTCCATTTCAGTTATTCATGTCACCAGAATCAGGTACAGGGACCAAGGACATACCCTCGGAGTTGGAACCGTTTGTGAGGTCCTGTTTGGAAGTCTGTTGGTACAGTGCTATCCAGGACCCACCATTAGGTTTTGTATTTGATACTGGTGTCAGCTGGGAGCTAGATACAAACTATTTTGAAATGTTTACAAAAACTGGTATCTATGTTGACTTTATTGTATGGCCTGCTATGCTCTTACACAACCATGGAGCTGTGTTACAGAAAGGGGTAGTCCAGGCTTTAGATGAAAAGTCTCATAGACCTCAACAATAATACATTCTGTTTTCATTGATATATACTTTATATGTTATACAGGTATTATTTTTGTTATTGTTACATAAATATAAAAGCTTTAATAAAATGTACACAATTATTCAAACTATAAAAGCCTGTTGTGACACAAAATTTCTGCCCCTATCCTAAATACCCTCAATTTTTAGTAGCAGTCTTAATTTTCCTTCCTTCATCTTGGTCGACATGATTATCAAAACCTGCCTATTGTACTAATTTGTTCTAATCTTTATCATGTATGAAATGTTTGCCACTGAATGTAAAGTAGCACGTGTACAACTTCATGTCAGGAAGAAGAAATTGTGTTAGTTTGGTGGAATTCTGTCAAGTCGTTTTTCGAGGAATTGAGGATAAACAAACTGCTATAAGCAAAAAAATGGCTAACTTAATTTTTTGGTATGGTAATCCCAAAAATTAAAATAGCCGGTGCACAACTTGGTATTCAATAGAAGAATATGTGCTGAATGCTGTCAGTCTAAACAACAGCAGGTTTGTTTTCATTGGAATTACCCATATTCTCAAATTACAACTAGGTTTTTAGGAATTGTGAGGAAAAAACTGAGTCATCTTTTATTTAGTCTGGATAAAACTTTAAATGATTCTACATCATATATATAGAAAGAATTTAACTGAATAGAATATCTTTCCCATGGCTACTGTTGTATACATGTATGTTAACTTCAAATAGTTCTAGAAGCTCAGGAGTTATATTTATCTAGGAATTTATTGGTTAATACCAAGGCCAACGTTCAGAATTATTGAATAAAAATAGTAATTTATACTTTATTGATATGCTTGCTATTCATTACAGCTCAGAACAGCAAATATACAAGTAAATGCATTATGCAGATGTAAAAATACAAACAAAAGCATGACAAATTTTGTTTATTTTCCAAATATATATGATCTGCTAATAATTCAAAATCAATAAACAAAGACATCAATATTTCTATCATCTGTTAACTTTGAGGTAATCACAAAAAGTTAAATAATTAAGGAAATCTTTTGAATAAATAACAATTTTTCACAGATGAAGCAACAAATTATTTTTAACACATCTCCACTATAATTTTTTTTTTTAATTTCTTGATAGACTGAAGGCTTATTTGTTATAAAATCTTTAGCATCAGTAACAGTAAAATACATAATAAATTACTTAATTAAAAGAAAATATTGCAGCTTTCCCTTATAAATAACACATACCTAATACAAATCATATAACATATAAGAAAAGGAGAAAACTAAATTTGGTTCATTATAGAAATGCACTTCCTTTGAGTGACCTGAGTTACGAGCACCAAGGTACAATCTAATGCATGACCTTAAAAATGTCAAACATCAGTAAACATAATATCATGTAATCAATTTCTGTCAGATAATGAGAAGTGATTGTGAACTAAAAGATATTTTGAACTCTTATATCATTTGAAAATTAATCTAAAAAAAATATCAACATAACGAAGATCCAATTTTCAATAAAATAAATTGAAAATTTCAAGGTCTCTGCACTTTTTCTCAATGCCTGATAACAATCTTTTGTATTACATAATATATCTGTGCTTTCCCAGATACCAATTCATATTATTCTTTTTCCTGTTCTGTTTTGTCAGTTGATGGATTAATTACTTCATTCTTATTAATGATACCCTTATGCAACAGATCTTCTGTATGATCTGTTGATCCTGTTTGGCTTTCATTATTAGCCTGTAATTGGTCATTTTGGTTATTGATAGATTCTGATTGGTCTAATTTAGATTCTTTGAAGTTTGAACTATCAGACTGTAATTGGTCACTTGGCTTATTGATAGATTCACATTTGTCTGATTTAGATTCTATGACTTCCAAATTATCAGACTGTGATTGGTCATTTGGCTTATTAATAGATTCTGATTGGTCTGATTTAGATTCTGTGATATCTGAATTATCAGACTGTGATTGGTCATTTGGCTTATGGATAGATTCTGATTGGTCTGATTTAGATTCCGTGAAGTCTGATTTGTTACTTTCATCCTTAACAGTTTTTTCTGCATCATCAATATAGATAATATCTTCTGGATTTGGTGGTCTGGGTAAGAAGTCTTCTCCTGGCATTAAATTCTCAAATATATCTCTTGACTTGAAAAAGAAAATACATAAAAATTCTATTAAGATATTATAAAAGCAGGAGAAACAAAAATGTAAAAAAAAAAGTAGAAAATTGACTTTTCAAAAGTAGAAATTTCTAATTTATAAGGTTTTGATTTTGTAAAACTAGTATGCTACTTGATTCAAGTAAATAATGTGATTTGTTTCAAAATGAAAAAGATTCATTTAAAAATTTGTAATTTGGTTCTAAAAAAAGATATTCTTACGAAAGAGAAAAGAAAATGTGTGTTATTATTTACTCTTTTATGAAGTCAATTTGAATAAAGCATATGATGGCATTTTCCATTTTAAACTGTCTCTAAATTTAAGTCCAAGAAAACATGTAAGCCTGCTGAGAGTTCCTTTACCTATCCTCATTTTAGTGCCTAAGGATATTTGGTCATAAATGGTGAAATCAAGGTTGTTCCCATTTATAATATATAAGTGTTTTTAAAAATAAACTGATTTTTATGATCTACCTACTCTATTTTTTATAACTGAAGTTATCCTAGTAAAACATTGTTTCTTGGCCTAATTAATTTTAACAGTGTAATGCCTTGGCTTAATACAAAATATACTTTAGTCAGATTATTAATTCTAATGAAAATAGTCACTCCATTTTAGCCTGACAAGTCATCTTTGCAAGGATGCTTTCCCTACGGAATATTACTAGAATAAAAGAGATAAATTGACTGTTTAAAATTTGGAAATTTTTCATGAAATTTATATTTTAATTCTTCATGACATTTATATTTTTAAATGTTGAATTGGCCTAAAACTAAATTAATTTCATTTACGAACATACAGAAATAATATATCAATCAACAATCACATTGCAAAATATATCTACTAAAGTTTTATGTAATGCAATTGTTACAATTCTTTCAACAAATATATTTATAAAAATGCATTATGATTCACCAAATCCTTTCATTTTTACCTGATCTACAACAATATCTAGGTCCAACTGTGGTCCAGGTCCAGGAATCACTATCACGTTTTCTGGAACAACAGTCCTATCCACTGTTACATCACAATAAAATTCTCTTTTGAAAAACATGGACCACATAATTACTGGTTTACCATCATCTACAACATAAAAAACTGTTGTGAACATCTGACGAACAACATTAAATGGACATGTAGGGTGAAGGGCCATAAGACAGCAACCCAACAATAAAATAAAACATAAACAAATATCTAAAAGTCAACAAACTGTCTTCAATAATAGAAAGGTGTTCATATTATATGCCACAGTCTAAATAGAATTGAGCCTGTAGACCTAGAAAATTGTGAACGAAAATATCTTTTTTTTTACAATTAAATAAAGTTTATTGCACAACTGCTGTTTTACATTTTACCAATATTACAGCTTTAGTCTGGGTACTTTGTAACTAGTTACTGAACTTCTAGGAAATAATTATAGAAAAACTAATCCAAGAATTCAAATATAGAAAAATATTCAGTGAGTGACTAAACAACACATTAATTCATGAAAAGCATAGTGCATGAGTTAATTGTCAGTGTTGTTCAGTCACGAGTTGAATATTTTTCGATATTTTAATTTCTGGATTAGTTATTCTTTTTATTGCATTGACCATGGCAACGACAATCGCTAAGGTTCCTGACTTCATACAGGTATATTAACATTTAGGTAAGTTTGTGAGTGCTAATCCCTCTCTATTTATAAATCTTGATAATGTAAATGGTACATAGAAAAACGCAAGGAACAATTGTCCAGAAAATCTCATTTTGACAACACAAAAAAGATACAGGTATAAAATAATTTTAACAATTTAACACTAACCAACACTGAATAAAATGTACTTTATGTGACTACTGCAATAATGAATGTATATAAAATCTTTTACCTTGACTAGGTTCTATCTGGAATAATGTTTTGACTATATCTTGTAAATCTAATTCTGGTGTAGTATCCCCATTTTCTGTTTCCATTGTTATATGTACAACATCTAAAAATAAAAATTTAATTTGTGTATCCACGATTACATTTAAAACATCTGAAATCATAAAATCATAAAACTGATTATTTTATGAATATTTGTCAATTTATATATATAATACCGTTTTTGTGTGATAGTGTTTAATGAAACTATTCACAAAAATTCATGCTAGTCAAGTTTATTTCTGAAAGAAACAGACATCAATCCTACCTTTGATTCATTTTAAGAGCTTATCTGGACAAGCCCTCATTAGAAACACTTACATGGATAACAAATTTATTGTAAAGCAGAAAGACACTTAAAACTGATGAAAAGCTTAACAGATTTATTTATACAGGGTTGTTTTGACACAAAGTTCCATTTTTAAAAACTAGCAAAATGCGATGCTTTACATTTGAGCTATACACACTTTCAATGTAATTAAAGTGATATTCAGACAGATACTGTGGTTTTATCTATTACAATGGGAACCAATTTTTGTGGATTGAGGTAATATTATATTCTCATGACTACTTTATTTCATGGTTTTAACAAATAACAAGCCTAAAGAAAATTTTGTAATGTTAAACAATTCAATTTGTGGTATAGTTTTACTATTGAAAATCACAAAAATAATTATCCCTCAAATAATAAACTGTTAAACTGCGGGGCCAAATATTCTCCATGGAAATGAGATGTGCTAATGCTTATACAACTGAACAACAATCAACATTGGCCTACCACTAATGGTTCCCCTTGAACTGACCTAATCACAAACTAATATATGTTAACTTAGCAAAATTTTCAAAGTCTATAGACCATGACTAAGGGGGCGGAGCCAAATATTCTCCATGGAAATGAGATATGCCAATGCTTATACAACTGCATACCAAATATCATTGACCTACCACTAGTGGTTCCCCATAAATTGACCTAATCACAAACTAATACATGTAGACTATGAAAAGTTTCAAAGTCAATAGACCTTGACTGAGGGGGGGGGGGGGGGGGCAAATAATCTCCATGGTGATGAGATGTGCCAATGCTAATACAACTGCATACCAAATATCATTGACCTACCACTAGTGGTTCACCATGAACTAGACCTAATCACAAACTAATACATTGTTGACGCCGCCGCCGACGCCGGAAACAGCATACCTTTGTCTCGTTTTTTGACTCTGTCAAGGCGAGACAAAAATGAATCAACAGTAAACAGACAATGATAAAGTTTAAATAACTTTCGCTAAAATACAGTGTATTATACTTACTTAGAGGTGAAGGACTGGACATAGAAGAGGGTGGTAACTCTATCACAGTTGTTAAGTAACGCCCATCACTATTAGGTATTTGTAACAATGATAACTGAAACAATCAATGAAAGGTGAACTTTAAAAGGCAAAATTGATTATTCAAGATTTACTTTTGATGTTCTTTTTTTCGCAATGCAACTAATAATATTACAACCGTAAGGAAAAATTTCACAATCAATATGTATCATCAGCTTCACACATTCCTTTTTAAATGTAGATTTAAATTCAAAAGCCTCTTCCATCTCACAGCAGAATTCTTGAAAAAAGTCTGAGGGTTTGTGAATTCAATTATGTGTTCAAATGGATTCGCATATTTGTCTGTAGATTGCTATCTTAAAAATATTATTAATCATGCTTGTACAAAGTAAAGCAATATATACTTATACAACATTATGATTTTGTCCTGCATGTAATATTTGTTGCAGACATAAGGCAACCATCATTCAACCAATTGTTGACATCAATTGGCATGCTTATTGTATAGGTAAAGTGTAAATTGATAGCACAGAAATATCTTGTCTGGAAGCAATGTATAACATAATTCCTTCAGCAAAGGTCAACGGAAATAACCTTAGCAATATTTTGCCAAAAAACATAATGAAGAAAATCAATCCTACAATAATTCTTACTGTATTTATAGGACAAACAAAAATGAATTAGAACAATTCTGTCCTCACCTGTACCTTAAAAAAAAGAAAAATGTGTCTGAGGACACAAATGACACAGCTCAAGCTTTGCAATTTTCCAAGTTAAATAAAATGCTTCGCTGGGGCGCAGCTTGATACGACCGCAGAGGTCGAACCCTGAACAGTTGGGGCAAGTATGGACACAACATTCAAGCTTGATACAGCTCTGAATTTGGATTGTTATTAAATATTTGACACAGCATAGGTTTCTGACACAGAAAGAATGTGGTCTAAGAACTTGAATTTTTTTAATTTACCTATTATGGTCCAATGTCCAAAATCAAAATACATGGTTAGATTCAGCATATCAAAGAACCCCATATATTCAATTTTTGTTAAAATCAAACAAAGTTTAATTTTGGACCCCAACTTGAACAAACTTGAAAACTGGGCCCATAATCAAAAATCTAAACACATGTTTAGATTCAGCATATCAAAGAACCCCAAGAATTCAATTTTTGTTAAAATCAAACTAAGTTTAATTTTGGACCCTTTGGACCTTAATGTAGACCAATTTAAAAAACAGGACTTAAAATTAAAAATCTAAATACACGGTTAGATTTGGAATATCAAAGAACCCCAATAATTCAATTTTTGATGAAATCAAACAAAGTTTAATTTTGGACCCTTTTGACCTCAATATGAACCAATTTGATAGCGGGGCCCACAAATAAAAAATCAAAATTCATGGTTAGATTCAGCATATCAAAGAACCCCATATATTCAATTTTTGTTGAAATCAAAAAAAGTTTAATTTTGGACCCCAACTTGGACAAACTTGAAAACTGGGCCCATAATCAAAAATCTAAACACATGTTTAGATTCAGCATATCAAAGAACCCCAAGAATTCAATTTTTGCTAAAATCAAACTAAGTTTAATTTTGGACCCTTTGGACCTTAATGTAGACCAATTTAAAAAACGGGACCTAAAATTAAAAATCTAAATACACGGTTAGATTTGGAATATCAAAGAACCCCAATAATTCAATTTTTGATGAAATCAAACAAAGTTTAATTTTGGACCCTTTTGACCTCAATATGAACCAATTTGATAGGGGGGCCCACAAATAAAAAAATCTAAATACATGGTTAGATTCAGCATATCAAAGAACCTCATATATTCAATTTTTGTGGAAATCAAACAAAGTTTAATTTTGGACCCCAATTTGGACCAACTTGAAAGCTGGGCCCATAATCAAAAATCTAAATACTTGTTTAGATTCAGCATATCAAAGAACCCCATATATTCAATTTTTGTTGAAATCAAACAAAGTTTAAATACTGGACCCTATCTTGGACCAACTTGAAAACTGGGCCCATAATCAAAAATCTAAACACATGTTTAGATTTAGCATATCAAAGAACCCCAAAAATTCAATTTTTGTTAAAATCAAACTAAGCTTAATTTGGGACCCTTTGGACCTTAATGTAGACCAAATTAAAAAACAGGACCCAAAATTAAAAATCTAAATACACGGTTAGATTTGGAATATCAAAGAACCCCAATAATTCAATTTCAGATGAAATCAAACAAAGTTTAAATTTGGACCCTTTTGACCTCAATATGAACCAATTTGATAACGGGGTCCACAAATAAAAAATCTAAATACATGGTTAGATTCAGCATATCAAAGAACCCCATATATTTAATTTTTGTTGAAATCGAACAAAGTTTAATTTTGGACCCCAATTTGGACTAACTTGAAAACTGGGCCAATCTAAATACATGTTTAGATTCAGCATATCAAAGAACCTCATATATTCAATTTTTGCTAAAATTAAACAAAGTTTAATTTTGGACCCTTTGGACCTTAATGTAGACCAATTTGAAAACTGGACCCAAAATTAAAAATCTAAATACACTGTTAGATTCGGCATAACAAATAAATAAATGTGATCAAAGATTTTACAAATCTAATGCGCCATACTGTGCAATTAAAGATTACTTCTTGAAATTTTTCAATATTTGAAATTTGAAAAAAAAATAATATTTGAAGAATATTTCTTTTTAATTTCTGAAATCTGAAATGAGAAAAAATTGACCCCCCACAATTTCTTTTTATCCCCCCCCCCCCCCACCTTTTTTCCCCCAAAAAATTCTTTCCCTCAAGATATAGTCATAATCTCAATTCAAATTTCCAATGGAGTTGGCAACCATAATTACCCATTTAAATTTACCATAGTGCTAACTTAATCTATTTTATAATAGAATTAAAAATATAGTGTCAAATCTTTCATATGGATTTTTTTGTAAAAAAAAAAGATGCAACATTTGCAGATATTTTTACTGGTCTTCCTTTATAAATATGCATTTCTTTAAACATAATTTAAAAGCAGTGTAAGGGAAGTAACTAAAACGTTGTATTTGGATTACCTCCCTTACACTGTTTTAAATTATCTTTATTGTTCATTAACCATTACTTTATACATAATTTAAAAGCAGTGTAAGGGAGATAATTTCAATGATGTATTTGATTTATCTCCCTTACACTGCTTTAAATTATGTTTTGTACTAAAGTATTTGTCCATTAACCAGGACAACCTTGTTTTTCCCCCTTTTTTGCCCCTAATTCCTAAACGGTTTGAGCCATAACCCCCAAAGCAAATCCTTACCATCCCTTTGTGGTATGGAAACTTGTAGTATAATTTCAGAGAGATCCATACACCGTTGCACAGTTATTGTCTGGAAACTAGAAAATGCTTATTTTTGGCCCCTTTTTGGCCCCTAATTCCTTAACTGTTGGTACCATAACCCCCAAAATCAATCCCAACCTTCCTTTTGTGGTATTTAACCTTATGGTCAAATTTCAAAAAGATCCATTCACTTAAACTAAAGTTAGAGTGCGAAAACCAATGTGTATTCGGACGACGACGACGCCGGACGACGACGACGACGCCAACGTCATACCAATATACAACCACAAAATTTTTTTGCGGTCGTATAAAAAGGGCATAACTTTAGAACGGTAAATGACTCACAACCCAAATTCGAACTCTGTCTGCGTGTTGTTGTTCTAAGCATTGTGTATGAGATTCATAAAATTTGGATAAGACAAAATTCAGTAAGAGTGCGGAAATGAAAATAGGACGGACGGACGGTAGGTCAACGGTAACACTTAATGCCCCACATATAAATCAATTTGTCATATTTTTATTCATCTAAAATCATGATTCCTGAGATATCCATACATCTAATGTGCTTAGTTCTGAATTGTCAAATGTAAACGCTTATTTACAGTCCCAAAAATATGTGCTCCATCTGAATGCATATTTTTACATACTGGTACAAGTATTAACAATAAATGATTGAAATTTATATACAATTTGATGTGCCTGATAAATTACATGCCTCTTACTTCACTACACAAGCCTACCTGTTGTGAATCATCATGTAATATACTTCTGTCTGTAACCAGCACTACTCTGGATATATACCTTATAAGAATATAAAACAAATTCTAAATGATAAACACTTCATAAAACAAAGGTAAGACATAATGTCAATGGAAAGAAGAGTATGCTGTTCTAATTTATGACACAAAATTCTTAATGTAATTTTTAAAAAATATAAAAAAAATACTAACATGAACCTACTATAGTATATAAAACACTAACCATTGCCATCTTTTATATGTTTATTTTAAAGGGGCACTAGCTACGAGATATATAAAAAATATAAAATATGATTTTTTTTGTTCAATCAATAATGAAAGTGAAAAAGTGAAATAATATATCGCTTTTAGCAGCCAGTATGGTTCAATTTTGTCAAAATAAGCTAAGAAACATTGATGATGAATTATTCACTTGCAAGTGAATAATTCGACCTCATTGAATCCGTATTCATGTGAACTTCAATTCAACCCCTTAGCTAAGAGATGGATACTCTGGATATGTGTTGTGCGTGTTCAATTATTTAAATGAAAAGAATGTCAACATTGAAAATGAAACAAAGGTAAATCATTTGATTGACTGATTCGATCCACAAAAAAATCATTCTTATACAGGTAAAAACGATTATTAACATATATTTTTAATCTATAATATGAAATTAAACAGACCTAGAAAAATCCAAATGCACGAGTCTGATTTATATCTATATTTATGTTTATATCTCTTATATGGCAATCGGAGGTGTTCGGAGGTCAACTCGACAGTTAATTAGATAGCGTCTAGACTAAAATACACACGAAACGAAGCTACATATTATCGAGCCCATGCCCGGTATATTGTTTATTTTAGACTTTTTATAATTTGAATAAATGTTTGACATTGTTATAAATCAAATATGAGAATTTGAGTCAAATCAGTGAACATGAATTTGACAGCTAGTGCCCCTTTATCAAGCTTTAGTTTTCAGTGTCGTCTTCAGTTTTCTTAGTCCTGATTTTGAACAGTTCTCACAATCTATATTCTTTATAACAAGTCTTTGTCTTGACTGTCTTTCTGATTCTGAACTACTATTTTAGCTTTCAGAAGTCAGACTTTTTAAAGTATAATTTTAAGGTTTTGTCATATTTTGCTTGGAAATTGATGAGGTAAATATCCAAAATGATTTACCTTTTATTGGAAGCATTAAACAGTGAAACTGGCACAGACGATTCCTCTATTATAACATATCTGAAAGTATATGAATCAAAATAATTGATTAAATTAGATACCAGTATATAATATAGCCATTTCTATCACTTTGCATAAACACTAGTTGTTTTAACTGCCATACATATTTTGGGGTATCTGAAAATATGGACTATAAAGAAATGATAAATGATGAATTAGAATTGTTTTCTCAACACAGGTCAAAACTACTATAAATTTTGTCAATAAAAAGTCTGGGCTACACTTTACATCTAAAATTATATTAAATACCTTCCTTCTTTTAATTAAAACCTATTAAATAGACTACCTTACTTTCTTGCCTTTATTTTGATTTTTTACTGCATAAAACAATGTTTTATGTAACTTTATAAACTATTTATATCCACTAACATATGTATTTTTTATCAATCAAGTTTAATTTGTTCAAAATTTTATACAATACAAAAAAGCTTTCATTTAACATGCAACTAAGCTGCTTTCTGAGATTTATTTAAAAAGATAATATTTTTGCTTATGAGTTTAGAATTAAACCATTCAATGCTTTTCTTAACAAGAATGTGTCCATAATACATGGATGCTCCACTCCCACTATCATTTTCTATGTTCAGTGGACCGTGAAATTGGGGTCAAAACTCTAATTTGGCATTAATCATGGAAAGATCATATCATAGGGAACATGTGTACAAAGTTTCCAGTTGATTGGACTTCAACTTCATCAAAAACTACCTTGACCAAAAACTTTAACCTGAAGCGGGACAGACGGACGGACGCACAGACTGAATAAAATGCTTCGCTGGGCGCAGCTTGATACGACCGCAGAGGTCGAACCCTGAACAGTTGGGGCAAGTATGGACACAACATTCAAGCTTGATACAGCTCTGAATTTGGATTGTGATTAAATATTTGACACAGCATAGGTTTCTGACACAGAAAGAATGTGGTCTAAGAACTTCAATTTTTTTAATTTACCTATTATGGTCCAATGTTCAAAATACATGGTTAGATTCAGCATATCAAAGAACCCCATATATTCAATTTTTGTTGAAATCAAACAAAGTTTAATTTTGGACCCCAACTTGGACCAACTTGAAAACTGGGCCCATAATCAAAAATCTAAACACATGTTTAGATTCAGCATATCAAAAATCCCAGGAATTCAATTTTTGTTAAAATCAAACTAAGTTTAATTTTGGACCCTTTGGACCTTAATGTAGACCAATTTAAAAAACGGGACCCAAAATTAAAAATCTAACAACACGGTTAGATTTGGCATATCAAAGAACCCCAATAATTCAATTTTTGATGAAATCAAACAAAGTTTGATTTTGGACCCTTTTGACCTCAATATGAACCCATTTGATAGCGGGCCCACAAATAAAAAATCTAAATACAAGGTAAGATTCAGCATATCAAAGAACCCCATATATTCAATTTTTGTTGAAATCAAACAAAGTTTAATTTTGGACCCCAATTTGGACCAACTTGAAAACTTGGCCAAAATCTAAAATCTAAATACATGTTTAGATTCAGCATATCAAAGAACCCCATATATTCAATTTTTGTTGAAATCAAACAAAGTTTAATTTTGTTGGACCCCAACTTGGACCAACTTGAAAACTGGGCTCATAATCAAAAATCTAAACACATGTTTAGATTCAGCATATCAAAGAACCCCAAAAATTCAATTTTTGTTAAAAATCAAACTAAGTTTAATTTTGGACCCTTTGGACCTTAATGTAGACCAATTTAAAAAACGGGACCCAAAATTAAAAATCTAAATACACGGTTAGATTTGGCATATCAAAGAACCCCAATAATTAAATTTTTGATGAAATCAAACAAAGTTTAATTTTGGACCCTTTTGACCTCAATATGAACCAATTTGATAGCGGGCCCACAAATAAAAAATCTGAATACATGGTAAGATTCAGCATATCAAAGAACCCATATATTCAATTTTTGTTGAAATCAAACAAAGTTTAATTTTGGACCCCAATTTGGACCAACTTGAAAACTGGGCCAAAAATCAAAAATCTAAATACATGTTTAGATTCAGCATATCAAAGAACCCCATATATTCAATTTTTGTTGAAATCAAACAAAGTTTAATTTTGGACCCCAACTTGGACCAACTTGAAAACTGGGCCCATAATCAAAAATCTAAACACATGTTTAGATTCAGCATATCAAAGAACCCCAAGAATTCAATTTTTGTTAAAATCAAACTAAGTTTAATTTTGGACCCTTTGGACCTTAATGTAGACCAATTTAAAAAACGGGACCCAAAATTAAAAATCTAAATACACGGTTAGATTTGGCATATCAAAGAACCCCAATAATTAAATTTTTGATGAAATCAAACAAAGTTTAATTTTGGACCCTTTTGACCTCAATATGAACCAATTTGATAGCGGGCCCACAAATAAAAAATCTAAATACATGGTTAGATTCAGCATATCAAAGAACCCCATATATTCAATTTTTGTTGAAATCAAACAAAGTTTAATTTTGGACCCCAATTTGGACCAACTTGAAAACTGGGCCAAAAATCAAAAATCTAAATACATGTTTAGATTCAGCATATCAAAGAACCCCATATATTCAATTTTTGTTAAAATCAAACAAATTTTAATTTTGGACCCTTTGGACCTTAATGTAGACCAATTTGAAAACTGGATCCAAAATTAAAAATCTAAATACATCGTTAGATTCGGCATAACAAATAAATAAATGTGGTCAAAGATTTTACAAATCTAATGCGCCATACTGTGCAATTAAAGATTACTTCTTGAAATTTTTCAATATTTGAAATTTGAAAAAAAAATAATATTTGAAGAATAATTCTTTTTAATTTCTGAATTCTGAAATGAGAAAAAATTGACCCCCCACAATTTCTTTTTACCCCCACCCCCCCCCCCCCCCATTTTTTCCCCCAAACCATAATTACCCATTTAAATTTACCATAGTGCTAACTTAATCTATTTTATAATAGAATTTAAAATATAGTGTCAAATCTTTCATATGGTTTTTTTTGTAAAAAAAAAAGATGCAACATTTGCAGATATTTTTACTGGTCTTCCTTTATAAATATGCATTTCTTTAAACATAATTTAAAAGCAGTGTAAGGGAAGTAACCAAAACGTTGTATTTGGATTACCTCCCTTACACTGTTTTAAATTATCTTAATTGTTCATTAACCATTACTTTATACATAATTTAAAAGCAGTGTAAGGGAGATAATTTCAATGATGTATTTGATTTATCTCCCTTACACTGCTTTAAATTATGTTTTGTACTAAAGTATTTGTCCATTAACCAGGACAACCTTGTTTTTCCCCCTTTTTTGCCCCTAATTCTTAAACGGTTTGAGCCATAACCCCTCAAAGCAAATCCTAACCATCCCTTTGTCGTATGGAAACTTGTAGTATAATTTCAGAGAGATCCATACACCGTTCCACAGTTATTGTCTGGAAACTAGAAAATGCTTATTTTTGGCCCCTTTTTGGCCCCTAATTCCTTAACTGTTGGTACCATAACCCCAAAAATCAATCCCCACCTTCCTTTTGTTGTATTGAACCTTATGGTAAAATTTCATAGAGATCCATTCACTTAAACTAAAGTTAGAGTGCGAAAACTAATGCGTCTTCGGACGACGACGACGCCGGACGACGACGACGACAACGCCATACCAATATACGACCACAAAAATTTGTTTGCGGTCGTATAAAAATATAATGCCCCCTAGGGGCATAAAAAGTCATATACAAATGACTAATTTTTCTTTAACTATGTATAAGTGATCTAAAAAGCAAATTATATTCTGAAATTTTACATATATCACTTACTTAGCTGTCAATTTCTTTCCATCTGTTGATATCACACCAGTACATCTATAAAATAAAGCAAATATTGTTTGGCGGACAATGGGAGATAACTTATAATATCTTAAACCTTCAATAACAGCTTATTTAAATTCTAATGTATTTGTTAACTTTAATTCTCATACTTTGCACACACTTTAGCAAACTAACAATGTTTTTTCCTGGTTGTTGTTTAATTGCTGTCACATTGACATTTTCACTGTATCTCATTTTGTTCTGTATTACAAAATTTATTTGGTTCCAATTTTTAAAATACCATGTAAACATTTCTTACTTGCTAACAATCTCTTGATGTGGAATATTTAACAGACAATAACAGCAATATTTAATCTAACATTTTGAAAGAGTTATCACTACTTTCAGCTATTGCAAAAAGTCGTGTGACTAAAAAAAAAATTGTCACAAAACTTCCTTTTTATTTATAAATAAAGAGCTGCGCCATGAGTGCATGGTACGCACTTCGCTTTTTCAACAGATAAAGTTCCAAAACTCCTCAATGTCATATCAGAAATTTATGAAAAAACTAAAGGGAGATTATTTAATAGATACAAACCAGTTACTAAAGTTTCATGAAAACTGCTCAAAACACTTTTGAGTTATTGTCCCAAAACTGGAAAACCCCCCCCTTTTTTTTTATAAAATCCCTTAACTCGGAAACGTAAAATTTAAAATTTATAAAAATCCAAAGGGAGCTAAAGTCAATAGATATAAACAATTCACCAAAGTTACATGAAAACTGCTCAAAGGATTTTTGCGTTATTGTCCAAAAACTGTAAAATCACCTATTTTAAATGAATAAAACCCCATAACTCGGAACTGTAAAATCTAAATTTATACAAATCGAAAGGGAGCTTACATCAATAGATATAAAATTCACAAAAGTTTCATGCAAATTGGTTTTAAAGTGTTTTTGAGTTATTGTCCAACATGTTGACGACGGACGGACAACTGTATACCATACTACGTCCTGTAAAGGGCGTATAAAAATTTACATCTGTAACAACCAAATTAAATCTATTTAAAATGTGGGTCAAATCTGTTTTTAACATTTTTTTTTACTTAGCATGGTTTTGTGATAAGGGTTTTGTTTCAAAATATAGATGCTCTATGTATTCAATACAGTTTTAAGAAGAAAAAAATTTAAATGACTATCAGTTTTTTCCATATTTTATTAAGTTTTTTATAGTATTTCAATATCAAAAGTCTTTAACTTACTTATTGTCTTTGTCTACAACTAAATGACTAGCTGACAATTTCAAGCAATAAACTCCACCAAAAACAGCACACATTCTGTAAAAATAATCTCTCATAAATTGGTACATAAAACTGACATAAACATCAACAATAAGTTAACATTAGCTAAACACCCAGTTGTCAGCCTCTTCCTGCATAGTTTGGATCCTTTCAATAACTTTTATGCAACAAGCCTTCTGTCAAAATATATCACAAAATTTTAATTATTTTCAATATTGACCAATTTTACCTGGGTTTTTCATTTATTTTGTTTTCCTTTTTCCTGATCTGGTGATCAGATTCAAGATATTTTCTCTTATTTCATTTTATTTCAATACAAACTTGCAAGTTTTATTTAGTTATCTATCAAAAAGGTTAACTTGTCATGCAATTTTTTCCTAGGAATTTATTAAATTAATTCAGATTGTTGCAGAAGCTATTCAAATGAAACTTTTGATGATGAAACAAAAATATCTCAATGAATTTAATCAAGCACAAAATGAGCAATTTTGATTTTATGTTTTTTTTTTCTCTGGTCATCAACTCTTGTAATTGACCTCCATGCCAAATAACTTGGTTAAGAATACATCTTGGAAAGTCAGACAGTACCAAACTGTAAGAAGTTCATCCTGGTCATTAATATGCTTAACTAGTTTTGCTGATGTTTAACATCCTAGTCATATTCTTTGATAGAAGATGACCTCTAATCTTGTAATATTTAATCAATGATATACCTGCAGAAACCCTGAGGAAGTTCACCACATCCATATAAAGGCCAAAGAAATGCTGTGTTTCCATAACGTCCAAGGGAATGTAAAAATTTCTTGGTTTTAGCTAAACCCTATAAATTATAGCAAACATATGTAAGACTATGTGTGTTGACCAATATGATGACATTATTTTATTATTCAAACCTTCAAAAGATTGTTTTCAAAAGCATTTTCATGTTAACTAGCTCATAGTTTGAAACATCAAAACAAGTACAAAATTTACCAACCATGTATATTTGTGTAGAACAGATAGATTAAAAACAATTCAAACCAGATATATCCAAAACATAGATCAAAATTTTAGTTACTTTAACAATCTTTAAATCTTGATATGATATCAACATCTAGCAATATATCATTGAACTTGTCTTTATTGAAAACTCAAAAAACATTTATAGTCTCCCTCAACTCACCTCAGGGGTTAATGTTTCGCTGGTAGCCATGGCAATGGAATGTTGTACAAAATGTTTTATATTTTTGGTAAGTTTCTTTGATTCCAAATAATCTGTAAAGGGTCTGTCTGTAAAAGCTTAAAAAAACAGGATGTTTTTATATTTTTTAATACACAGAATAAGTTTTCCCGTGTGATTTTTTTGCAATTACACAGGCCTCTACAATAACTTTTTTTTCAACTTGTCCAGTAGGACAAGTACAACCCAAAACTTACTTGTCCGAATGAAATTGTAACTTGTCCAAAACAATTCTTAATAATAACCTTTTTTGCCTTATAAGTTGATTCAAGGAACAAAATGAATTAAAACAATAGAACAGAATTTGATTTATATCTTTTGAAATACTTTTCAAAAATATGAGTCGAGAACAACTGAATCCAGTCATGTCACAGGGCTTAAGTTCTAGTTTTCATCAATGCCAAAGTCTCATCAGACTCTGCACATGAGGCACCGTCTGATAGGCCTGTCAATGTACACTCATTGGATTTGTATCCTGGTTGTTTAAGTTGAAAAAAGATTATTCAAATGCAATCAATAAAAAAAAGAAGATGATGTATGATTGCCAATGAGACAACTCTCTGCAAGAGACCAAATGACACAGAAATTAACAACTATAGGTCACCGTATTGCAAGTATTGTTTCTTTCTACATATGATCAAATATGATTTTGTGAATTTTATGGTAAATAATTTCTTCATTTTTATTTAAAAAATATTTTTGTTAAAAAAATTACCGGTATGGTATTTATTATAAAGCAACAGAATAAGGTGGGAAACCAGGTACTGATTTGTCTTGGGCCCAAATTGTCTCCTGCGTTGCCAAACTGTCTATTAATCGTATCTATTAAATATGTCTCCTACGGTGCCAAACTGTCTATTAAACTTAGGAGCCGAATCGTTTCCGAGCTGGTGAAGAACTGTCTTGTAAAGTTACCTTTTCTACAAAGCGCATCGCTGATTCGGATCAGTAAAACTGGTTTCCGAGAATAGTATGCCTTTTGCCTATTAAAAAGTACCTGACAAAGAACCAGTTTAAAATTATAGGTTTGCAAGTAAACATGTCAAATTAATACTTGTTCTTATCTTCTTTTCTTGTTTTTTGTTTATAATTACTTTGTTCATCAAAGTTGGATTAAATTTATTTTCTGCAGAATAATTTTACTTGTCCCGTCGGACAAGCTTGATATAGCTTTTACTTGTCCGACTTTTTTTCCCTCTGGTACCGGACAATCGGACAAGCGTTATTGTCGAGGCCTGTTACAAGCCTAAGCATGATATTTACTTGCATTTTTTTACATAAATTTCGCATTAAGTTAAAATAATTTTCACATAAATTTTACATACAATTACTACTACTAGGGGGTGTTTAACGAAATTGACTACCCATGAGGGTCTTGCATGGTCGGCATACAAATCAAGTACAGTAAATTCAAAAATTATTGAAGGTTCTTATTAATGCAAATAATGTGACTGGGTGAGTATCACATTAATTAGAACTTGCATTCTGATATCTGATACATTTATGTGTACACAGCTTTTTGGGAAATTGCAATAATTAATCTATAATATTTGTTGGTCATGACAAAATCGCAATAACTTCTAGATTTACAGCAGTTTTTTTTCCAGTTTTAAAAATTTATGATATTATTATAATGAATAGTTTTTTTTATTCTGTACTAATTCATAAAATGCAAATAATTCAATTCAAAAATGTTAACCAAGTTCAGAAACATCTGTCAATTGATAAGCAACATATTTGTTTGTTTGCATTTTTCTGATGGGTTTAAATTATTCAATTTATTGGCTTTTGTTCCAATACACCCATGATTATATCATTGTTAGTTTTGTATATATTTGTTGATAACTACGATGTATAAAAAGTAAATAAAACAGTTTCTCTTCAATATATTAAAATTTGCAAGAATCCTATTCTATATATAGAGAGAATCAACAATCAATAAATCAATTTACATGTACCTTCATAATCTGTTGGCCTTTTATCATATTCTGCACAGGATGTTAAAAATTTCATCAACATTCTCTTCTCCAACATAGATACTTCCTTACTGTTAAATACATCTGCTCTGGAACATGGTACCTATAATATATATTTGATCCATGTATGACAAAGAAAAAGATTAATGCAACCACTTGCAGAAATTATTTTTATTTTTTTTTCTCAAAATGCTTATTTTATCTTATATATTTGTTCCATTTCCTTTTATATTGCATTAAGTTATTTCATATTCACTTCACTGCAGGTCATAAGAGAATATCCTCTCAGTAAATTGTTAAATTTGAGGCAGTTTGCAAGAAGGTATTTATAGACAGACAATCTGACATTACACTGATAAATTTAAATTAATGACAAGCTGATTTTTCTTACTTATGAATAATTAAAATCCATGTATGTTCCTATGAAATTTTAAAGAGCATAATATTATAATGGTCATATTGTATCATGCTAAAAAATATTTGATTTACATGCAGAATCAACAAGTGAATCTGTGAGTACTGCTCACTAATGATACCCCGCCCCGCTAAAAGTATAAGGTAAACAGGAAGATGTTGAGTGATGAATCTGAAAATGCATCACACGGTATAGCTGACTCATATAAACCCTGAAACCAAATTTCAGAAATCCTTGTAATGTAGTTCCTGAGAAAGATGAGACGAAAAATATTCATTGGATGGACGGACAGACTGACGGATGGACTGAGGGATGGACGGATGGATTGACAGACAGAGGTAAAAAAGTATACCCCCACTTTTTTAAAGCGGGGGTATAATAAAAATATTAACCTCAATTCAAGAGAACTAACTTAATTTTAATACTAAATTAAATAGATACTGAAGCTATATACAAAGAACATAAAAGCACAAGTGTGTATTGTGTCATGAATTAATACACCACACCCCTTCTATTACATTATTCACCTTTTCAAGTTTTCCGTCCAGTAATGTTAACATCCTAGTGACAGTTTTAAACTCACAATACTTGGCAATGTCTGATGTGATCAGTAGCTGTACCATACTCCCACCACAGTAAAGTAACTGTAAAAAACACAAACGTATGAAATATTAATCCCTTAGTAAACTCAAAACACATAGGGAGAAATGGTTGTTTCGAAGATGAGTTATGATCAATATCGTATTGAGGCAGACAGAACAATCTAAGATGCTTAAGATAATTTCTGTCCAGACCAGCTAAATTGCTGTTACTCTGTTTTATCAACAATATCATAATCAAATAAATAAGTAATCCTGTTACTTTTGTTACTTTGGCATTGCCTAATTTTTTTTGTGCATCAGAGAAATAGTGATACTGATAATATCAGTCTTTCAGATCATATGATATGCACAGAGCAAAGTGTGTACGTTTTCAAAGACACAAGATATTGTCTTATCAACGCTTATTGTGCAGATTGTGCAATAATTGCTACATGTAGGTGTACTACAGAGAAAACATGGAAAATTTGATACCCCTTGAGACTGGCTTTTCCAATTCATATAAAGAGCATAATCTATTTTATTCTGACAAATGCATAACATGTATTCGCTTAATCTCAATCTTTATATTATATACATAAACATTATTTCACCTTTGGTGTTAAATCTAAATTAAATTTCCTCCATTCCTTCAATAATCTAGATTTTGTCCATTTTTCTGTATTCTTCTTTATGTCAGGGTTGACAACAGATTCAGGTAATTCTTTCTTTTCACCAATAATTTTAGAATCTGAGCTCTTTAGACAACTGTCCTTAACATCTGTAGTTGAACTGTCCTTGACATCTGTAGTTGAACTGCCCTTGACATCTGTAGTTGAACTGTCCTTGATATCTGTAGTTGCACTGTCCTTAACATCAGTTGTTACATTGTCCTTGACATCTGTGTTCACACTGTCTTTTTGACTAGTGTCTTTGGTATTATTTTTATTTTGTTCAGAAGCACCACTGCTGTTATCAGCAGCTACTGAATCTGCATGTTTAAATTCCTGACTATCATTTAAATCTGCTTTCTCAGATATTTCTGCATTTTCTTTTTCATTACACTGAGAGTTTGAAGTATCTTCAGAAGAAACTTTTTCCTTTAAATCACTTTCTTCATCTGTCTTGTCATCACTGATGTAGGAAAAAAATGTATTCAATAATTTTCATCACTACACAATTTGAAAATGATTTTAATATTGTTAATACCTCTCAATGATATATTCAAAAAGAAGAGACTAAAACCCCAAACATCAATACCACTTTTTTGTTTGCGCTACCTAATACAGACTGAAAATTTCATAAGTCAACTTAAAAAAAACAAAAAAAACTGTTACTGACATTTAAGAACTGTGTCAACACACACACAACTTTTTCTGGTCATACAATTAACATTATCTCCTTTAGCCTGTGGCATTACACTCACCCAACATTAAATGTGACATTTGTATGACTGTAACTTTTATCTGTTAGTTCAAGTTCAATTGTACTTTCTTCGTCACTAATAAGACTTTTAACTGTATCTGAATCAGTAGATTTCAGAGCATCTTCTCCCTTTGTCTGAAAGACATCAATATCTTAATCAAGATAACAACTCATAATCAATATCTTTTCCTCACCTCCTATCAACACACAATTCTTCAATTTGTTTACTATCCCCCCGGCTCAAAAATTTTGCTTATTATTATTATTTGAATCTGTATTTATGCGATCTTCAATTTGACCTTTAGCTGGAGATGGATTACTCATGTGCTAAACATATTCAGTTATTAAAAAAAAGAAAAGAACATGCACATTGAAGGGCTTAGTCTTTTCATCGTTTTTTATCCCCATGGCGGTGTCAGTTTTTATTTGACTTATGAGTTTTGATTGTTCCCTTGGTATCTTCCGCCTCTTTTTTTGTCTGTGTATCTATATTTATGTTTAATCATATGACCATCTGCATTCTTCAGAGATCATCTCAATGGTTAATTAGATGGTGTCTTATCTAAAATACACATGAAATGCTGGTGTCTTATCTAAAATACACATGAAATGCTGGTGTCTTATCTAAAATACACATGAAATGCTGTTACATCACAACGAGTCCATGTGTTGTTAATTATTTCTTTTTTGACTTTTTGTAATTTGTATATACGTTTTAATATGCTATAAATGAAATTGTGAGAATTTGAGTCCAATCAATGAACATGAATTTGACAGCTTATGCCCTCTAAGGAGGATGGATGTCATCAAACGTCAGCAATTTTTACCTGATTAATCCATGAGCCTACAGCTTGTAAATTAAATGAGCACCACCTCCCACTATAATAACCATTTCTAAAAATAAATAAATATGAAATAACTATTTTTTTCTATAAAGTACTGTACCACTGTAAGTTCTTTTTTCAGTTACAGAATATACATGTAAGTTTTAGATGGCATTCTACAGAATAAAGAATTAATTGACTGATTGAATAAAAACTATATTGGGCGATTGAATATGATGGTTTTGGTTGGTTGTTTTCATAAAGTAGCTATTTTTATCACTGGGAATTACCATTTGTAGGTATATTTCATTACTTACAAATTTTGCTAACACAATGTACCTGATGATTGAAAGGAATGAATTTAAAAAATTATCCAGTACAGATTGGGCTGAATTTCAGCCCATATTTACATTAGATTTTAGACTTTTAACATGTATAGATGAATGATCCTTAGACATCTGAACACTGCATCGTATACATACATTGAATGAACAGAATGGAAAAGAAGGGTGTATGGAAGCATACACCTGAAGCACTGAGAAACTTTCTACAGTCTCTACACTACTGTACACAACACAAGTGACAAATATCATGAATAATATTATAATATCTTATAATTACCTATCTATATGAAGCACCTTTTGGCCAATTCTAGAAAAAGCAGCAGCTAAAATGCTTTCTGATAAACCTGAAATACATATGTACATTATAACTCAAAGATAAGCAGAACATCAACTTTCAATTACAAAATGAGTGAACAACATCAGTTTAAACATGCATTATCATATTATAACATATCATTAATGGAGCTTGCTGTCCGGTGTGAGCCAAGGCTCCATGTTGAAAGTCGTACTTTGACCTATAATGGTTTACTTTTACAAATTGTGACTTGGATGGAGAGTTGTCTCATTGGCACTCATACCACGTCTTCTTATATCTATTTAACTTTATAATAAGTCTGTTAACATGGTTAAGCCAAAAGAAAAATTAAAAGTACTTATTGGTTATATGTAGATCAAAAATACTACCATAAAAAGCTTGATGTGAAATACAGTTTGTGATCAAATATGTGCTGGTGGAATTAAACTGCCACAAAAATTCCTCATAAATGTGATAGAATTTAGTTAAAATTTTAACCAATTTATGTTATATCTATTCATAATTTCCTGTTGTCATGGTTGTAAAAGATTATATGTCATGAAAAGATAAAGTTAAAGGAAAACTGAGACATCACTGAAATATGTACATATCAAAACCAAAATGCATAATTTCTCCACTGGACAGGTCCTGTAACTTCAAATGTACTAACTTCTTTCCAAATATATTCTAACATAAAAAGAAATAGAGCTAGCTGGTCCGTGAAGAAGATGTCATCAAACCCTTCAATGAACATAACCACGGATCAGACCCATCAGGCAAACATGTTGTTAGTAGTTATCTGCTTTGAACTAGCTGTCAGTTACTGCTCTAGTACTCTGAGATCTGTACTTTGTCTTTTTTGTTGTAAGGGATGTATAAATGCCCTGTTACGTCGAAGATGTTTTTCTGCTTTGTATCCAACTGATGATTTAAGCCCTTTTCAACTGATTTCTATAGTTTGTTCTCATGTTGCACTGTTACACCACTGTCCCAGATTAGGGGAGGGTTGCTGCCTTTAGAAATGTTTAACCCTTGCACATTCTTTATGTGCCTGTCCCAAGTCAGGAGCCTGTGGTTCAGTGATTGTCAATGGTTCGTGTCTGTCATATTTGTTTTTCGTAAATTGTTTTGTTGTAAGTTCTAAAGGCCATTAGTTTTCTCAAGTGAATTGTTTCATATTTTTCATTTCGGGCCTTTTTTTGCCAACTTTACGGTATGTTTTTTCTCATTGTTGAAGGCTGTACAGTTGCCTATAATTGCTTACATCCTTTTATTTGAACTTTGGTGGATAGTTGTCTCATTGGCAATCATACCACATCTCCTCATTTTAATAATGCTCCTGAGGTAGAAGAGGTCATCAAGCAATGGGCAAAAGACAAAGAAGAGACAGCTCTAATCACACTTTTTCTAGCTTTAGATGAAGACTATCATGACTATCAACAATATGCCATCAAAACCAATTTCTTAAAAAGATCAACATTAAGATACTACTGAAGACAACACAAAACTCTAATTACAAGTACAAATAACTGATCAGGTCTAGTTTTATATGAAACAAGCTCAAATTTAATTTACCCTCATTATATATTTCATAACTGAAAGTATGATATAAATTGTGGGCTTTTGTCTAAGGGTCTTTAGTCCTAGATCCGTAGAGAAATATATAAAATGAAAATAATTTGAGTATAGTGTAAAGGAAATGAGTATTCAAACATACATGTATATATAATTTAGTTATATAATTATGCCATAGATAAATATCTAACAAACTAAATATCAAAATTAACAATATTCTTAAAGGCTGTAACAAGACATTTATGTAAATTTGTATGAGCAGAACCTGAGTTTATATTTAGAAATTACCAAATATAAGGATATCATTGTATGAATCATAATGATAATCTGATCCCACAGTGTGTATTTTATTAAGTGCCTTCACTATTTATGGGAAATGTGGCAAGTTCTCGATAAGAAAATAACATAAGGAAAAAATCTTGAGATATTGAACGACTATGATAGGACGTTGTCTTTTACCTGTTCCTATAACAATTACATCAAATTCTGTTGGAAATTCGTCAGCCATACTTGATATTTTAAGTATGTCTAACTTTGAGACATAGTTTCGTAAAAATATAATCGTGGTTAAAAATATTTTCTTTAAGATAACGTCTTTTCTAAAATACATGTTTAGTTGTTATATGACTTTTACAATAACAATTTATAATCTAAAACCTGTTTCAAAATTTATATTCATAAAATTGAGAAATCCGAAACTAAGTTTTACCTTAATCTTTTTCAGTGTGAAGGTCGTTCTACTTTCGATTTGATACTGATGATGAACAAGCTAAATGAGAATTTATTTATCAGTATTCAATTCACTTCTGAAAAAGATGTGTCAATGGTAAATATTTATTGAAATATATCACGTTGTTGAGACATCTCCATAATTACAACGCATTTTTTAGTGAAGCATGGAATGAATGACAGAATGTTCATCATTTTACATATTGTCACCTCCCCCAAACTTATATTTACTTTGACTATATGGGTCAACGGATATTTTCTTGTCCAACATCAACAGCAGATGATATTCTCTGGAAAAAAATCACCATTTTATTACAATTATCAAATATGACGTGCTTGGAGAGAGTTGATCTGAGGCTGGAGTTTTGCATGAAACAAGAATACCTAAAATAATTAAGTCCCTCCCTGTGATCAATTCTCCACTCGCTAGGACCCTAGCACTTTGTATTATAAAAAAGTGTCACAAAACCAGGATTTTTATTGGCACTCTCTCCATGAGATAGCCAGTCAGATTGAAGCTTAATGAGTTTGAATGTCCCTTAGGTATCTTTCATCTTTCTTTTAATGTTATATTCTTTAAAAAAATGTATATATGTTCAATGTTTTATTCAAATCATGTTTAGTATTATAGTATGTTTTGTCTTGTAGTCATAATTAAGCTGTAATAAAATTCTGCCTTAATACGGGCACTGTGATTAGTTAATAAAATAATAGAATAAAATTTTGTTACAAAGATGGGATACAAGGACTACAACATCAGTTTATTCAACTGTTTTTTTAAACATGAGGAGCAAGAAAATTACCAGATACATGTAATGTAACCTGCACATTAACTCTGGTGCATTGTTGCAGGCTTATTTTTAATATCATATGTAACTTTTATATTTCATTGATGAAAAGCATCAAATAGTTTAAGTATGTCCAATGAAGTATTTGCATCAAAATAAAACTGATGGACCTTTTATTTATTTTTTTAGGTGTGATTATCTTATGCTTAGCTCAAGCTCAAAATGACAGAATTAGGGAAAGCAGATTTTGGTGTAACAACTTTCTTTGCTAAAAGTCATCCAAATGACAAATGTGGATCTAATGGACTTCCATTGACTCCAAACTCAATAAAAATACTTGGTCGATTTCAAGGATTGACAACTATACATCATCCCAGGTTGTGTAGATACATAGACATTAGTAAAGGCAGGCATGGTAAGAATTGTCTAAAATTTGAAAACATCTGTTAATATAAAGAGTTGTAATATAATTGCAAATGTCCACTACGGACCAGAGATTGTGATATGTGTATCTACATATATATCCCCTCTTTTCATATCTTGAATATGACCTTCATATAACTATCATTGTACCTTTCTCATTGACAAGTATCCCCTAGATAGTCTAAACTAAGAAGTTAGAATTTATGCTAAACAGTTATATATACATATATATGATATACCGGTATTTATATGCAAAAAAAGGAAATTTTATAATATACATTTATTAAAACTCTAGACTAAATAGTATTTATGTAATTATCTAGTAATTATAAATGTCATTGCAAGTAGTATTTCTCATTGTTTTTATTTGCAAATTTATATTTCAGAAAGATTAATAGTTGTATCAGAATACTATACAGATAACTTACTTAAAATTGGCAAAACAGGAAAATATGCAAGGTAAGAAAAAAGAGAAAAGAAAATAATCATTATATGAAAAAAATGTTTGAAATAACTATGATTTGAAATCATGTTACAATAGTCTGTTGTAACGTATAATAGCAAATTATCAACAAGCTCAAACTGTCAAATGTACCTATCAATATAAAATGATCTTTCATTTACAAAATTATTCCCTGAACTGAAATCATACAAAATTAGTAGTAGTCTAAAAGTCTGCTTTGTTGTGCATAGTATAAGGTTCAACCAATTATTATTTTTCTTTACAAATCCTGCAAGAAACAATGGGTTACTAACAAATGATTTTCACTTCCAAAAGAGGCAAAATATGATAAACTTTACATTTCTGTGAATGATATGTACATGCATACATTTAATTTCAGTGTTGAAGAATTACTGACCTTGGCATATGAAGTGCTAGAGGGCTTGGTGTATCTCAATAGGAAATCCATTACACATAGAAATTTGTCTAAATCTAATATATTATTTGATACAAAGGTAACTTTATTCATTGATTGTTATTTACTGTATTATTAGATAAATTGGAATAAAGGGAATTTAATTAGGGGACATTATGATTTTGTTCAGTGTCACATGGGACGGTATAAATAAAAGTTTAAGAAGATGTGGTGTATATACAACAATGAGACAACAACCCATCCTAATGTTGACCAATCAAATATTTAAATTGCTATTTTATTTTATCTTATGTGGAATAAAAGGAATTTGAAGCATCAATTATAAAACCTTCATAGTCATTTCTACCTAATAACTGATGTGTCAGTGAATTTTGACAGGACTGAAGTATAATCATCAATGTCAAATTTTTGAATCAGTGGATTTAAATATTTAAACAAAAATGACTTCATTCTAGCAATACTAGTTTAGATATGGAAATATTGTTATAATAATTGAAGTTGAGTTAGATATTTAAACTTTTTATAAAAGACTGTTGATATTTAATTGCTTCAATCAAAGGGCAATAACACCTTTTAATAAAAATATGTTACCACTTTAAGAATGCATGACACATTAATTTTCAGCAGGGATTGTTGAGACTTTAGATTTTGGAAACTAAATATATAAAATGTTTGTGTGATCATCAAATTGTAAATACAAAACTGCTCAAGGTCAACTTGGCCTGAGGGTATTGCAACTTTTATTTTAGTACAATTACATAACTTCAAATGTGTTGTCAGAATGACAGAATGTATCATTTAAATCATACTAATACCACTTTAATGAAATGCATTTTATTCTCAGGGTAATGTGAAGTTGTCAGAGTATGGATTGTATCATGTTACAGAATATGGTGCTAATGTTTCATTTCCAATAGGGTAATTAGCTATTTTTATGCATATAATATTTCTGACCATTTGTTCTTTCATTCATACATCTATTTGTTCTTCAGATGTCTTTTTGTATGTATTTTTTGTCCCACATATGTATCTGCAACTGCTCTTGAATCACATGACAGAATTTTGTGAAAATTTCACTGGTTCTTACTCACATGATGAAATTGCACCTCTTATTTCATTCTTCATCTAAATGATTTTTGGGGTTTACTTTATGATGAATTACATGGACCTACCCATAGTTTTATCTGCACACTATAGTACAAATTTTTATTCACTTCTCTTCCTACTCCCCTTATCATAATAAAATGAAACTTTCTTACAAACTTTAACAAATAATGCTATTGTACTTCTTATTTATTTTTTGGTCCAAGTTTATTTTTGGGACTCCCTTACCAAAGAATGGACTTTGCCATTACTTTATTAGGGGTGACAATTTTGTATCCTCCTTTTTTTTCTTTTTTTATCAGAATCATTTTAATAGTTTCCTTAAGAAAATCAAGTAAACACTATATAAAAATAAGGAGATGTGGTATGATGAGAAAAACCCATACTTTTTTGGGGTTTCCCTTACCAAAGAATGGACTTTGCCATTACTTTATTAGGGGTGACAATTTTGTATCCTCCTTTTTTTTCTTTTTTTATCAGAATCATTTTAATAGTTTCCTTAAGAAAATCAAGTAAACACTATATAAAAATAAGGAGATGTGGTATGATGAGAAAAACCCATACTTTTTTGGGGTTTCCCTTACCAAAGAATGGACTTTGCAATTACTTTATTAGGGGTGACAATTTTGTATCCTCCTTTTTTTTCTTTTTTTTTCATCAGAATCATTTTAATAGTTTCCTTAAGAAAATCAAGTACACACTATATAAAAATAAGGAGATGTGGTATGATGAGAAAAACCCATACTGTATAGTCGGCTATAGTACACATTTATATCAACTAGGCCTTCTCCTCCAAAACCCCAAATCTGAATTTGATGACTTTTTATCAGAATCTTCACCATATAATGCCATTGTGCACCACCTATTTTATTTTTTTATCTTAGATATTTCTGGGGTTTCCCTTACTAAATAATGAACTTTACAACGGGCAGGATACCATTTAGAGAGTTTTGCTCACAGTTTCTCTAGTTAAAATTGATGTTCTGTAAACAGGGAAATTTTCAGGGGTAGTTTTATTTCCACATTATTAGAGGTAAGAGTTTATATTATTTATGCAAACCATTTGTCAATGTACACATCATACAACTAATTTTCACATTAGATGATTTTGTTTTTTTTTCAAATCAAATGAAACTATTAAAAAAAAAAGATATTACCCTAACTGTACTTGTACACTTTGATGTGTTATGATCATGTTGGATGTACATGTCAACAATTTAGATTATTTATACAGGTCATTTCAATTGAAAGCAGAGTTCAGTTTCTATGTAATATCTTTCCTGTTATGATTTATTCTTTGGTTGTACAGTTCCAAAATCAATCTTAGAATGTTATGTTCAAGACTTGGAAACCAGTATTTTCTAGACTAGTTACTGTAAATTTAGAAATTATTGCATGCATTTATTATCACGATTTTTGAAGAAAGGACAAAAATGTGAGATTAATTATTGCAATTTCCAGAAAATCTGCATACAGATATATGTATCAGATATCATAATGCGAGTTATTTTTGCAATACTCACCCAGTCGCATTATTCGCAATAATGAAAACCATGTAATAATGTCTGAAATTACAGTAATAATTTTAAATGTATATGCTCTCTGAACTTCATTTGTATATATAGACTTCCAGAGTATATGCCACCTGAAGTGTTATGTGATTGTCCAATAGAAACAGATGAACATGCTGATACAGAAACTGTAGTTACAGATCCTTGTGGTCCTAAAACAGATGTCTGGTCTCTAGGGGTTATCTTGTTAGAGGTTTTTACTGTAAGTTTGTTTATCAGTATACAGTTTTTGATTAGAAATATAGTCATCTTCCATTGATTGAAATATTTCCAAAACTTAACATGGTTATCTCTCCCTACTAGTATATGGTAGGGTTTATTAGGTACTCACCAAAAGTCCAGGTTTGTCCCCAGTATCCTGACAGATTTCCCACATAAATAAAACTTGAAACTGTGCCACTGAATTAAAAATGAAATTAAACCTCACAAAGCAAACACTGAACTTTTATAAATTGTGACTTGGATGGAGAGTTGTCTCATTGGCACTCATACCACATCTTCTTATATCTACTTAAGATATTATAAACTGAGGAAGACTTTGAAAAAGTTAAAAAAAACAATTGACTGTTCTTTGAAAGTAATAAAAAAGAGAAACTAGATAAATTTTCCAATGTCATGATTATGTAGGATATTAGATTTTATGAAAGCAAATAAAAAAGCCAGTTTTAATTTTTGCATTTCAGAATGTTGATTTATGGGAAGGTCTATCTAATCCACAGAAAATTTATAGGACAGTAGAGTTCTTAAATGAAGGTAAAGTATCAAGCAAAAAAGTAAATTTACAGTTAATAAATTACACTGTGGGAGCAGAAATTTAAGATTATTCTTGTTTCTAATATGATTTTTTCACTTAAATCCAACAAAGAGTCCAAAGAAAAAAACACACACCAAAATAAACATTTTTAACCTAAAAGTTAGCTCAGAACTGTCTTCTGCAAAAACACCTGTATCTTTTTCATATTTTCTTGAAACTAGTCCAGTCAGTTTAAATTTTATCAAGAGATATCTAAAAAAGAAGACACTTGTTAAAATATAATTTGCTTTGACAGTGGAAAGGCTTCATTTAGGTAACTGAATTTTAGTACAGTTTAATTGTAATTTTATTGAACTTTATTACCCACATCTCCTTTTATTAACCTGATTTTTGAAAGAAAAAACGGTTATTGATTTGGGCGGGCGTGCCGTTGCCAAACAGTGTCCTTTCATTTACATGAAAACGCTTTGACAAAATCGTTTCAGATTTAGATATGTTGTTTCCTGTGACTAAATGAAGGTCAAGTTCAATTGTTACGATTTCAGCTGTTCTCGTTGTTGAGTTGTAGACCTTTCAGTAGAAAAAATTATTTTTATTATATGAATTTGAGTTATTTCCCTTTGAACAGAAATTATTAATTAATTTTTATTATATGAATTTGAGTTATTTTTTTATATTTAGGTTAACTGGAAGTCTGCCTGTGTGATTTAGTTTTCATTATTAATTAGTTTTTTATGGTAGCTATTTAAAGAAGGAAAATTGGAAGTGACCAGTTACAAAAAATATTTGGATGAGGCTGACTTTATAGGTTTTATAAAAACGTTGTTATTGTTCAACAAAATATAGTATTTGTGAAAGTTCTATAAAAGTTGTCCAATTAGAATTTTTTGTCATTAAGTAACCTGATGAACATAAATTCATACTTGCCAACCTCTGACAATGAAAAATCATGTCATGACATGACATGACATGTCAAAAAGCGTGTGAAAACGTGTGATGTAGTTGCAGACTTTTTAGTATGAAAATTATACAAATTTGTTAATATAAAACAACAATATTCTACTGTAAACTTTTATTGCATTCAACAGTGGCCTGTTTTTGCTGCTTTCAAAACAACACTACTAGGCAAATATACAAAATAACTGCCAGTTTTGTTAAATTTACATGATAACAAGGCACACAATATATCATTGAGTTCTGATCTGAATTCAGTGTAAACTTCTTTATAATTGAAAATGCTCTCTCACAGTCAGAATTGTTATTTGGCAAAACTAAAATAGCTTTAATGTTTAAATAGCAAGCTTTGAAATAATGTCATATATATAATGGGTTTTTTTTGCCATTAAAAATGTCATCTATGTCTGCCATTGCTCCCCACAAATTATATATGTTGCTATTGTCATGTTAAAACTGGGTAGTTCATCAAAAGACAGCTGGTACTCAGAGAACTGATCCAACAGTTTTGTGATATTCCCTTCCCATATGGCCTGTGGAAATCTGTTGGCTAGATTTGAAACTGAAAAAGAAAAAAAATATAATTTGAATACCATTGAATGCTTTATCAAATAGTACATCCTCATGTCCTCTCACACATGTTGTTATGATTGCAAATGATTGATAATGTTTGCAGATGACCAAATATGAATATGAGAGTAACATAGGGTGCACAATGCATTGTTCGGCCCTCGATCACTTTCTTTTGATTTTAACACGGACTCCCAACTTTTTTGGTACGTACACTGGTATCGTTTTCGCTTAGCACTCAGCGCTTTAGACGACAGTACAGGTCCAGAAAGTGACCACTTTCTGCTGGACATTTCCCCAAAGTGAATTTGAGAGAAAGAAGTAACAAAATCTTAAAACCTACTTACAAACTTACCTGAACTGAAGGGCTTTTGGCCAAAGACCACAATTAATGATCCCACTTTTCGTTGCCCACGAATATAGTTCCTTTTAATTAGAGTGTATTTTTTCTTAATTTTTTTCTTTCCCTTCCTCACTCATTTTATAGATTTTTTTGGATGGAAATGAAAGATGAGAGGTGAAATAAACTTTTGGATGTTGTATTTTAACTGATTTTGATATGGAAAGAGTGATTAGGCCAGGTGCAAAAAGGTGATATTTACAGTTTTCGGAACATCTCTTGACTTGTCCATAGGGGTATGGATGTGTATTGTCTAAATTTGTAAGATGCTGGAGAGCAGTATTTCTGAATGTTTGATATATGTTTGGACTAGTACTGTACTTTACACACACAAAATATTTGACAAAAAGAATCGGTGCATTTTTTTTAATGAAACAAAACGTTATAAAGAACGTTAGAATAGAGAATTTAATTGTGGTCTGTGGCCTTTTGTTGTTCGTCCATATCGCAAATAAACAATGGTGACATAACAAGTTTTGAAATTCTCGGTTTTTATCGTCTATTAATGAAAACTCCTGTGAATTGCTATCTCACTAACGACCAAAAAAATCAAAACAACGAAAAAGCGTGTAATAGCGTGTAAAGTGGCGAAAAGTGTGTACAAGCCATGTGACAAAATCCTCGCGTGTAAACCGTTGAAAAAGCGTGTATTACACGCGAATATCATGTGAGTTGGCAACTATGCATGATAAATTTCTTTCATGAGAAAAAAATGGGGTTTTGTAATTTCACAACAGCATGTAAATTGGCAAGTTGAACATTTTTTCATGACTTTCCTAATGCTAAGGAAAGCTTTCTAATCTGGAATATAGCTCTGAAACAACTTTTTGTAGCATGTTATTGGTGATTTTTTTTTTTTAAATATTTGCAGATATCACATCCGTAATAAACTTTTCTTTGTGTGAATCTCTTTGTTTCAAATGAAAATTTGTCTTTTTTAATGGAAATCATAAACTTAGTATTATTGTTTATAGGAAAGCATCCTTTTGACTTTTATACAGAAGAATACAACTTGCAGGATAAAATTAAGGTAAGATTGTGTATTTAAAAACAATGTCATGAGCTGTTTGGATAATTTTTAGTATTTCCCATAGAAAAGGTGCTTGTGTGTGTTTATGTCATGGATTAGAAATAATTGTGTGTTTATGTCATGGATTAAACATAATTTTGTGTTTATGTCATGTACTAGAAATAATTTTGTCTTAATATCATACATTAGAAATAATTTTGTATTGATGTCTAAAACTAAAAAAATATGTTTGTGAAAAGACAAGTTTTAGAATAAATTACTTTATCATTTCATAGCAGGTTTATTTTCCTTGTGTAATGTACTTAATTAGGATCATCTCTTCACCTTGGATTTGGATAAGTTGTAAGAAACTATTGTCAGCTTGATGTCTGTTTATTAAATTCTCAAAAAGTTGTGTTTTGTCTTTGATGAGATTTAATGGCAAGACAGGTGTTAATGTATGTTCCACCATCATCCTGGTTTGTATTCATTAGCTACTAACTTGATAAAGAGCCATTATGGAAATGGAAAAGAGTCAATATCATACTCTGTCATGCCTTCATAATGATAAAATAAAAGACAGTATTGTTGAATAACTAAGCTGTGTGAATCTGATAAATAAGTAGAAGAACAGTTCATAGCATTGGGAAAAGAACAGTTCATAGCATTGGGAAAAGAACAGTTCATAGCATTGGGAACAGGGATATTGAGATATTTTCAATACCAATTTCATTTGTTACAAAATATGGTGGAGTGTTATGTGTGTGCAAACACCCCTTTGCCTATTTAGACCATATGTCATAAAGTAAAACACACAACTATATAACCTTCACAGTCCAGTTCCCTACATGATGACCAACAACTTGAACAAGGGAAAAAAAGACTAGTTCTCAGAAATATAAAGTTGGGTAGTTGCATATTAAAGGTTAACTTAAATTGAGACTATATAATGCCAGATATGTTCATTGATTATGAAAGTCTGAAAGTCAATTTTTAAGAATAAGGAAATATTTAAAACATATTCAACATTGAAATGAATTTTAAATGTGTATAATGTATTTATTCTTATTACTTTATCTGGTAACAAGAGATATGAAATGTGTGAAATTTACTATTAATTAAAAATATAAGTAGACATAATTCAGTTTGTAATATCTAATTTACCTTCAGTAAGTAGAAAGAATAAAGCTGAAAACTATTATTTTTTTATAACCCGTTATTTTATATTTTCACAGGTTTTGCCAGAAGGAGTTTTAGATTTCATAAGAAACTGTTTGATAGTTAATTCCAAAGAAAGGTAAGAACTTTTATTTATAGTTTGAAAAAAGTTATCAACACTTACATGTTGATGCAAGCTTTATATGCATAAGGAATGCAAAGTATGTTCAATTTTGCTATGTTTGAACTTTGTGTTAGACTGAATACATATCATATATATTTAAAAATTAATAATCTGTAAATTTAAAGATAGGATTTTGAATGTCCATATGTTTTGTGAACCTTTGCATTTTTGGCCACCTGCTATGGATGGGAATACTTCATCTGTACATTTGTCAACATGAGATGCTAAACATTTTTGCATTTCATATGAATAATGGGAAGAAATCTATTATTCAGTGTATGCACAAAATGGAGGAATTATATACAACAGTTCAACATTTAGGCCTACATTTTACACATGAGACACTCTAAATTATTGCATCAAAGTTTATTTCACAGAAACTACTGATAATATATATAACTATTTAGCATTTCATATCAAATTTGTTTTTTCCCACAGACCATCTCCAGAATCTTTATTACAGCATAAAGTCTTCAGTGAACATAATACTAATAAGGTAAGATTTGTTTTTGGACTAATTGTTCTACAGTACATTTGAACTCTGAGAGTTTCATGTTTTTGTTCATGCGACAAAAGTCACAGTAGTGGAGACATAAATATAATTTTATCTGCAGTATGGACAGAATCAAGATATAAACAAAATTCTCTTTGAACTTGAAACTTGTCTAATATAATTCTGTGTAAACTAGAAACAAGTGTCAATTCTGAATTAGAAAAACTCAGTCTTAAAATTGTTAGATTTTGTCGGATTATAATTCTCAAAATTCAACTTTTTTTTCATCTTTAGAGTTTGTACTTATGATATTGAATGCATTCACAGTAATTTTAGTTTACAGAGAGCAAATGTGACTACCTTGCATTGGTATATAATAGCAATTGTAAAACTTCTTATGTTATTTTTTAGAAGCCACATAAGAATGGATTTAGAATGTTTACTGTTCAGTTAAGGAGCAAAGATTTGGAATTGTCTCCTTATGATGAAAATGGATACACTGAAGGTACTTGTCTATAATTTTAAGAACTGGTTGACTCAAACTTAATAATTTGGTTTATAGGTAGAATGGTATGGCTTCCTTTGGCTGGAACTCAGTAATGTTTTTAGGTAGATTGACATGTCTTTCTGCAGAGTGTTATTTTCTTAGCTTGTATATAGACTAAGCACATAGATGTAGTACAAAGCATAGTATATTTATTAGACATTTACATTTGTTCTCTTTAATATGCATTTAGTATTTACCACTAGAAATTATTTAATATCAATATATAAACCAATGATCTTAGGTGCAAACACTAAAAGATTGTTTTACAAAAAGACAAGAAAAAGGAAATCTGGTAATAATTCACTTGAAAGTATTGATGAAATTTAGCTCACCCGGATGTTCCAGCATATTTCTAATTGAACAACAGCATCATACATAAATAATTGCATCTGTAAATATATTTAATATATTTAATTTTTTTTAGCAAATACCTCAATAGCTGTCTGTTTTTAAGATCATTACTAACTTATTTCTTGAATTGTCATAACTTTATATAGGCCAGGTTTTTAATTTGTTGGTTTACGGATTTTGTATGTGAAAAAGTCGGGTCGAGGGTTGAAAAAAAAAAAAAATTTACAAGACAGAAATATGTATAAATTTGATAAATATTTCAGCTTACTAACAAAAATTTTGATATGCTTTTTCTTAATTTTTAGTTCCAAAAATTATTGTACAGCTGTTTTAAATGTACAATGCATACCATCATCACATAAGTTTTTAAAAAAGGAGTATGTCCATGGACAAACAGGAAATAAATTGTCATTTCAAGAATGAAAAAAAAAAACAGTTACTTGTTGCTTTTTATCAACTTTCAGGAAAAGTAGTGAAAAATGAGCTTCAATCACGAAAATATGTGAAATAAAAGTCTGTCCAATGGAAAAACGAGGATATCAGTTTCATCATTTTGTAGGCAATCTCACTTTTGTTATCCAAATGGGCTAACTTTTTTTTTCAATCTATAACAAGGAAATTCCAAATAGTTTGTGGATATCTGTTACTTTTAAATTAACGTCCATCATGTTTGGACGAGTCCATTTCATCTATGAGATGAAAAATCTTACAGTATTAAAAAAAAAAAAGGAAAACAAACTAATTGTAATTGACTTTTTACAAAGGTTTCCTTTTGCAAAATTATTTGCATAAATAACATTTCAAAGTCAATTTTGATTGTCTATTTTTAGGCACAGAAACACTATGGATTATTTTTAGATTTTTATTCTTTTAGAACTGTTTTAACATGCTAAAATAATGTGTTCAACTTTAGGAAAAAGAAAAAAGTTATTACACAGATATTTGTATTTATATTTCAGGCACAATGTATTTGTTAGGGTCGGCAGGAATAAAAAAGCATGAAATGTCAATTTTGATTTTTTTCTGAAAATCAGAAAAATAGGGTGAGCAATTCTGTAAACCAACAAATTAAAAAACCCTGGCCTTATCCATGAATAAATGTTCAAAGTATATGCTTTTTTTATTTATAAAAAAATTGTTTCAGTGAAAGTAGAATTATTCAGATGGGTCGTTAAAAAAAACATGTAGATTAATGAAATACAAAAGATATTTCAGTGGAATAGATCAGTTATGAAAAATTGACTATTTCAGATACCGGTAACACAATGGTAACCTGAAACTTATTTATTTTTTAATAGATCATTTATCAGAAAGAAGTATGGATGAGGTGTACTACCTCTGGAGGTTAGCAGGAGGAGATTTAGAGGGAGTCCTCAAGTCACAGGGTCTAGTCAAAACAAAACCACCTGTTACATTAATACCAAAGTAAGTCAGACTAAATAATAGATGTATGACATGTACTACCTCAGGAGGTTAGCCGGAGGAGATTTAGAGGGAGTCCTCAAGTCACAGGGTCTAGTCAAAACAAAACCACCTGTTACATTAATACGAAAGTAAGTCATACTAAAAAATCGATGTATGACATGTACTACCTCAAGAGGTTAGCCAGAGGAGACTCAGAGGGAGTCCTCAAGTCACATGGTCTAGTCAAAACAAAACCATGTGTTACATTGATACCAAAGTAAGTCAGAGTAAATAATCTATGTAAAAGCTTATGAAAAAAAACATAAGAAACTGATTTCCTTGTTTGTATTGAAATTAACACCTTTAAGATATAATAGACATGAATAAAAAGAGTAGTGTATATGTCAATGGGACAGTAAACCCTAAACACAAAGACTAAAATACATCTGCAGGTCACCATATGATCTTCACTAACAGAGAGGTGTCTACACAGTTTGTCAAACTCTGAATAACACGAGTCTAGAAAAGAGATATCAAATATCTGACATCATATTCCTTAAATGACAAAAAAGACGTTAAGACAAAACAAAAGACAACCACTAACAAGGTTCCTCACTATATTTTCCCATCAAGAATTAAACAAAGGCCAACAGAAAAAGGGGTTGTTTGAAGTTCCTGTATAGATGACTTTTGAATTTGTGCTCTTTCCCGCAAATTTCCTATGTCACAATGCTTATGTTAATATGTCACAGTAAGAACTGATTCTTTCGATGATGTCATTCATGCCAATTGACCCAGGTCAAGCGGTGTAACTCATTCATAAAAACAACTCGAGATAGGTGAATAGGCCAGTATCACTAAAGTGTTTAAGTCAACAAAATTGCAGAAAGATCAAGATAAGGTTATTTTTTTTTGCATTACATATACCAGGTAATTAAGGTTAGGAGTGTGTACCTTGCGTTTTGTGTTTTTTAAACTTCTCCAAATTTGCCATGACAATAATTTGTCAGAGGTTCTGTAAAATTGTTTTATGAAACAAACTGTTGTAAAATAAAATCAAACAAAATAAAACATAATACCTACACTGGTTTCATGTCATATTTTACAGCTTTTGCACTGGTGATGGTGATGTATTTGGACAGAAAAGAGATAGAGCTGAGTTACTGGACAACACCATTGTTATACTGTCTCAGGAACAACTTAGAAATGTAAGAAAACATTTTTGTAAAAAAAAAATGACAATCTTCAATAACTGGAACAGCAGAATATTGGATGTATTATTTAAGAAATTTTTAATGTTTTCAAAATCGCAATTTAAAATTTTCAATTTTGCTGTCTAAAATAAGAAAAGATCATAACAAATATACAACCCTTAAGATATATTAAAGACAAATCCATGTCCATAACTACTGGCTACTGTAAAGAATGGATATCCATTCAGTTGTGTGGTAATGAATCTCATTTCTGGAGTAGACATTATAAAATCATCCACTGTTTATTAGATTTTGAAATCATCCATAGTTTATAATATTGTTAAATATCTGCTTTTTATCATGAACTGTTTATATTCTGAAATGTCAAATTTTGTTTTCATGTTTTATCATGAATTGTTGGCAATCAGTAATTTATTATGGATTTTTTAGTTGAATAACTTCATGTAATAATCATTTTTATTGGATAATTATGGAAGTTTTGAAGATGTAAATCCAGTTTACCTACACAAATTTCATATCCAGACCTTACAGGTGTTTTCGGAATACAATAGAATTTTATTATTTGTAGAGACTATCAGAGGTTGATGAAAAAGCATATTACCCACTAATTCACACAGATGATGAGTAAGTCAGTAATTAACAAGCATTTACGAACACACTTATCATAATTAACAAGGTAGTACACATATAAACCCATATATCATGAGAATAACCATGAAAACATGTCAAATAAGAATAATAATTTATAAATTTGGTGTGTCAAATACACTTTTCTTCATGATCCTGAAACCCAAAAATTTGAAAAAGGATTTATAAATACATGTAACTGAATTTCTTGAGGAGCTATATAATGAAGACGAACCAAAAAGAAAAGGATAGCCAAATTAATCTATGGTCAACTTTGCCTGAAGGAGATGAAACCTTATTTTCTTAATTTATCAATGAAGAATTTAAGAAAAAATGTAATAAATCATGTAAATACCCAAGCACTTACTAAGGAGCTGATGATATCCTCTGTGCCCCAGTGCTACAAAAAATAATTACAGTTATAAATTTGGTGTGTCGAGTATAACAAGGAAAACATAAAATTTTGATTTGCAAACTGATAGAATATAAAGAAGATTTATTTGTTTTTAGGAATCCTAACTCCAAACTGACCATGTGATCACTAAAAAGATCAAAGTGAAAGTACAAAAATTTATGTCATGACTTTTAAAAACTTTGACTCTTGGCCATTTAGAGCTTGACATGTTGAAATGTGTGATGTTTTCAGAATCACATTTTAAAATGTTATTCACATCCTCTTCCTTTGGTCTGTGATGTATACTTGTATTTTATTCTTTTATTATACAAACAGCATGACAGAATTTAAGAGAATGCCCAAGTCCTCCAGTGCTGCTGACTTGTTAGAAACAGCCAGTCTGCCATTAATTATCAGGGAAAAGGATGTTGAATACCAGGTATGTATTTTATAATATTGTATAAAATGATTGATTGTTGTTTGATATTAGAACTATATGGTCATAGAAACAAGTAAAAAATTCTAAATCAGCTGCATTTTCTGACCAACTAGGTAAATTGACACCATTTTGCCATTATTTTGTTCAAATATAGCAATATTTTCAAAAAATATTGATTTTTAAGAAAGAAGTCATTCAAGCTATCATGAGAAGCATAATATAATAAGATCTACATCATTAATAACAATTCTTTCCAAATATGAAATGAAAATTCGTCAGGCCTCCTTCTCAATCAGATGCTTGTCTCATATAGTGTAAACTCATCCAATTTTCCTGTAGGCATTGGACATTGTATTGCAATATCCTCAGAATACCTCTCCACAGAGGATTTTTGTGAAAGTGCTATGGAGTATGTTTATGACCTTTTCACTTTTTATTTGATGATTTTCAATAGGAGGTATATTTAGCTGAATATTTGTTCTTAATTAAATGTTTTGATAAATGTAAATAGAGATTTGATTGTTGTGAAATTTGAAATACATGTACCCGTACTTTAAGCTGTATTTTCATTTTTAGCCATTTCTACTGAATTTTGTTAAATTTTATTCATATTACACGTTCATGGATCTTTCCCTATAGTTTCACAGAGTGATATTATATGAGAGGTTGTTGAAAGCCTACCCCTATACAAGAGCCAGGATATGGAAGGAAGCAAGGACAGATATACCTCCCCATGTCAGAGCACATGTCTGGGCTGCTATACTTGAAGTTGAGGTATGTTTACATACTTGATTTATAAATAAGAGTATTGATATTGCAGAATAAGAATGTTTTCAGAGATGAATGATATAAGTGCTCCTTTTTGTAAAAAATATCTTAAATTTAAATAAAGGTATACTTTTGATCACATTTATCCATTCCTACAATATGCTTAAAACAAAAGTATAGTATATTTTATGGTTATCAACTTTTAAAGGTTACTAACTAACATTAGAAAAGCATCAAAGTGAAGAAAGATGTACTTTTCGATGGTAACAATATTTGAAAGACACCTTTGGTCAAAATGATGGTTTAAGCATTTAAAAAAGTATACTAGTAGTAATAATTATATTTCGACTTGTAAATAAGTTCTTGTTGTAGGGTGATATTCACAGTTTGTACAGTTCTATAGACAAAGAAACTGCAACACCTACTGATAGACAGGTAAATAATGATTTAGTTGTAAGATATTGTAAGCATTAGGCTGCTTGTACCTTTAGCAAAATCAGAATGACAATTGGCATGTGATTTACTATTTATTTAGCAAAATTGTGGAATTGATGCCCTGAAAATATTGGCATTACCTAATTTGCTATAGCTAGTTATCAAAGGTACCAGGCTTATAATTTGATATGCCAGACGCGCGTTTTAGTCAACATAAGACTCATCAGTGACGCTTAGATCAAAATAGTTAGAAAGCCAAACAAGTATAAAGTTAAAGAGCATTGAGGACCCAAAATTCCAAAAAGTTGTGCAAAATACGGCTTAGGTAAAATATAAGAATAATAAATGGAAGTTATACACCAAATTTTCACATTCAAAGATTTTTATTATGACCGACTTTAATTTTTTCATGGTTGACCTTATTATGTTTGCAAACAATCAGTGATGTCAAATGTTTTACTTTATGACAAAAACATTATAAAGAAAACTGTTGTTCTTCCTGCAATAACAGACACACAGAAAATAAGTGTAAATGAACAGGTATTTGATACCAGCTACATAGACAACTAAGACGCCAATGCATCATTGGGCATCTTTACCGGCATGTGTTACTTTAGTATCAAGTGTACTCATTGTTATAGTTTTGACAGACATATGTGTGCCTGTGCCGACCGCGCGAGACCCTCATGGGTAGTCAAGGTCGTTAAACACCCCCTAGTAGTAGTTGTGTGTGTATTTCTTTACCTTGCTTCTTAGATAATAAAAAAGCAAATAATGTGTTTTTATTTGCATTTGTATTGCTAATGTTTTTTTAGCTCACCGGGCCCAAAGGGCCCCATGTGACCTTATGCCAACACTTGGCGTCCGTCGTCTGTCATCGTAAACTATTTCAAAAATCTTCTCCTCTGAAACTACTGGGCCAAATACCTTCAAACTTTATCTAAATGTTCCTTAGGGTATCTATTTTATAAATTGTATCCGAAGTTTTGATCCATCGACAAACATGGCCGCCATGGCTAAAAATAGAACATGGGGGTCAAATGCAGTTTTTGGCTTACATCTCAAAAACTAAAGCTTTTAGAGCAAATCTGACATGGGGTAAAATTGTTCAGTTGGTCAAGATCTATCAGCTCTGAAATTTTCAGACGAATTGAACAACCCATTGTTGGGTTGCTGCCACTGAATTGGTAGTTTTAACAAAATTTTGCAGTTTTTTGTTATTATTTTGAATATTATTATAGATATATATAAACTGTAAGCAGCAATAATGTTCAGCAAAGTAAGATCTACAAAAAGTTAATATGACCATAATTGTCAATTGACCCCTGAAGGAGTTATTGCCCTTTAAAGACAATTTTACACAATTTGTTCATCAAGTTTGCTAACATTTAAAAATCTTCTCCTCTGAAACTACTTGGCTAATTACCTTCAAACTTTATCTAAATGTTCCTTAGGGTATCTTGTTTATAAATTGTATCCGAAGTTTGTATCCATCGACAAACATGGCTGCCATGGCTAAAAATAGAACATAAGGGTCAAATGCAGTTTTTGGCTTATATCTCAAAAACTAAATCTTTTAGAGCAAATGTGACATGGGGTAAAATTGTTTAATTGGTCAAGATCTATCAGCCCTGAAATTTTCAGACGAATCGAACAACCCATTGTTGGGTTGCTGCCACTGAATTGGTAGTTTTAACAAAATTTTGCAGTTTTTTGTTATTATTTTGAATATTATTATAGATATATATAAACTGTAAGCAGCAATAATGTTCAGCAAAGTAAGATCTACAAAAAGTTAATATGACCATAATTGTCAATTGACCCCTGAAGGAGTTATTGCCCTTTAAAGACAATTTTACACAATTTGTTCATCAAGTTTGCTAACATTTAAAAATCTTCTCCTCTGAAACTACTTGGCTAATTACCTTCAAACTTTATCTAAATGTTCCTATGGGTATCTTGTTTATAAATTGTATCCGAAGTTTGTATCCATCGACAAACATGGCTGCCATGGCTAAAAATAGAACATAAGGGTCAAATGCAGTTTTTGGCTTATATCTCAAAAACTAAATCTTTTAGAGCAAATGTGACATGGGGTAAAATTGTTTAATTGGTCAAGATCTATCAGCCCTGAAATTTTCAGACGAATCGAACAACCCATTGTTGGGTTGCTGCCACCGAATTGGTAGTTTTAACAAAATTTTGCAGTTTTTTGTTATTATTTTGAATATTATTATAGATATATATAAACTGTAAGCAGCAATAATGTTCAGCAAAGTAAGATCTACAAAAATTGTCAATTGACCCCTGAAGGAGTTATTGCCCTTTAAAGACAATTTTACACAAGTTTGCTAACATTTAAAAATCTTCTCCTCTGAAATGCAGGTGAGCGATTCAGGCTCTTGAGAGCCTCTTGTTTACAGGAATATATCGGTAATAATAATGTGAGCTAATATTTAAAATAATGAACTTTGTAATATTTCACAGATTGAGGTAGATATTCCAAGATGTCATCAGTATCACCAGCTACTATCATCACCTACAGCACATGCTAAGTTTAAAAGAGTTTTAAAGGCATGGGTTTATAATAATCCACAATATGTTTATTGGCAGGGATTAGACTCACTATGTGCTCCTTTCTTAGCTCTCAACTTTAATGATGAAGGTATATATCTTAATGCTTTCATTTTTTTGTTTGCATTTTACTGTGAGTGCATATGAGTAAAAGAGATAAGAGGTTGTTGTGCCTAAAACATACCAAAAAATTTGGATTAAAAAAAATCAATTTGCATTGTTTATAATCTGCTGTTACATTTTTGACCATATCATCATCATGCAACTCTTTTCTTGATTTTTGTTGAGCCTGCGAAATTTATATCGCGAAAGCGAGACATAGCGATCCTAGATTCCGTCAGCGGCGTCAACATTTAGGTTCAGTCTGTGGTTAAAGTTTATTTGGACATCAATAACTTTGTCAAACGTACATGGAATTATATGAAATTTGGACAGAAGCTTGTTTATGACCAAAATACAGTATCCAGAGCAAAATTTTGATTCCATATTTTACTGATAAATGGACTTAGTTTTTTTAACAAATAGATACAGTCTGGGGTTAAAGTTTGTTACACATCAAATACTTTGTCAAACCTTCATAGAATTTTATGAAACTTTTTTATGATTAAGAGATAATGTCTGAAGCACACTTTTGAAAATATATTTTCATTTTCAGTATTTTTCTGATAGATGGACTCTTTTTCAAGTTAAAATTTACTGACAGTCTTTTTTTTTTTTTTTACATGATCAGTTTGTTAATCTTCATGGATTGTTATGAAACTTGGACAGAAGCTAATCTTCAAGATCAAGGAATTGCATCTAAAGAGAAAGTTTGAATCTTTTTTAACATTCTTTTATTTTACTGATAAATGGACTCACTTTTAAAGTCAACATTACACTTTTACAGTGACAGCAGCAATCGTAGGCGAGACACAGGGTTCAGCTGAACCCCTACAAATTTTTTTATCTTTGCTTGACATGTTTATTGCAGTGGAATTCTGTAATCAATTAGGTTTTGAAAAGTTATTTTATTGGTGTGCATGTTGAATTTTTTTTTAATCAAAGGAATTAATTTTCATTAAAGAAATTTAAAGGAGGGCTATTCCATGAAGCAATGTATTGGATGATTGGACACCACATATTTTTTCAGTGGATGATATGGGATGGAAGCAAAACAATTATGATACAAATGAAAATAAGAATTATACTTGTTGGAGGTATAAATAAAGTGTTGCTCAACCTACTTTTTCCAAGAATAGCCATCACTTAATTTGCCTTGATCTGAATCCTAATCCGAAGAAAGAATTCATGTTCTCAAAGAAGTTATAGTTAACAGAAGTTTTAAAGAAGAAACATATAAACAACAACAAAAAGTTTCTTCAAACTACCATCATTTTGTTGACGTCTAAAATCAATAATTGTAGTATACACAGTGCTGTTTATATTAAAATTCAATACTTATAATGTTTCGGGTCTCATTGAGTGTATTGAATAAACTAATAGATTCTTATCAGCAACTCCTGTTAATTAAGTGTCTGGATCAATGAAATTTTCGAGGAATATTAATAATGGAATTGTGCACCTTTTCATTTTTTTGTTCTAAAAGATTTTGGGTTTTCCCATAAGAAAATATTGATTTGCCATATCTTCAAAAGGGAGTGGACGTCTTGTATCCATATACATCTTCATCTTTCTTTGTGTCTAGAATAAATAAAGTTGTGAAGCTATCTCATACATTGTACTTTTATTATTATAATTCTATAAGTGAACCAACACCTGAAGTGGTGATTGTGTGGTAGGGTAAAAAACGAGAGGATACCGCTAGGTATTCACAGTTGTCTTAAAATGAATAAGAATATGTTGACACGAAAGACAACAACACTCAAATTTTACCCCATGGTACTCGTTTAATTGGTCGACCTGTTTCGCCAGCAAGCGTGGCATCTTCAGGACAAGTATATACATGAAATAAAACCGTGAAGTACATATTTTGCGGTTAACCGGAAGTAATGTTACAATAATGGTTGTTATGACAACATTATCGATAGAAATAGAAAGTGAAAGTGAAATAAAAAAAGTTAAGTTGAATAGAAAATGAAAGTAAGTCAATAAAGTTATAAACGGTGGTTGGCTGCTATTTTATTATTATAATCTTCAAAAGGGAGTGGACGTCTTGTATCCATATGCATCTTCATCTTTCTTTGTGTCTAGAAAAAATAATAATTTTAAGCTATCTCATATATTGTACTTTTATTATTATAATTAATCCCCTACCGACGAAGTGGAAGGGGACTTTAGGTTTGTGCTCCGTCTGTCTGTCTGTCTGTCCATCTGTCAGTCCTGCAAATCAGTTTTCCACACTTTTTTTCTTCGTGCTTGAAGATATTGATTTGATATTTAGTATATTGTTTTATCATGACAAGTTACAGATCAAGTTCGAATTTTGTTCTGGTCTAATAATTTTGTGCAAAGTTCACTCAAATATTCAGTTTTCCACACTTTTTTTCGTCATGCTTGAAGATATTGATTTAATGATTGGTACATTGTTTTATCATGACAAGTTACAAACCAAGTTCGAATTTTGTTCTGGTCTGATGATTTTGTGCAGAGTTATGGTCCTTGGACTCAGAAAATTCACTTAAATAATAAGTTTTTCACACTTTTTTTCGTCATGCTTGAAGATATTGACTTGATATTTGTTATATAGTTTACACCATGACTAGTTATAGATCAAGTTAGCATTTTGTTCCAATACAATGATTTTTTAATTGGTAGGGGACTATGTATTGCCATGCAATACTCTCAAAATGCTTGTTTTACAAAAAGTTTACATTTTGCCAATGTAACATAGTAAAATGTACATCTAATTTATATTTGTAGCATTAGCTTTTTCCTGTCTCCAAGCCTTTATACCAAAGTATTTACATAATTTCTTCATGAAGGATAATTCTGCTGTTATACAAGGTAATATAGGTGTACAGTTTTCATTTTTGATTACTTAAATTTGAACAAGGCAAACATCATATTTAATATAAAATAAGAAGATGTGGTGTGGTTGCTAATGAGACGACTATCCACAAGAGACCAAATAGTGTAGATGTTAGCAACTATAGGTCACAGAAATGCCTTCAACAATGAGCAAAATTCATACTGCATAGTAAGCCATAAAATGTAAAACAATTCAAAAGAGATCAATTGTTTATGGGAAAATTTATTTAAGTTTTGTAAAAAAAAAAAGAAAGAAAACTATGTTTTGTCATTCTTTTTTAATTTAATGAGGATATAGTATATTACTGACAATATACTGGTTATTGTTGCAAAGTGTTTATTTAAATTCAATTTTTGTGTACAAAAACAAAGATAAATATTCAGTGGTGCAGCAAATATATTTACACGTAAAACTACCAACAAAACAATAAAAACATATGCCATGTTGAAATTGCAGAACATCAGGCATCTGTATACAAGATAGAAAGTACCCAGTATCAAAATATTTTGGCATGGTTTCTGTTTTCTGCAAATATATATTTATTATACCCTCGCTTTAAAAAAGTGGGGCTATACTGTTTTACCTCTGTCTGTCCGTCCATCCATTCGTCAGTCCATCCGTCAGTCCGTCCGTCAGTTCGTCTGTCCGTCCCATGAATATTTTTGTCGCATCTTTCTCAGAAACTACATTACAAGGATTTCTGAAATTTGTTTTCAGGGTTTATATGAGTCAGCTATACCATATGATGCGTTTTCAGATTCATCACTCAACAACTTCCTGTTTACCTTATACTTTTAGTGGGGTGGGGGTATCATGAGTGAGCAGTAGCTCACAGATTCACTTGTTTTTTCTTCAACATTCAGAGGAAATACACCAATCCGTCTTGTGAAAAAAATTATGATGTAAAGTGCTATAGATCCCATCAGTCAAAAAATAAATATTTTTATTTTAGAATACCTGTGTGTATTTTCTCATCTGATTGCCTTCCATGATCCAGAACTTAGTAATCATTTAGAGGGAATTGGTTTTATTCCTGATGTAAGTGTAAATTTGATAGATTAAAACTTTCCAAAATATTAAGAACTATTGAAGCCATGAATAAACTTTTATTTTTACAAACTCAATTAAAGTAAGACAGTATATTTTTTCAAAATTTTTGTAATTATAAAAATAAAAAGATGGCCGTGGTATAATTGCCAATGAGACAACTCTCCACCCTCCTAAGAATGTAACTTGAGCAGTTCATCAGTGTCTTAAATAAACATCATCTAATTTTCTCATAGCATCGTTGAGGCGTAAAATTTATCACTTTTTAAAAAGATCCTCAATTATTTAATTTTGATATTAACTAATAGCACTACATCTGTGTTAAGAAGACTGAAGAAAAAGGCTAATAAAATTTTAATAACAAAATATGAATTACTTTTAATATTTTATATATAATGCAAAACCTATCCCGTCACAATTTTGCAATGATAAAACATCACAAAAAATTCTGAATTTAAAGTACCTTAATTTGTCGTGGTTATATTAATTGTTTAATGAACTTTTTGATACATATTATGATAAACATTTTAACTGTAATGTGAATAGTGACTGTTTAATTTTTAGCTGTATGTTATACATTTTATCTGTAATGTGAATTGAGATTAGTGACATTAATATCTTAGCTGTAAAATTGTTTTATTTTTAGCTGTATGCTATTCCATGGTTCCTAACAATGTATGCTCGTAAGTATTGTTAAGAAGATTGCTACTCACATTCTCAATGTTCTCAAGATTCTATCATCGAATACATTGAAAAAAAATGGTCTAAAAACCCTTTATAAATCAATGTTTGGGTTCAGAACCTGTTGACATTCTATCCACAAATGTGGTGTATAAGAATACGATGGTGATTGTTTCTTTCCCTTAGCAATTATGAGGCTCTTTTCATTGGGTCAAGACAGAAATTAACACAGTGCCTGCATTGTTGGTTGATATTTTTGTTAGGATAAACATTTTTTTTACCCTAAATTGCATAATTTTTGCTTGAAACAAAGCATATATCATTTAATATAAAAATAAAGTATTGGGAGTACTCACAGTTACTGAAAGCTAGTGCCTGATCACGTACATCACATCATGGGTCAGTTGATACTTAAAGGTAGATTGGGAGTGTAAACATAAAAATGTTGCCTAAATGTAGTTTATATCATGCTGTTTTCCTAAATATACTGTAACATAGTCAAGCACAAATCAAGGAGCTTGTAATGTGATTTTTGCATGAAAGCAATAGTGTCACCAAATGCAGTGAGAAGTCACAACATTTTTTGTACATTTCCCCCCCCCCCCCCCTTATGAGAATCCAAATAATTTTTCAATCCTTTTTTTTTGTTTTTTTTGTTTGTTTATTTTGCCAAGAGCATCCCTTATTTTCATAAATATTGATTAAAAAAAATAAGGCGTACTCAGGGTCAAATTTCCATCAGAATATACGCTGCCATAAATTATTACTGAGATGTGGAAAAATGCTTTCTTAAAAAAGATTATGGACATTGCATCAATGTTGAATCTTTTTATTTCCGTATTTGACCAAAACATTTTTAAAAAAAACGTAGTTTGTAAACACAACACAATTTTCATGACTTTCATTTGTACATTTTTCAATAGTTAGATATTATAACTGTTGTAATTTTATTTTTATGAAAACAATAGAAAATTATATATTTTTGTATTGCATCTTTTGGCAATATCTTATTTTTTAAAATTTTGTTTCATTTAAAGAAAAATATTTTTGAAGATTATTTATTTTTTAAATTTTGTTTCATTTTAAAGAAAAATATTTTTGAAGATTATTTATTTTTTAGATTTGTTTCATTTTAAAGAAAAATATTTTTGAAGATTATTTATTTTTTAGATTTGTTTCATTTTATAAGAAAATATTTTTGATTTTGTTAGTTATACATTTATTCTGAATGTTTTGAGAAATAAAGCATAATTTGAGAGAGTATTTTCACTCAATTACCTCAACCTTTTTCTCAAATTGTACAGTTTGGAGAATAAGGTGAAACAAACACCTTTGATCTCATCTATAATTAATTACTCAGCAGGTAAGAATACAGTTTATTAAAAAGTACTCTCAATTAACTGGCTTCTTTGTTAATTATTGGTTGTTTATTGCAGGTAAAATTATGAAAACATAGATACACTATATTTTCATAATTGTCTAATCAAGTTATTATCCCATGCTGAGGAAATTTACTCCTGGAACCCTTTGATCTTTTAATTAACAAATCCCTCAAAACACTAAAATGAAAAAGGGTTTCTTTGATCTCAAGATTACTTGATTGCATAAACAAAGAACCCAAGCTTACTCAAAAATATGGTTATAAAAGGAAGAATTTCCAAATATTTACATCATAATTCAAAATATTCATTTTTCAAAATACACCAAAAAATAATCCATTATGGCTAATGTATCAGAAGAGATAGTTATGACAAAAACTGTAGAGTTAAAGAAATTACTGATGATCCATGACAAAGCTGTACAACAAATGCACCAATTAGGTAAGTTTTCTTCTATTTTAATTTTCTACAAGAATATATATATTCTCTCTTAAAATATAGAATTTTACAGAGAATTAAGTCTTAATTAAGAATTGAGTATATCCATATCATTTTGTACTATAGCAAAAGCTCATTAAAAATATATGTATTTGTACTACATATTATTAAGCATACATATGCAGTTTCTAAACATATTAAATATAATTGCTGAAACTTTTGCTATTAATGTATTAATGTTTAAAATTTGACCATTGGAACATTCTTATCTAATTTTAGCTTTTAATATTTCATTGTGATCTTAACTTGAAATTTATTAGTAACATTGCTACTGAAGATTGACACGTAAATATGAAAGAAGAATTTACTTTTTACAATACTCAAAATTATATCTACAAATCTAATATGGCTTATGACTTCAGTATTTTAAAGCTGAGATTAATGCATTCTAAAAACTTATAAGAACGTTTCCCATTCAGCATCTAAATTAGTTAGTGAATGAAGTTTCACAGAATTTAGGATGACGAAAAAGCAAACAAAATTTAATATTTCCTTTCTCTTTGAAAATATTGTTATAATTATAGATTGAAAATCATCATTCTTTAATATCTATTATTGTTTTTTTTAGATGTATATATAGACTCCACGAAAATAAGAGCTGTTAACTTTGTACTTCAAGGTAACAAAGGGGAAGCACTCCATCTGCTTAATAGGAAGTCAGTTGCAGAGAGCCTAAAGCACTTATACCGTCAATATCGTCTTAAGAAATGGTGCCAGGTGCAAGATCTTGTTTCAAACATTTTACAGACACTGAGACCTGGACAGATGACACCTGCACCAATGCAGATAGACAATGATCCTGGCTATGAGGGTGAACAGATGCAAAACTATGTCCAAGCTATGATGGTGTCACAGTGTAATTTCCGACGACAAGGCTAAAATATGTGAATGGTGAACAGTTTGTCTAAGAATGATACGATATTTAATGGGAAACAGTATATCCTTTTCAGAAATGTGTTCAAACATAATACTTATTATTATGACATATTTGTATATTAAAGTGCTAATTGTATCCATGTCTGTGCTACAAAAAACTGTAATAAAGTGCTGTATATAATTAAAGTTTGTTCATATTTCTTCATAAAATTGCATATCACAGCTTTGTGATGTCTTTGACCTGGCATTATCATAATGAATGAAACACTGTCGATAAGTTTGACCTGAACATATCAAGTCATCTTCCTGTTACCTGGTGAAACAAAGAAAAACACTTGTTTCTTTCATGCAAAATACACAAATAAAATCCGATTAATCAATTATCAAATTTTCCGCCATATTTATATTGTAAAATGTCAGCTGCTCAACACAATATGAAGCAATTTTGAACTTGTTCGCTGCGCTCACTCTACTAAAAGCTTCATATTGTGATTCTAAGCTGATGTTTTACAATATCAATATGCAGACAACCTGATAATCGGTACAAATTACATTTAGATTGCTGATTTATGTATTATCCAGTATCTTCATCGATTTGATTCAACAACATTTTTCAAAGAAAAAGGCATTTTACACGTTTCTTCAGCCCTAACTAAATATGTAGTTCGTAGATGAAGATGCGACGATATCCAAAATATATAGAAAAAAAAACAACTGATGTTCATTGCATGGACTTCAATGTTGAGTATAAATTGTATACAAAATAACACCTTATTATTACAGATCCTAAGAATACATTCATACATGGTTTGATATTTTTGGGAGGTATTATGCTGCAACCAATTAAGTTTTTCAGTGCAATGTAATATGAAATCTCTTTATATACATAATACTCTATCATCCAAGACTACCTATGAAGACTGAGAAGGAATCAATGAGGTTTTTAGGATTAAATCCTTCATAAGTCTGTAGATGACCTTTCGTACAGTAAATCAGTCACCCATGTCCTATCAATAACTTGTACATGTAGTATGTTCTTCACTGTCTAAATGTTGATTTTTAATGCTGCCTTTGCAAGGGCTTTTAAGCCTGTCAAGGTCGTTGAACACTCTCATCGTTTGTAAATGTTTATTGTATTATGTTGGATTTGTTCCTCCTGTAACACCCATGGTGTTACTGAGTGTACAATAACATCTTGAATTCTTGAAATCTTGTAATCATATGTAAAGTCTTGTTTCTTTCTAGACTTAACGTAGCATAACTCCAATAAAAAAAAGTAACAATAAATTCTTCTGACTTCAACTCTGAGTGATATGGCATATGATATCAAATACAAAAAGTGTCTTAATTAACTCTCATATTTCATAGAATATAAGATAACTTGGCTGTTATAGTTTAAGAGAAAAAAAAACAAGGGTTTCAGGCAAGTTTTAATGGCAATACTTTGTAAGTATAATGCGTGGAGTCTAATAAATTTACAAAATGAATGATCTCCCATGCATACTTCTGTAAAACTTTATACATATCAACAACTTAAAATGCTGCATGGAGTCAACACCAATGCTTAAAGTAAAGTATTAACAATAAAACATCAAAAAGTTCTTTTTATATCAATGACAATAACATGTATATATATAAATATTTTTCAGATGTGTTTCCACTGCACAAGTTAGTCCATTTATGGGACACATTACTGCTAGGCAACTCATCGTTTCCACTGTGTATTGGTGTGGCTATTCTCACTCAGCTCAAAAGTAGCCTGATATCTTTTGGATTCAATGAATGCATTTTACTGTTTTCTGATATGCCGGGTTAGTATTTATGAGCTTTTTCTAGTCTGTTCATATTACAATTCTAAATTGAGGAGTATAGATTATCAGGTTTTCTACACATTGATATTTTACGATATCTGTACGTAGAAATCCCAATAATCTGTCACCATTCTATTACTGGTCTTTCACCCCTCCCTTAGAAGGTTTTACGCTTGACGAAAGTAATCTTGATAACATCTCCTTTTACATTGTGACATCACTGATTACTTTTCCTCAGACATTGTGACGTCACTAATAATGTCTGCTCACATCTCAAAGCCATAATAAGAGATATATGGAGCAACTGAGCAGGTTGATAGGGTGAAGAGAAGGACAATGAAGTTTAATATCCAGTTCGTGGTTGTTAATTATTTTATTATCTTTAAACATTCAGATAAACACCTAACTAAAAAGTTTTTTTTAATCTTTAAATATTTTTTAAAAAGTTTACCATGTTGTTAATCTTAGTCATCATGCATATTGTGAATTTTAGTATAAACCATAGTATAACTAATATTAATAATTTGGCATTAACTTTAAGTCTTTAACAGTGGTAAAGTAGTTTAAACAATGAGTCATGCTGAACACATATCATTGAGAGCCCGATAACTAGACATTGAAGGAAGGTCTTCAACAATGAACTGAATATTTCTATATATATATGATAAAATTCTTGTAACTTATATATAACACATGGATTCTTTCATGAGTATATACATACCCATAAAAGAGGAATTACACCTTGTTTGATTTTTATGTTATTTTTTTTATTTATTTTATATTCTGAATAGAGATTAACATAGAGCTGTGTGTACAGGATTCTATTAGGATATTTTGTAACACACCTAAAAGTGCAATCTATAGACAGCATGCTAGACCAGCTAAGAAGACTATCAAAGCTGACAGCCGTCCTAATTTGTCATATTATTCTAGAGATTATAATGACCAACCCACAAACGATTTGGTGAGTATAACAATTTTCTGCATGCTAGAAATCCTTTTTGATAATTATTTGATTACATCCACATCATTTGGACTTTGGTAGATAGTTGTGTCATTGGCAAACATACCACATCTCCTTATTTCTATGCAGAAGTTGAAACAAAAAGAACTGACGTTGATTGATTTTTTAAGCAGGAGTAGATATATAAGGTAAGTGAAATATAATTGAAATCACCAAAGTTATATTCAAACATAAGGTAATAATTGTGTTTCTTATGTGAGGAAACAAAATATACATGTTGTACAATAAAAATAAATAAATAAGTGTCAGTGAGAAAGCAACACAACTTTATAAGTAAGCCAAACATAGACATCTCCATGTAACCACGTGATCTTTAAGGACTAATAAGCATTCACACTAATGTTAAGGTCTTTCTGAATTACCCTGAATCTAGACAAATTGTAAATAAATTAAACCCAAATTTTATGATTGATTGGGAAAAGTTTGGCACTTTGTTTCTTAGTTTTTTGGTTTTTAGATGTTTTAAATGAGGAAGAATAGGAAATATTTTTTCATTGTGTATTTGATCTGATGATTTTGTTGAAATGAAAAATCTGTGAAAATGGTCACAACATCAATAATAATATGTTTTTACAGTATGTAAATACAGAAGTTTTGTATAATGTTGTCAAACATAATTTTTGTCTAGCCTGCAACAACAGTCGCAGTATGCGAGACATAGGATTACCATCCAGCGGCAGTAGCATAAACTATTTGTATAAAGCTTTATATTTTAGAAGGTAGAAGACCTGGATGTTTCATACCTTGTATTGCAGATACCTTATTTTCATGGTTCATTGGTCAATGTTTAATTTTTGTGTTTTAATCTGTTTTTCAAATACAGTAAGCAATAGGTCAACTATATTTGGTGTATTAAATGATTGTAAGGTGTATATGTCTATCTGACAGGATTTATCTGACCTTGACCTCATTGTCATGGATCTTTAAAAATGTTAAAGTTTATGTGATACTTGCAGTTAAACCTTTATCTTTAAAACTTTGAACATAAAATCAATGGTCAGTAAAGCAGGCAAGAAATTTCAGCATGTGCACTCTTGTTATTATGTGTGTTATCTTTTTCAGTCAATGGAACCAAAAAGCATTGAAGAATTAAGAGCAGTTAAATGTCCACACATATCTGCTGAGGACATGATAGAGCTTGGAGAATTTAGTGGTCCAGTCCAGTCTAAAAGTCCAACCAAACGAAAACACAACAGTAAACCAATGCTGTTGGTCATTGATGTTCGAGTACAAGAAGAGTATCCTTTATTTCTAACAACAAACCTATCTGTACAGTAATGCCTTGTTATTGAAAGAAACTAAATTGAAGTAATTGTTTGGTTTTCACATATGAACAAAGAAGTACTATAAATGTCTTATATACAAAATTGTTCACCAAAAAAAAATATAACTTTTTTCTTTCAAAATGTATGACCTCATCTTCATATAAAGATAAGGAGATGTGGTTTGATTGCCAATGAGACAACTGTCCACCAATATTCAAATAAAGTGGATGTAAGCAATAAAAGGCAACCCTATGGCCTTCAACAATGAGAAAAACCCATACCATATAGTCAGTTATAAAAGGTTTTATGTATATATATAGTTCTTTAACATGGTTAAAATTTAGTTAAAGATAATAAGATTTGAAATCACTAAGAAACCTCACTAAGGAAATCACCTTGTTAAAAATCATCACAAATTAATATGAAAAGATTCAGTTCTTAAATGTGTGCTTTAGTGAACAAAAGTCAAAGGGTATAAATTCAGGTAATAGGATATAAATGTCATCTGTCATCATAATGAATCGTCAAAGAATACTACTGTAGATTATTCAAAGGATTTTGACACCTGCAAGATATAATAGTTTAGAGGTTGACTAAGGATTAGAACTATGGTAGTTTGATTTGAAGTAGATGTGAGATAGAAGAAATTTTACCAAAGAATACATAAAGATATGATCTGCTCAATTTATGTCACAAGAATGATGTGACCTATATTTCATGGGTCAGTAATAATAGTGAAGTGTATTTTTTAAGATTGGTATTTTGGATTCCTGTTCATTGAAAGCTACCTCCAATTTCTTTTTATGTACATGATATATAGCAGACAGAGTCACTTCTTAAACCAAGTCCTTTAGTTGAGGTGAATTACCTTATTTTAAGGTGGTACCAAACACCTTGACTAAAATTAATTTGGCTCGTTTAATGTTCATAAGATTTTGACAAAATATTTACTTTGACCCTTTGACAAAAATATAAAAATTTCAAAAAACTTGAACCACACACTTTATCGAAAAAATTTCATTGGATATATAGCAGTTTGACAAACACTAATTTTGATCATTGAGAAGATTAATATTTCGTTAACAATAGAACGTGATTAAAACGTTGAGCTGATTTTTACAGAGTTATCTCCCTGTATTGTTGTGTACCACCTTAAAAATGTAAAAAAAAAAATCCCCAGAAATTAGTTTTTACAGAAACAGAAGTGTGTTATCCTTAACTTATCAATAGATTTAATAAAGGTACCATCCCCAGCAGTATTAACATTCCGTTCCAATCAGCATTCGGTCCTGAAGGTGACCTGAACCCTTGTCCTGCTGTGACGACCTTGAATGCTCATCCATTACAGGTCAAGGTTGTAGTAGGAGGCAGAAATAGAAATGCAGTGAATGTAAGGATAATATATCAGTACTTCATGCTGTAAAGGACAAGGTTCTCTTTGGGCAAAATAAGTCCTTGAATTTCAACTTTATCATAAAATTTCAAAATGGCCATAATTTGAATCTCAAATGGATGTATTTCAAAAGCCTTACTTCGTTGTTAAAATAAATCTCTTCATAAAAGTACATTCTTGACTTCAAAATCAGCACATTTTGGATATATTGATAAAATACAATGATTTTGTGCATAATTTGGACCTAAACGCTTGAGGATACCCTTGGCAGCATTCTAGCATCCAAAATGTTCTGTAACCAAAAGTTGTCAATGATGATATTGAATCCCTAGACAAAACAACTTTTTGGATCAGGGGTGGCGGCCAAAGTAAATTATCCTAAAAACTATTAAAAATTATTGAAAATTTGACCACAACTGAAGTTACAACACAAAACATGCATACTTAAGGAGTCAATACTTCGTCATTTTTAATGTGATGTACCAAAATGAAGTTCTTTTGTATTAATAATAATATTACAATTATTTCTATGTGAAATTTGTATTTTTTTGGTCTGATCGTTAAAATCTTAAGGCCAACTTTTACCGTTTGAGTACTTACTCCTTTGTTTCAGAGTTACATGTAGATTATATTCCATTATTTTAAAATTCATCAAGAAATTACTGTTTTCCAAAATACCTCAAAAGGTGATTTTTGATTAAAGTAAACATCCAGTGTTTACATTAATCAAAAACCACCTTTTGAGGTATTTTGGTAAAACAGTAATTTCTTGATGAATTTTAAAATAACGACACTTTTAAACAACTGGGCCCAGTATATAAACTGAATAACTAAATTACATAATTATAGAAAAGGAGCATACATCTCAAACACAAGGAATATAGTAATCCTTGCTTCCATTGTGAATAAAAGAAGATTTGGGTAATATATCAATGAGACAGCAACCCAACAACACAAAAACTTAGATACTTACAGGTCAATATGCGGTTTTTATACGACCGCAAAAAAATTTTTGTGGTCGTATATTGGTATGACGTTGGCGTCGTCGTCGTCGTCGTCGTCGTCGTCTGGCGTCGTCCGAAGACACATTGGTTTTCGCACTCTAACTTTAGTTTAAGTGAATGGATCTCTATGAAATTTTACCACAAGGTTCAATACCACAAAAGGAAGGTTGGGATTGATTTTGGGGGTTATGGTACCAACAGTAAAGGAATTAGGGGCCAAAAAGGGGCCAAAAATAAGCATTTTTGTAACTTCCAGACATAACTTGTGTGTTAGTGTATGGATCTCTCTGACATTGTACCACAAGGTTCCATATCACAAAAGGAATGCTGGGATTGATTTTGGGGGTAATTGCCTCAAAATTTTAGGAATAAGGGGCCTAAAAAGGGGCAAAAAACCAGCATTTTTCTAGTTTCATGACAATAACTTGTGTGTAAGTGTATGGATCTTTCTGAAATTGTACTACAAGGTTCCATATTACAAAGGGAAGGCTGGGATTGAGTTTGGGGGTGATGAATCATAAGGGGGTTATGGTACCAACAGTAAAGGAATTAGGGGCCAAAAAGGGGCCAAAAATAAGCATTTTTGTAACTTCCAGACATAACTTGTGTGTTAGTGTATGGATCTCTCTGACATTGTACCACAAGGTTCCATATCACAAAGGGAAAGCTGGGTTTGAGTTTGGGGGTAATTGCCTTAAACGTTTAGGAATTTGGGGCCAAAAAGGGGCCAAAAAACACATTTTTCTAGTTTCCAGACAATAACTTGTGTTCAAGTGTATGGATCTCTCTGAAATTGTACTGCAAGGTACCATACCACAAAGGGAAGGCTGGGATTGAGTTTGGGGGTGATGAATCATAAGGGGGTTCAAAAAATTTGGGGGGGGGGATTTTTTTTTTTCCTTTTTTTTCTTTTTTTCCTTTTTCTTTTCTTTTAAAATTTTCCATTTTAAGTTGGTTATTTCTGATTTATTTTTAAAAGCAAATAATAATGATATGGTAGGAGATACACACCAAACAGGATATGTAAATTATTATATAATAAGTATTGTGCAATAGCAAGAAATTTTCAATTGCACAGTATTGCACAATAGCAAGAAATCTTTAATTGCACAGTATTGCGCAATAGCAAGAAATCTTCAATTGCACAGTATTGCGCAATAGCAAGAAATATCCAATAGCACAATATTGCGCAATAGCAAGAAATTGTCAATTGTACAGTATTGCGCAATAGCAAGAAATATTTAATTGCACAGTATTGTGCAAAAGAAGATACTTCGTATTAATTGCTTATTTCTTGACCAATTTCAATGGCGTTTTATTCTTGAATTCTTGGGGTTCTTTAATATGCTGAATCTAACCGTGTATTTAGTTTTTGGATTTTGGGCCCCGTTTTTAAATTGGTCCACATTGAGGTCCAAAGGGTCCAAAATTAAACTTTGTTTGATTTCATCAAAAATTGAATTATTGGGGTTCTTTGATATGCCGAATCTAACCGTGTATTTTGATTCTTAATTTTTGGTTCCATTTTCAAATTGGTCTACATTAAGGTCCAAAGGGTCCAAAATTAAACTTAGTTTGATTTTAACAAAAATTGAATTCTTAGGGTTCTTTGATATGCTGAATCTAAACATGTATTTAGATTTTTGATTATGGGCCCAGTTTTCAAGTTGGTCCAAATCGGGGTCCAAAATTAAACTTTGTTTGATTTCAACAAAAATTGAATATATAGGGTTCTTTGATATGCTGAATCTAACCATGTATTTAGATTTTTGATTTTTGGGCCCTGTTATCAACTTTGTTCACATTGAGGTCAAAAGGGTCCAAAATTAAACTTTGTTTGATTTCATCAAAAATTGAATTCTTGGGGTTCTTTGATATGCTGAATCTAACCATGTATTTAGATTTTGGATATTGGACCATAATAGGTGAATGTCCAATTTAAAATTTTTAAGTTCTTAGACCACATTCATTCTGTGTCAGAAACCTATGCTGTGTCAAATATTTAATCACAATCCAAATGAAAAGCTGTATCAGGATTGAATGTTGTGTCCATACTTGCCCCAACTGTTCAGGGTTCAACCTCTGCGGTCGTATCAAGCTGCGCCCTGCGGAGCATTTTATTGACAATATACAGGTGTCTTTACAATATGTCAAGCTCTAAAAAGTACAAAGTCACAAAAAGGGATGGATTAATTAAGTAGATACTATGAAATTTCTGCCTGAAGCAATTAATTCTCAAATGATGAAAACAAGATAGTAAATAGAGATAGGCACATGAACATGTGACTAAGTAAAACTAGGTTTTTGAAATCTGAACCCTTCCCTCTTTAATCTTGATTTAGCTTAATATCAAAGAGCAAATGATATTACATGTATTGTAATACTTTTTGCATACAAAATTCTTTTGTACCTTAACCTTTTTTGTACAGTCAAAGCATTCACCGTATAAACATTTGTGATATACAGTCACTGAACTGTGTCGTTAATAATGTGTTTGCATATAGTTTATTTCATGACATCATAAAGAAATGCAGGTTCACAGATTTTTTAGGTTGTCCACTTCAAATTAAGATTTTACCAAAAAATACTTAATTAGATCTATGTTTTGAGTGTCTTGAAATATAAATTGTACTCAATTCAAAATGGGATGGAAAAAAAGCTTGACAATGGCTTGTATTCTACCTATTTCTAAGCCTAGTACAAATATATTTTTTTTATGAAAACTAATTCATCATATATATTTCAGTTTGCAAATGAGTTAGTGAGATTAGGATACAAGAAAGTATGTGTTCTGTTTAAAGGGATCGATGTTCTGAGGAATACCACCATACTGACTATACCTCCTGCAGATATATAAGATTAATGACATTATTAATATAGTTATACAAAATTCAAACTGTTATGTTTGTGGTTCCATGGTAACAAACATATAATATTATAATCAAATATAAAAGTGTTATGTTCGTGTTTCTATGGTAACACGCACTAGTGTTATTACTATATGTATGACCTTATAACCTTTCAGATTAACACCATAAGTATTACAGTTGTTTTTTTTAACTTTCACATACTGAGATGTCTATTTATTTTATTTTTTCAAATACTTAAAAGTATTCATTTAAAATATTTCTTGTTTATGATTTATTTTCTAATGGTCTACTTTGTATGAATTATTGTTTCATATAAAATATATTCTAATTCTAGTTCAAAGCGTCCAATATTGTAAATATTTCTTAAGAAATTAAAGTGAAAAATGGCAGATCTAATTATTTTTAAAGTTTTAAATTTGTGATTCATGTAATATATACCGGTAACCTACACAGAATTGTCATTGCTTTGTTCAGTTATTTACCTTATGACAAAGTTAATACATTCATTCAATAGTTGACTGACTTGAAGTAACAGTCTTTTAATCAGTGTGTTACAAGAAATGTAACATACTGTAAATCATTAAATATTTGCATGTATTTATTATTGCAGTTGTTGAACTATGGAAAAAAAGTGGGGTTAATAATTATGCCTTCAGGAAACACAGCTTACAAATAATTGTATCAAAAGTTTTATTGTAAGTTTTTATGGTTGCGAAACATATCCAATTGCATTTTTTGCAATAATAGAAATATTGCAAAAATTTTGAAATTTACTGTACTATATAAAATGATTGTTTGGTGCATTTTATTCATTATTGATAATTTTAATAATATTATGTGCAATATTTGTTATTGAAAGAATTGTTAATAAAGTTATAATGATATTGAAAGTCATTATTTCTTCTTATTTAACTGATACTACAGTTTTATATACAAAATTTATCATATCATTCAATAGCGTAGAAAAGTTAAAACTAATTGATCTATTTTTGGTCTACTTCTGTCATTGGATTGCTGTCTTAATGATGTTTACTCCATATCTTTCCTTTTTGTTGGTCTTGGAATAGCCGTACAGTGTTTCTTATACTCATATTCAATTTATTATTTTACTATGTAACTCACACTCTACATCTAAGGAGAGGAGCAATAATTATTATTTTTACCTTGTCTATCTGTCAAATGTTCATATTACCAGTGATCAAACAAATATATCCGTCACACTCTCATAGGAACTACTGAACAAACTTTATATTTGAACAGGAATTTGACAGCGTTGGGTTGTAATGTGAGATTTTTTTTTTGATTTGTCAGAAACTTAATTCCTGTTTGCAGATACTTTGAATTTTTCAATGGGGTATGGGTTGTGCTTATTGTTAAAGGCCTCACAGTGAGCTATAGTTGCTAACTTTTGGTCTCTGCTGGAAAATTGTCTCATTGGCAATCATACCATATCTTTTTTATATTTAATTTTTTCGTTGCACATTTCTCCAGTACATTTGCACTACAGAACACATTGATTTCATATTTGGTCAGCAGCTTGACAGTGACTATTTTTAAATTATGAGCATTTTTTGGATCTGCTTCCTGTTTTCCTATTTACTTTGAAAAACGAGTTGCATTAAGTCTAGCATGGCATATAGAATTGAGAATGGAAAAGGGGAATGTGTCAAAGAGACGACAACCCTACCAAAGAGCAGCAAACAGCCCAAGGCCACTAATGGGTCTTTAATGCAGCAAGAAAATCCTTCAACAGGAGGGGGGCTTCATTTGGCCCCTTAACATTTATGTATACTAGTTCACCAAAATTGAGGCCACACTAAACTCCCAAACATATAAATGAACTAAAATCAAAAAACATACAAGACTAACAAAGGCTAAAGGTTCCTGACTTGGGACAGGCACATAAATGTGATGTGGTTAAACATGTTTTGTGACATCTCAACCCTCCCCCTATACCTCTAGCCAATGTGGAATAAACAAACTCACAGTAATACGTACAGTAAAACTCAGTTTAAAAGAAGTCTGAGTCTGATGTTAGAATAGGTAATATGAGAAACTAAACAAACTGACAATGATCAACATAAATTAACAAAGGACTATATAGCTACTAGCAGTTACTGACATGCTAGCTTTAGACCTCAAAAGCATGTATTCTTGTTTCATGCTGTCATTGGGTACTTGCTGACATATTTACAATAACACAATATCTCTTTACTTTTCATGAATGTTAATATAATATAAGGGTAAATGTCAAATAAACAGCAATCTAACAACACAACCAAACGAACAAGACATTTACAGGTCAACATGCTGTCTTCAATAATAGATAAGTGTTTATGCTGTATGTTAAGCTTTCAATCTCCTTAAGTGTTGAAAAATGACTATGACAAGGACTAAAATTCAAAGACAAAAAGTGTTTTTATGACTTTACTTTTACATGAGACAAATGTTCATAGAACTGAAATAATGCTGTAATGTTAGTATGCTTGCCTTAAGTACCATTGGTGACAAGGTTGTATTCATTAGTGTTTTTCAACTATGTTCTGTTCTTGGATCAAGTCATATATAATTTCTTTAGATAGTGGCTTCTCAAAAACTACTGAGCAAGATAAGATCAAGCTCACTGTAAACTTTTATATGAACATTTATTATTGCATTTTCAGAAAACTGACCACAAATACATTATTATATAAATTGTGATTTCAGAAAATGATGCAAGTTTTAATTTTTGCAAAACCTATCCCCTGGCAATTTACCAATATGAAAGAACTGGTTATTTGATGGCTGGAACTGTTCTTGAGATTTGATCTTATCCAAAGTGTTACATGGATACAAGCTAAGGTTCAATTAGATCTTGTCACCAACCACTGAGCCAGTAGAAATAATTCCTTATTTGAATAACCCTTGAGTGGTCCAAATGTTCAACATAGGTTCATTAACTTTATGTTTTAAATATGTTGAAATAAAAAAGTAAACAAGAATTGTATAAAAGTATATAATATTAATCTGAAGATATCTAATTTACAAGACATTCTACACTTTTTAAAGTAACAGTTTTTAAAACTGGATTTATCACAGAATAATGAAATACTGGAAAACCATAACAAGCTGCACCTGAATAAGAAAAAATAATAAATATTTATCACTACCTGCTAGATATTGTTAAATTGGAAGAGAAAATTTCTTTAAAAAAAACAAGGTTCAGAGTTTATGTCAATATTACAGCAACAAAACAACAAAAGACATTTACAGGTCAATATTTCTTATAAAAAATATCTTAACAAATACAGGAAAAATAGTAAATGTATAAAGTAATAAAAGTATATATTGGTTATTTATCAGAAGTAAAGGATGGTAAAGTTTTTGTCAACTATAACTTTTCATATTGTTATTTTTCTCATAGTGCTAAGGAAAAACAATTCATTTTCTCTGCAGGTTTAACATGCACCTACTGAAGAATGCTACAATAAAAATTTCATGATTTAAAATAGTTTTTTGTAATTTAATCTTAATATGTTAGATAACATGAATGAATAAAATTAAACTAATGAATTTTTTAAAGACAATTTTAAAAATTCAATAGAAATGTTCATTTAAGGTGGTGACTGGGTGAAGGGAGATAACTCTCCAAATCAGTAATGCATTTGTAACAGACAGTTTTATCAATGCTTTTAGGCATTCATGTGAAACAGAATCAAAATAATCTGTGTTAGTTAGAAGCTTAGAATATATTTATGAAAATGGTTGACACAAACTTCATAATCACTTGTAAGAGTTATGTCCCTTAACCTAGATCTAGTTCCTGTATACTATATTTATACAATAGGTGTGAAATAAAAATCAATCACCAGAGTCGGATGGTAATTTGTTTTATTACACTGCACTTGTTTCATAACCTTTCATTAATAAAGCAGTTGCCTAAAAGTTTTCACAAGTTGATTGGTTTTAACTCTGGCTTCATTGATTGACTGATTGATTGTTGTTTGCTTATTGTCCAATGGCATATTGTGAAAGAGCCAAGCCTATTGTATAAACACAGTAAAAGTTGTGGTATTTTACTTGAACATTGCAAAAGTTTCAAATTTGCAATATTTCTACTGAAATACTGGTATCCATAAGGCAAACTAAAGAACTAAGAATATTAAGGTGAGTGCTTTTTCATCAAGACATTTGCAGGATGATATATTGTGCATGGTGAAACATTACAGCATCTGATAACTTGAAGTCATGATTATAGTGCAGGGAAACCACAGTTTTTAGATCAGTAATTCTTAAAAACATGAAATAATTTGCTAAAGTAAACCTCATAACAATTGATATAACCATGCGTTGTACACTTCATAAAAAGTTTTAAAGGTTTGCTAACAGTTTACTTGGTATCCACTTTTTGTGTTTAGTTGCAGATGTATTCTTTATGTTACAATTAGAAGAATCCATACTATAAAATTTTAAACCCCTGAAAGGTTGTCTTTATCTTTGACATACAAAACCTTATGCTACTGAAGATTTAAAAAAAAGTTTCATTGATTTCAACTCACTGATTTGCTTTATGAGGTCACTGATGAGTCTTTTGTAGACAAAGCGTGTTTGGCGTTAAAAGTAATAAGCCTGGTGTCTATAATGAGTTTTTTTTTTAGGAAGAATTGCCAATGGAATATGAGATGGAAAACAACATGATAAATAAGCAAAGGATGTAATTTATACATTGTGGCTGTCTAAAGGGGGATCAAAGATATTCACCTACCATACTCTCCATGATGTGTAACAGCCACCACGGCTCCAACAAAATTAAGATAATAATTAGTAATTCGTGCCATCACTGACTGTGTAGCAGTAGTTGGATCATTACCCATACCCATACTGTTCACAGCCATATATCTATAAATAGACATGATGCAATGTATTAACTCACCATATGTTCCTTTACTATCTATAGCTATTAAAGCTCCAGAAAACTTTGGATAATATTTAGCTATCATCTGGATTGTAAGTTTAGTGATTATTCCTGGAGGTACACCAGCTTCCATCTGATTAACTGCTAAGAATCTAAAATAAGAATGCTGTTAAAATAATGGCATAATTAACTTAATACTGAGTATTGCATTGAAAAGATCTATGTAAGGACATTGGCCATTTTAATCAAGCATAATACTATATTTTTATGGGTATTGTGATAATAGTGGTGTATAATGTTTGAAAAGTATGTTTTTAATTTAGATATCAAATTTGGGGTTTATGATAAACCTTTTGTATTTCCCTTCATCAGGTATCATCTGCAAAAAAATATTTGTTATGAACTTTAAGTTATAGTATCTCAAAGCATACGTTAATTGGAACCTAACATTTCATTTTTTCTATGATATTTTTATCATTTTAAACAACATTCTATCTGATGGCCAGCATTATGACTGTACAAATAACTATTTGATTTGATGATAATGGAATTTAAGAAATTAACAGTCCAATCAATATTAACAAGGAATTACTTACAGCAATTTTAGTTATGCTATATTTGGGGCGACTCTTATTTACAAAAAAATAATATTTATAAAATCACAAAAAAATATGTAAACAAAACAAGGCACAAAATTTCAATGAATACAATAGAACACTATGTATACAGTAATCCTAATATAATTTTAATAAAGTTTTAATTTGTAACTGCTGTTGTCAATATTTTTTTTTCTTGCATTGTTTAATGAAAACTTGAGACATTCATTTCTTTTTATCGCTTTTTTTAGAAGTTATTAAGCATACTTACGAAGGTAAAAATCTCATCATAACATCCCCGTCTCCAGTAGCAACAGCTCCACCTACACCATTCATGGCATATGCCCCTGCTCCCATGATAGGGGAATCACCAACTCTTCTATAAATAGAAATGTTAAGTCTTCAAAGTTTTCTGCATTTCTTCATTTTACATTTTATGCCCCACCTCTGATAGTAGTAGGGGCATTATGCTTTCTGGTCTGTGCGTCTGTTCGCTCGTTCGTTTGTCCGTCCCTCTGTCCGTCCGTCCTTCTGTCCCGCTTCAGGTTAAAGTTTTTGGTCAAGTCAGGTTAAAGTTTTTGGTCAAGGTAGGTTTTGCTGAAGTTGAAGTCCAATCAACTTGAAACTTAGTACACATGTTCCCTATGATATGATCTTTCTAATTTTAATGCCAAATTAGAGTTTTTACCCCAATTTCACGGTCCACTGAACATAGAAAATGATAGTGCGAGTGGGGCATCCGTGTACTATGGACACATTCTTGTTTGTATATATTTATGTCCTTGGACCAAAATTTAAGAAGTTTAAAGAGAGGTTTTACTATCATTTAAGCTTAACTGTGTTTTGAAATAGGTATCCATCCTTTTTACCAGTAAGTATCATTTCATTTATTAATCAAGTTCTGAGAATGGTTATAGCATATCAGTGATTTACTGCATTCTGTAGCATACTAGATGACTTCCTGACCAACTCCATTATGGAAAATGGAGAAACTTCACGTCAGACAGTAATATTAGATTAATAAAAGGTAATCAAATCTGACAGAAAGAAATGTCAAAGGAAAATTAGGACATGTAAGGTTATAACATGTCAGAATTTATGTTTCTAACACGAACATGTGCATGATGTAAAATTCAAACAGATCTCATCAATAAAAAAACAGACGAGAATGACATCCCCTCAACCAATCAATGCTCAAAATTGTAAAATTAATACACTTCAGAGACTGGTATTGCCCTTTTGTTTCCCTTTCAAATTCATGTTTTTTTTGTTTAATTACGTTTGTGCTAAACAGGTCAAATTTATCATCATTTACTTCATTTATCCCTAAAAATTGTTGATAATTCATAATTTTGAGTATCAACAACAAACCTTGAAGATTGGCCTACATAAAAATTTATTGTATTGTGGATTCATTTATTTTTGTGGATACTATTAGTTATCTTGGTGTAATCAGGGGTGTACAAAATTTTACACCGTTGTTGAAAATTCATACACCCTGAGGAGCAGCCGAATGGGTGTATGAATTTTCAACAACGGTGTAAAATTCCGTACACCCCTGATTACACCAAGATAACGAATTTATTTCTTATGAACAATTCCTTTACTCATTTTTAAACCGGGATGTAAAAATTGAAAAATGCTAATGAAAAATTTCCAGTGTTACATTTTTTCAACGTCAATGTTCCTGCACATTGTCAAATACTTATTTTCTTTATTTTGGGGATTCAAAAAAAAAAATTTGTTCTTTTGAATTTTCAGGGAAAATTTTTTTTCAATTTTTTTACAAATTTTTGTCCTCAAATTTATTTATTTTTCATTTCATATATAATTTTTTTTTTTTTTACATTTTATTTTTTTTGTTTTATTTATTTTGTTTTTTGACATTTTATCTATTTTTGTTTTATATTTTTTATATTAATTTTTTTTTCTTTATTTTGGCAATTTTTTTTATTTTTTTATTTTTTGGCAAAATTTTATTTATCCCAGCTAGGGTGAACAAGGGTGGGGTGTTATTTACACCGGGGTAATTAACCAATCAGATCGCAGTATTTTTGCTGCATAAGAAATAAAGTTTTTTGTAGATTGAGAACAATTGTATTTTCATGGATATTAGATTTCATGGATTTGGCAATGTCTGCATACAAGCCTATAAAAAATTTGAAATTTGTTGAACATTTGAATTCATGGTTTATCTATACCCATGAAACCCACGAGATTTGATATCCCACTTATATTAAAACACACTTGTGACGTAAATCTATTGTTATAACTCTCCATTATTTTCCAGGAATGGAGAGTTATTTCTTATTGTCCCGTCTTTAATTAGGCGTATGAAATACCCTGAGGAAAAATCTTTCTGACTAATACCTAGACTTTGTAACCGATGACAACAATTTACCTAGAAGACTTGCCACAAGTACATTTGATATTTATATTTGTCCCCTCTAACATTGTTTCCTATCAAAATGCAGTAGTTTTACTTAAAACCCCCTTTTGAATTAATGTTCCATATTACTGCGTATTTTTATAGGAAAAGTGAAAGAGAAGAAAATAAAAATAAAATATGTACTTGTAAGAAGTAATTACAAACATCAAACAAGAAATACATCTGCACTTGTGTTCGTTGTATCGGTGTTAAGGGGACATGACGACTGAAACTAAAAAAAAGAATATAAGAGCACTGCATATTTATTACTATACTCAGACATTTCCATCATCAAAACACAACACTGACTGAAATATTACACTTCACTTCATGGAAATATTCAATGTAATTGACAAATTGCCATTAGATTTGGATATTTTGAACTTTCCGGAATCATCGTTTTCACTATCGGTTCGTCCTTGGATAACGGAATTGATTTTCCTTTTCTGTTTTTCATTTGTTCTTTTGTAATTTCTTACAGCATTCGATCTATGACCCGTGACCTCGCATATTAATTGCTCATCTACGCCAGCGTCGTACATCCTAGTTGCGGCAGAAGCTCGAAGCGAGTGGTTAGTGCGGTAACCACCTATACCTGCTTCCTGACAAATGCTAGCTACAATGTTAGCGAGGCTATGTCTACCAATTGGTTGATCAGCATACCAAATGTTTCCGTTTGGAATTTTCAAAGGTCTCAAGTACAACGCATCGGCTTTCCTTGGAAACGGTGGACAGTGAGAAGCATATAATTCAAACAAATTCCCAATGCACCTAGCTTGGTTTTCTGTATTTTGATATGCCACCACAGATTTTCTTTTAACATTTTTATGCTTGATACCTCCTTGGTCTGCCTTTGATTTTGCTTCAGTATAAATCAAACACTTTAAACCATTTTTTTCATTTATTTGAAACTGTGATGAATTTCCCCCTTTAAAATCTCTGTGTTCCTGGCCACCTCTTAATGACAGGCCTCTACAATAACTTTTTTTTCAACTTGTCCAGTAGGACAAGTACATACCAAAACTTACTTGTCCGAATGAAATTGTAACTTGTCCGAATGAAATTGTAACTTGTCCAAAAAAAATCTTAATAATAACCTTTTTTGCATTTTAAGTTGATTCAAGGAACAAAATGAATTAAAAACAATAGAACAGAATTTGATTTATATCTTTTGAAATACTTTTCAAAAATTTGAGTGGAGAACAACTGAATCTAGTCGTGTCACAGGACTTAGGTTCTAGTTTTCAACAATGCCAAAGTCTCATCAGACTCTGCACATGAGGCACCGTCTGATAGGCCTGTCAATGTCCACTCATTGGATTTGTATCCTGGTTTTTTAAGTTGAAAAAAGTTTATTTAAATGCAATCAATAAAAAAAAAGAAGATGAGATATGATTGCCAATGAGACAACTCTCTGCAAGAGATCAAATGACACAGAAATTAACAACTATAGGTCACCGTATTGCAAGTATTGTTTTTTTCTACATATGATCAAATATGATTTTGTGAATTTTATGGTAAATAATTTCTTCATTTTTATGTAAAAAATATTTTTGTTAAAAATATTACGGTATGAATGGTATTTATTATAAAGCAACAGAATAAGGTCGGAAAACGAGGTACTGATTTGTCTTGGTCCCGAAATATCTCCTGTCTCCTAGTTGCCAAACTGTCTATTAATCATGTCTATTAAATATGTCTCCTACGGTGCCAAACTGTCTATAAACTTGGAGCGGAATCGTTTCCGAGCTGGTGATGAACTGTCTTGTAAAGTTACTTTATCTACAAAGCCCATCGCTGATTCTGATCAGTCAGACTGGTTTCCGAGAATAGTATGCCTTTTACCTGTTAAAAAGTACCTGACAAGGAACCAGTTTTAAATTATCGATTGCAAGTAAACGTGTCAAATTAATACTTGTTTTCATCTTCTTTTCTTGTTTTTGTTACTTTGTTCATCAAAGTTGGATTAAATTTATTTTCTGTATAATAATTCAACTTGTCCTGTCGGACAAGCTTGATATAGCTTTTACTTGTCCGACCTTTTTTTCCTCTGGTACCGGACAATCGGACAAGCGGTATTGTCGAGCCCTGTAATGCAAAGTTTAAACCTATTAAATAAACTAACGTATTCAATAAATGACGAGGGTTATCAGATCCTAATGAACCGCTTGCCCATAACTTTTATTCCTCCTCCAAAGAAATTTCTTCGGCCTGTTTTTTAGGAACACGAACTTCTGCTCGTAATTTCATTACATTATCTAGGGAATTTTTTATCTGAATAAAGCTAGAATCAGATAGAAACTTATGATTATATCCAAGTGTATCCATGTATAACTGTAAACAAATAACTAGAGAATAAAGCGTATCTGGTGGATATTCAGTTCCATCAGTTTTTCGAACTTCACAAATAAAGCGGGAAATGGAATAATTCAATTCATCAAGCGACATTTCAGCCAGATCTACGCAAATTGGACTAAGTCCCACATTTGGATCATTCGCCCTAATATTTCTGGTAGATTTCCATTGTTTGAATAAGGTCGTTGCCCACTTGATTTTGCTCATGGTACTGTCAGCAAACCTACAATATTAAGAAACAATAATAAATATTCAAGCAAACACGCAGCAAAAATACATATCTACTCTATATTTCAATAATATTAATCGAATATTGCAGTTATGAGAGAGAAAGATCAGTAAAGAGAGTTGAATTTATAAAAGAGTATGATTAGGGTAGACGTTAACGAGACAGCAACCTAACGATATAAAAAAAAGGTCTGTGAAGGTCAGCATACACGACTAAAAAACAAATGTCTATAAAACGAATATTTTCAAATAATGTATGAATAAAGGGAGACGTGGAGTATACATCAATGAGACAACAACCCAACGATACAATATAAAGGATATCTAGATAGGGGACAACATATACAGTTTTCAACAATAAACAGCTTCATATCGTCCCGAGTTTAAAAAAGTTATTAACTTAACACAAACTGTCAAAGATCTGACAATACGAAATTCCTAAAAAAAAAATACACAAAAAAACCAAGAATATAGGACATGCAAATATATGATTGTTTTATGTAACTAGTTATATCTAACTATAGAATTATACATTGCTCCCAAATAACTCCTGATATAGAAATATAGTATTTAACCGTATTTTGTATGTCCGGCTGTAATCAAGTATCAAATGGAAATTAAATTCCGAACCTTAATCTTACTATCCATATCTGTAAATTCGTTGGTTAAAAACTTAAATAAACACTGTTTGTGTTTTACCATGACGTATTGTATAATATAAGTTCTTTTTTGTGCACAAGTAAGAAAAAAAACCAGTATAAATAAGAAGGCGATATTGGTCAAACTTTTGTTTAGTACGACTGTGACAAAATACCGAAAAAAACTTGACGGCTGGTCGAATCTTTTGTGAGAAGTTATTTGCTAATTTCTAAATATCAAACTAAAATATTTATTTATATAATATATCAATACAGACAAGGGAAATTATGAAAACTTCCTTATTTTTTTTTGATGTACAGATGAACGAGAAGACTTTATCACGGCATACAACTGATCCTTATCATTTTGTATGAGACCTTTATGATGTAATCATGCACAAAGGAAGACTGCTTTACATTTTGCTTTTATTGCTTCATTTCCAGAGTTAAATGGGTCCTGTTATATATTTCTTAGTTAACTAAGTATAATCGAAAAAATATCAACATGATATTTGACTGACTGTTGATTGCTTAACGTCCAGTGGCAACTATTTCATAACCTAAATGATGACAAAGCACGCACAATGCCTCATGATTTAGAATTACTGTTTATTTTGTGTTTTGAACAAAACGTCAGTTTATATATATATATATATCAAACATAAGTTACTTACTACTTTGATTCAGGGCTCGACAATAACGCTTGTCCGATTGTCCGGTACCAGAGGAAAAAAAGGTCGGACAAGTAAAAGCTATATCAAGCTTGTCCGACGGGACAAGTTGAATTATTATACAGAAAATAAATTTAATCCAACTTTGATGAACAAAGTAATTATAAACAAAAAACAAGAAAAGAAGATGAAAACAAGTATTAATTTGACACGTTTACTTGCAATCGATAATTTAAAACTGGTTCCTTGTCAGGTACTTTTTAACAGGTAAAAGGCATACTATTCTCGGAAACCAGTCTGACTGATCAGAATCAGGATGGGCTTTGTAGATAAAGTAACTTTACAAGACAGTTCGTCACCAGCTCGGAAACGATTCCGCTACAAGTTTATAGACAGTTTGGCACCGTAGGAGACATATTTAATAGATATTAATAGACAGTTTGGCAACTAGGAGACAGGAGATATTTCGGGACCAAGACAAATCAGTACCTCGTTTTCCGACCTTATTCTGTTGCTTTATAATAAATACCATTCATACCGTAATTTTTTTAACAAAAATATTTTTTACATAAAAATGAAGAAATTATTTACCATAAAATTCACAAAATCATATTTGATCATATGTAGAAAAAAACAATACTTGCAATACGGTGACCTATAGTTGTTAATTTCTGTGTCATTTGATCTCTTGCAGAGAGTTGTCTCATTGGCAATCATATCTCATCTTCTTTTTTTTTTATTGATTGCATTTAAATAAACTTTTTTCAACTTAAAAAACCAGGATACAAATCCAATGAGTGGACATTGACAGGCCTATCAGACGGTGCCTCATGTGCAGAGTCTGATGAGACTTTAGCATCGTTGAAAACTAGAACCTAAGTCCTGTGACACGACTAGATTCAGTTGTTCTCCACTCAAATTTTTGAAAAGTATTTCAAAAGATATAAATCAAATTCTGTTCTATTGTTTTTAATTCATTTTGTTCCTTGAATCAACTTAAAATGCAAAAAAGGTTATTATTAAGATTTTTTTTGGACAAGTTACAATTTCATTCGGACAAGTAAGTTTTGGTATGTACTTGTCCTACTGGACAAGTTGAAAAAAAAGTTATTGTAGAGGCCTGTGATTGCATATCTTCGATTTCTTTATCTGTCTTTGGCTCGTGAAATCTTGAAGTTGATGGTTGATGACTTTTACTTTCAATTTTTGAGACATTTATAAGTAATTCATCGTCAGACTGTGTTAATTTCGGATTGGAAAAACCTTCGTCTTCAGAAATATCAGAACATGCAACTGAATATGTTTCACTAGTAGTAGTAATATCATATCCCAAGAAAAAATTACATAAATCCAAGTTATCATCATTGGTTTCTTGTGAAAATGTGTTTTGCGTAAGAAAAATTTCCTCACCGTCCGAACGTGACATAATCCAAACTTGGACACTAGCTACTATGGACTTTCTTGTTAAAATCAACCCAATTTAAAGCAACTGTTGTAAAAAGAACTCACTAGTGAGTTTATAACTACTCACATAGTTAAGTAAATTCTTTTAAATTTTAAAAGGTTCAGTGAAGGGAATGGTCAAGTGATCAATAATTTATATATTTTATTGTAATACAAAAATTACAAATATTGTAGTGTGTTTGTTATTTTTTAAGTGTGTTTTAAGTGATAGAATGTCCAAATAACTGTCCATTCCTTATTACTGTGGAATCATTATGTTATAGAGAAAGTCCAAATAACTGTCCATTCCTGGGAAATAATGGAGCGGAGGCCCGAAGGGCCGACGCCCATTATTTCCCAGGAATGGACAGTTATTTGGACTTTCTCTATAACATAATGATTCCACAGTAATATTGTCATTTTGGTTTCCCATTATGTTTTCAGTCTTGATTATAATACTGCATCTATAACTACCTTAGTTAAATACAAAGGCAGTGAGTTGTGTCCTGTCAATAACTCTTAGATATCTCTGATCTAATTATAGCCCAAACTCACCCAGGTATTTTATGATTGAGTCCATTAGTTGTTGTACCAGCGGTGATGTTACCATGTTCATCAATCACTACCATACCAATTGTATCGTGATTTCTTCTATCAATATTTTTGTTTCCTCTGTATTCAGTTTGCTGTAAACTTTCTAATACTGACTTAGGTTTGTATGGACCACAATTTTTTGTTGGATCTGGTGTTACATTCTACAAAAGGATATCATATATCATAATACATTTTAACTTCTTGTGCATGTATAATGCAATGTTTATTTGTATAACAATATGGACATACAATGTAATAGAAAAGTCAATACTTTTATTAAATGTTTAAGAGTTGAATTTTCTAAATATCTACTGGTTCCAAACAAAAATTGTATTATATCTGTACTGAATAATAAATTCAATAAATCAATAATTTTTTTTATCGCTATTTTGTGCATTTTTCCTTTGATCTTTTTTTGGTAATAATTTTTCATATCATGCTACTCTCTTGAGATGGAAAATTATCGTCAGAAACTAAGGGCGCACGTGGTCAATATAAACATCAACGACGTCATATGCAAAATAGCGATAAACAGATTATCAATGGTATTTCAAACTGGAGGATGTTTCTCAGACACATCTCATCTCAGGGCTGTCGCCCTTCAATGAGATTGTTGCTGAGAAACACCCTCTCGTTTGAAAAACCATCGATAATCTATAATTAACACACTCAGATCTTTTAAGCTATCTCCAAACATAAATGTTAAATCATAACAAGGGAGATAAGTGCATGCAATCATGATGATTTGTGACAGGCGTGAAAAAGGAAGATACGCATAGGCAATCATGATGATTTGTGTGCAGGAGTTAACAAGGGGGGATAAGCATAGGCAAACATGATGATTTGTGACAGGAGTGAGCAAGGGAAATAAGCACAGGCAAGCAGGATGATTTTTGTACAGGAGTTAACAAGGGGAATAAGCATAGGCAAGCAGGATGATTTTTGTACAGGAGTGAACAAGGGGAATAAGCGTAGGCAAGCATGTTGATTTGTGTAAGGAGTGAACAAGGGAGATAAGCATATGCAGCATGATGATTTGTGTACAGGAGTGAGCAAGGAAAATAAGCACATGCAAGCATGATGAATTGTGTACAGGGGTGAACAAGGGAAATAAGCACAGGCAAGCATGATGATTTGTGTACAGGAGTATGCAAGGGAAATAAGCATAGGCAAGCATGATGATTTGTGTACAGGTATGCACAAGTGAGATAAGCACATGCATGCATGATGATATGTGTACAAGAGTGAACAAGGAAAATAGGGATAGGCAAGCAGGAAGATTTGTGTGCAGGGATGCACAAGGGGGATAAGCACATGCAAGCATGACAATAAGTGTACATGGGGTGAACAAGGAAAATAAGGATAGGCAAGCAGGATGGTTTGTGTACAATTATTTCAAAGTAATTCAAAGCTGTATTTGAGTGTGAGTTTACGATAAAATCATCTTCTTATGTTCAAATAATGTGAAATGACAACATCTATAAGGGAGATAATTCATTTATTTAATTTAATTGCCAACCATTCATGAAATATAAAAGACTTGAAATGAATCTTTTCAGTTTCTATTATTTTTCCTTTAAATATTCAATTAAATTATTAAAATGATTGAAAAGTCATGAATATTATTATTTTTTCTTTTGATGGTTCATTATTCCACTTGTTATCTGTTTATTGTTTGTAAAATCATTTTCTGTTGAACGGTATTACATTTCAATTAAAGAAATTAAGGAATCACTCAGATATCATGTTTTCAACAGTTTTGCAGTGGACCAAAAATTTTTTTTCACTTATTTTTATTTACCATTGTCAATTGAGGAAAACAATGATCAATAAAAGTATTAAGTATGCTAATGTATATACTAAGATGAAAAGAACGACAAGGGAAATTAAAAAAAAAGCAACAAAATAAGACCATACTGGAGAAAAAAGCCTGTATGGAAATAAACAAGATGTGAAGTATCAGTTGTATATAAATAGTATATAAATACTGTACAGTCCTGTAGTTGGGTTGACAATTCTTTGCCTTCCAATCTTTCCACATGGTAACAGAACTATCTGATGACAGGTTTGTTTCTTTAAATCCCATCTCTACTGCAAACTGTGTTGCTGTAATTAAAAGTATTGTGTCCATTTGAACAAATATTCAAACCTCTCATAATATACATAGTTAAATACTGAAAGTATGAGTTCTCAAACTGGTGTCTGTAAAGTTGCATTGCTCAAATGATTGTCCTAATCACTTTAAAGTTGAAAAATAACTATATATTCCAATGCCCATATTTTAAGTCTATGTGTATATGTTTGTTGTGGTCAGTTAAGTCTTTTACTTCTACATCTCTCAGTTATTTCATATTACTAATTTATAAAATTGAGAATGGAAATGGGGAATATGTCAAAGAGACAACAACCCGACCAAAGAGCAGACAACAGCCATAGGCCACCAATGGGTCTTCAACGCAGCGAGAAAATCCCGCACCTGGAGGTGGTCCTCAGCTGGCCCCTATATAAAATTGTGTACTAGTTCAGTAAAAATGGATGTCGCACTAAACTCTTTATGTATATTTTATTATTTTTGTCATTGATAATCAATCTATCTTTAGGATCTGGATGTGTGTTGCTATAAATACTTTTTTTGTCATTACAGGTACAAACTTGATGCTGATGTAAAATAATTTGTTTTAATGATAATTAATTTTGATTTTAAATATCCAGTTTATAAAATTTAATTGTATTAAAACTAATTTGCATCTCCCTTCAGCATAATAAAAATAAAGGAGATGTGGTATGATTGACAATGAGACAACTATCCCTAGATCAAAAGACAAGAGTAAAGTGTAGAGAGAATGTATAACATAACAAATACAAGTAGGTAATTCCAAAACACACATAAATAACAGCACATGTTGATGATTCATAGCCTTATTATAATGATTTTCTCTTTCACAGCTGTTCTCCTGAGGCATTTTAACCTGACATTTTTTGGTAAAAATACTAATGTTAGAAATACAGAACTATAGAGCACTGCTTTCTATGTGATTTTGTGAAAAGCATCAGTTTGCTATCTCTAAATCAAGAAATATAGTTTACACAACAATCTACACAGACCTAATTCTCCCACCAATAATGTCTGTTCTGTATAGTCCATCACAGCTCTGGCTACTGCTATTGCTGTTGGTATACGTCTTAAACAACCTACAGCTCCTACATCAAATGTCTGTCTGAAATACAATGCATTATAATCGTTAACTGTCAATGCATCCACCTAATACACGTTACAGATCTTGATTCACATTGTGAGAAAATGAAATATATTAAGCATATAGCACATGCACAACAAACCAGTATCATTGGACACATCACCCATGCGATCTACACCCACTGATATACATTTACTAACATAGCAATTATCCCACTAAAACACTTGTCAATGATTCAAATTGTAATTTTATATGATGTTTTCTATATAAATTAATAGGCAGATATTTTTCATTTAAATTTTATAAACCACCTTAAACTTGCAGAGAGGTGCAAACTTTAGCTTCCCTGAAGGTCTCAAGAACACAAAAGGCAATGTTATTATGCATTAGGTTGTGTCTAGTGCACGTAGAGATTTAGTTTCATGATTTTTGTCATGAAAAGAAATTCCCTTTTTTCTCGATTTCATTTTAAAAGTAATTGCAAACATGCATATCAAACATACATTCAGTTTATATGTCATGTTTTTCGTAAATAATTTGATTACACTATTGTGTGTGTCATGTTTTTGGTGATTATTAGGATTTCACTACTGTGACTACTTGTGTGTGTCATATTTTTGGTAAAAATAGAATACACCACTGAGTGTGTCATGTTTTTGGTAAATAAATGTAATAGGATAACCCTACTGAGTGTGTCATGGTTTTGGTAAACAATAGAATACACTTCTGAGTGAGTCATGTTTTTGGTAAATAATAGAATTACACTACTGGGTGTGTCAGGGTTTTGGTAAACAATAGGGTTACACCTGTACTGTGTGTGCCATGTTTTGACTCTGGACAATGACACATTTTTGTCTATAATCTTAAGCTGTCAAATATACCTTAAACAATAGACAGTTTTTATTTCAAACATCATCATGTTTAATTGTCAGTTATTACACAATTACATTTTACTTTAAAGTAGAAGCATTAACACTAAAAGCTTTATCAAAGTTTATGGTAAGAATAAAATAAAAGAAGAAATTCACAGTCACTGAGGTCATCAATTAGAAGAAAGTATTTTACCCATTCATGACCATAGCATCAAGAGTAGTTTCCCCATTCTCATCAGGACTACCTCCAGGACCAACTGATCCATCACAACGTTCAATCTCACACACTGAACATCCGTCTACCAACGCATCATAAATAGACCCCTTCTTATTCACAAGTGTGTTCCAAGCTGTAAATAGATAATTTTCCTACAAAATGATTTGCCCAAGGGTATTTAAAGTATAATGTTAATTTTACCAATGAACAATATAATGTTTAGATATGCTAGAGTGCTGTAATGTTTTTTTTATCACATATAAAGCATTTATATATGACTATTTTTACCAATATGAAATGACTAGCGGCTAACATGCCAAACCAACAAAACATTCTGATACACCAATATCAAACCCATCTGAATAATAATTACATTGACAGTTTGTTCATGTATTACCTCTAACTGACATGACAAATATTAAAAAACTCCAAACATTTAAAAAAAAATCAAGATTGAAAATCGGAAGCAGGACAAATCGTCCCACTGGCAAATCACCCCACACCAAATCGCCCAATTTTTTCACCAACTCGCCCCAAACTGGTTTACCAACTCGCCCCACTTTTTTAAAAATCGCCCCACTTGTGAAAAGGGTAAAATTCCGTTAATTTTTCTCTTGCCAACTTGCCCCACTTAATGAAAAAAGGTAAAATCTAGATGAATAATTTTTTTATTCATAAGTGGGGCTAGTTGGTAGTCTTTAATTCTGTACATACTTTTATTTATCAGTGGGGTGAGTTGGCAGACATATATTCAACGGCATTACTTCCTTTTTCATAAGTGGAGCGAGTTGGCATGACTCAATTCATCAGGATTTTTCTATTTTTCACAAGTGGGGCTAGTTGGCATTCAATTCGCAGAAATACTGATACTCACTTCTTTCTGCTTTATTTCAACAAAAAGAAAAGAACTACAAAAACATGTTTATCTAAGGTTTTTATAGGTATTGATTTTATTTATAAGTGGGGCAGGAACATAGATATACAACGGGATTGCATCTTTTTTGGGCGAATTGGCATTACTGAATTCATCGTGGTTTATCTATTTGTCATGAGTGGGGCGAGTTGGCAGACCTTATTTCAGCGGGATTTTAACCCTTTTCATAAGTGGGGCAAGTTATCTAACCTATTTGTGATAGCCTGTTATTTTATATATTTTGTATATTTTTATATTCTTAGTACTTGATATTGATATATATTTGAATAAAGTTATATTGTTAGCTTATTAATTACATTTTGTATTTAAGGATTATCATTGTGTATTATTCTATTTTAACTTATTGACATGGACTATTGACGGACGAACTCTCATCTCATGTTTTGGTTAAGACTGATTTCACTGTAGTTAGTACTTTATTTTCACGGTTGATTTGAGCGCTATCGTGCATTTCTTCTATTGGACAGTACTTTTGGTGGTTTAATTCCTTTGTTCTAGATCTTATGGGAACACATCTTGTGGTCAACACCTGTATATATTTACCTGTCTGCAATTTAACAACTTAAAGAAATTAATATCTTAAATAACAATTCTGTGATTGGAAAGTTTCTTATATAAGGTCAGTATTATTCTCTCTTTATTAATTTTGCAATAACTGTCCAATAGTTCATATTTTACACGTATGAATGTTTAGATTGAATGTTGAGAACGAGTGTTAAATTTTATAACAAAAGAGATCATAAATGTATTTAAAACATAAGAAGAGTAGAATTTTACGATCAGATATAATACTTCATTAACCTATTTAAATCTGGTATAATAATTTGGAGATAAAACTTTACGTAAAAAAATTGAATGAATGCACTAATCGAGCGGACCGGTATGAATGTTGTAATTTTTAAAGGTTAATCGAATTAAAGTAAATATATCTTAGAGCTAAAAATAGATATCTAGGTTTAATATTGATTTTTATAGTAAACATGAGTTTGTACTATAAACAATAAATAATGCTTAACAAAGATTTATAATAATCATTTTTTTTATACAGATATATATAAACCTTGCCAAAGATGTAGTATTTGATATCTAATGGTTAATATGGAAATGTGCCACTTGCACGATATGTGAGGTAAGCTAAGTGTATTTGTATTCTTGTTTCGCTTAGCTTTAGTTTTTAATATTTGCTTTGCTATATTGTTACTTTTTGTGCTTATTTGCTTTTTGATTTAACCAAGCACGCAGCTTACATTTTTGTGTAGTTTATGTTACCAACACAAGTAATATTTATAATAGACATTGGTATGAGACAGCATATGAGAACATGTACTATAATATCTAAGTCTAATTGGTATAACTGTAACTGAGACAAGTAATGGCTATTGTATCCACAGTATATATTTTTGTGACTAGATACATAAGTATGCAGCTAAATAAGTTTGCATGATAATGAATTACGAACATTAGTTTTAATTATTACTTAGTAAACAGATTTATCTATCTGTCACTTATAAGTACATTTATATTTTACAGGGCTGTATTTACATATTCATATAGTTACTTCGTTTTCGTCTGAGAAATAAAAGTTACAGAACCCTAGATTGCAGTTATTTCTTTTATTACTAAAAGCCTGAGGAAAACCGGCTTTTACATATTTTCAATGGGAAATTTACCCTTTTTCATAAGTGGGGCGAGTTGGTAAACAAGAGTGGGGCGATTTTTAGAAAGTGGGGCGAGTTGGTGAAAAAGTGGGGCAATTAGGTGTGGGGCGATTTGCCAGTGGGGCGATTTGTCATGGATTCTGAAAATCCATCTGACATGTTTTTGCACTTAAAGTACTGTATACTCCTAAAGATTAATATAGTGAAAGTATAAAATAAAATCCTTGATACATTGTAGAACCCAACATGGTGACAAAGGGGAAATAACTCTTGCTCAAATTGAGGCAACCAAAAATTATTTAATACTCCGAATTTCTTTTATCATTCATATCATATACAAACGTAAATAAATAAGGTAGCATAAAGTATCATTGAATGCATCATTGTTCAAAGCATATAGGTTCAAAAGAAAATATTACATTACAAACATAATACATGTAGTTTATTAGAAAGTTGCAATTTCTAAATCGATAAATTATAATTATTCTGTCCCATTGTAAATGTTTAAAGAGTCAATATCTCTGTAATAAATTTTACAAACCAGCTGATGTAGCATTTGTAAAAGGCCATGTATTTATCACTACAGGTAATAATCCAGTCTGCGAAGAACAACTTAACGGATAAAAAACAAAAATTGCAAAAAGTAATACTGAAATGCAGGGCGCAGACATCTTTTCGTCATGTGACAATAATCTTGACAGTCTAAGTACAAAAGTTGTATTTGTAACATGAAAATCTAAAAGCAGTACATTCCATTGAAATTGTTTACATAGAATTCAATGTTTTAGAATCAAACAAGTTTTTAACGATGTTTATATATATGCATATAATCTGTCGATCATGGTATCATGTGACAGCCATGTGACCATTTTGTAAATAAACAAAATGATTAGTGTTATCGTCACCCTTTCTTTGATTATCAACGTCAGTTCACAATATTTACCTATTGTTATCAACACCTGGTTTGTTTCCAACGCTACCAATGCAGGTTTGTAAACTTTAACTGTTAAATATCGCTTTTTTTAAGTGTGGACACATAAACATGTCTATAAAGAATCATTTGATGGCCGCGAATTGTATGTTGCTTGCTTAATGTCCAGTGGCAATTAATTAAAAGTAAAATACCAAAAATACCGAATCCCAAGGGAAATTCAAAAGGAAAGTCCTTTATAAAATGGCAAAATCAAAAGCTCAAACACATCCAACGATATTAATGGTGTTTGCTGTAACCGATGATCTATTGTTCCTAGCACAAACCTATTGTTGAAGGAAGCAAAGTCTTTTATTTGATTAATAGAGTCTCGAAGGGAACATGCGGGAAGCAGAGGCAGTGGTTATTCATTGCTGTTGGTAAGATGATAGAGACAACAGTCTATGGAAGATGCATAGTAGCATTATGATCTGATTTTCAGTCGTTTTCATGGCATGTTGCAAGATAAACTACTGGAAATTCAATTTTACACTACATTGTGAAGAAAAGAATTTATTTCTTATTGGCGCCCATGCAATAAAAGTCCGTTTATATCATAAGACATTGAGTTTTACATGTCAATGTGCTTTGCGTAGATACAAGATACGTAAAACACACGAAATTCTTTGGGTTCGTAATATTTGATTAAACGTAACGTTGTGTCTTATATCAAGAAATTATATAAGTTGTAGTTGATAAGAAAATATGCCGAAATTTCGTAAATTTTTATGAATTTTAAAGATATAAGTTTTCGGCAAAAATGAAGTAGTATATTATATATATCAAAGGATCTGAAAACATTTCACACGGTATTGCATAACCAGTTGAAGCGTTGTGTCATATACCAAGGAAATCCTACTCTACTCTGCAGAGTCTAGCAGTAGCGGAATAGGCCGAGTTTTGTCGATGATGCTAAGGTATGCCAAGCAGTTGCTGATGATGATAGATGCTTGTTTAACGTCCCATGGCAAATTAAATGCATATTCAGTACGAGATAATGGTAATGTGATATGAATATAAACTCATGCTTTGTACTAGACCAACACCTGGGCAGGATTTTTTAAACGTACTGGTTCACAAGATAACAGTCCACACTCCGCAGGAAGACATGCCATCCTACCCGGACACATTATTTTGACTTCGAGCCGACCCGTCTTTGCTCTTAGTCCTAAATGCCGCATGCTTAGCGGACCGAGAAGCAGCAAATACCAATTTTCAAGCCTTTGGTTTGACCCGGCCGGGTTTTGAACACTTGACCTCACGCACTCAGGTCGAGCGCGCTACCTCGAGACCACTGAGGTGGTTTTGCTGATAAAATGCAACAGAAATGTGTTACGGATGGACAGATTCTTAGGCTAACTACTATACTACCGCCTTCATAGAGTTGTGGGGTATATATATATCAACGAGACATCAACCAAACAACACAAAAACCCAGAGGCTTCTAGTTTTCCTTTAAGTTAAGGACCAGTTCATTTAGTATCATGCATGGGATTTTTATACTGTATAAAAGTAAGAACACAAGTGAGAACCAAACACAGGCTTAACGAACCCAACCAAACACCAAAATCCGGGGAATCAACATACTCTGGAAGGGTCAACAGTTCCTATTTATCACTAGTGGCACCCGTCGTGTTGCTTATGACAAGTACTGAAGCTACGTAAAAGAGGTAATTGATGTTATTATAATCCACATTAAAATGCCAGATTTTGAATGGTAAATATTATAGTGACATTTTACTCTTTCCCATGGCTCAGTGGGTGACAATGTTTTTTGATATCACCCTCTCGTGCAGACCAATCAAAAATCGATAATTAGAGACATTGCTAAAGTTCTACGTTATTTCTTAGACTGTCAACATAGAAAAATATATCTTGCTTCCCTTTTGTCACTTTTCTAATGACTGTAACGTTGTTATGTACACGAAGTCATAGTTTATTACATTCTATTCTATGGTGGCCGGATGCGGCCATTTCAGCTTTTCGCGTTTTCTCCTTTCACTTTCACGCAAAATCGAGAAATCGAGAAATCGGGAAATCGGGAAATCGAGAAATAGAGAAATAGAGAAATCGGGAAACGAAATCAAGAAACCGAAAACGAGAAAACGCGAAGGCGAAAACGCGAAAACGGGAAATAGATTTCTTGATTTCATGTTTTCGCTTTCTCGATTTCTCGATTTCCCGATTTCCCGATTTTCCCGATTTCTCGATTTCGCGTTTGCAAAGTGAAAGGAGAAAACGCGAAAACGCGAAAAGGCGAAATGGCCGCATCCGGCCACCATACTATTCAGATTCAAAAGACAATATTGACAGAACATTCAATATAATAAGTTGAATAACACATATAGCTGAGAGGGTGATACATTGTTACCCCGAGAAAAACATTGTCAACCGAGGTGAAGCCTATCAATATATGTTATTTATATTATGTCCACACATTTAAAATACACAGAAGTTCTATAACGGCCAACCCAGTAGTTATGATGACCGTGAGCATTTCTTCATTTGCAGTTAAACATTATTATATAGTTCAGTAGCTATGAGCAGTGTCCTTGTAAGCAGAACTCCTTTGAACATTTAAATTTCTACTTTTAAGCATGGGAGGAATTAACTGTACATGGTGGTTCTGCAGTGGATGCTGTCGTGGCTGGATGCAGCCAGTGTGAAGCCTCCCAATGCAGAGGGACTGTTGGATTCGGAGGTGACCCTGATGAAAATGGTGAAACCACCCTTGACGCCATGATAATGGACGGGTATTTTGATTCTTTACCTCGTATTTATTTTTGTTTTATTCTCTATTTTATTAATTTATATAATTAAGTATACCCCACAATATCTGTAGAAAAGCAGACATACATTTAAGTTTTGTTAAGAAACTTCAGTCACTAACATTTTTACCTCTCCTATCAAGTATTTGTATTTGACCTTTTCGTGATAGTATTCAGACATTATTAGAAATTACAAAGGATAAAAAATTGCTGTATTGTCCTCGGAAGATTTAAAGGAACACTACAATCTATTTTTACAGGAAAACGTTCCATTCTGCCACCGATGTACGTTTATGGCGAACTTGTATGTTATCACGAAAACAAAGTGTTAATATGCAGACATGCTGAGAAGTCACAATGGATGACAAAGTGCGGCATTTTCCTGAATTTTTTAAAAAGAACTCTATTGGGTCTTTTACGGGAAACGTTGCATTGTACCATCTGTAGGAGTTTATGAACAAGCATTCATATTATCACAAAATGTTAAGAATGAAAAGGTTAAGGATGAAGACAAAAGAAACCTCTACTAATTGAAAAAGATATGAAACTCTAATCTCACATCGTAGTTTTTTTTTGTATAACAAGGAGTCTGTTGATGACATTCCTTTAAGGTTACGGTGCGAATTTGTCCGCAAAGTGAAATTTTGTGGAGAGAATTTTCTCTACCATTTTTTAACGTTTTTTTTTTATTGAAGTAGGTCTCTTTTAAAATGATATCGAATAAGTCTCTTGCAGAATGTGCAATGTAACTACAATCGAAGAAATTAACTATATATATATATATAGCTGAGAGGGTGATAGAACAGATTGTTACCCCGAGAAAAAACATTGTCAACCGAGGCAAAGCCTATGTTATTTATATAATGTCATAGATATTTCAGTATGGAAGAATATGAATTGCAAATGTTTTTCTTATAATAAAACAGTCGAACTGATGAAATTGTACAGAAATTATCGATATATTTTCACCCCTAAGTAAAACAATGGATGTAGGAGCCGTAGCTGCTTTGAGAATGGTGAAACCAGCAATTGCTGTTGCTCGAGCTGTTATGGATTATACCGAACACACCTTGTTAGTGGGAGACCAAGGTAAATAAAAACGTTAATTAATACAGAGATTACCTAAACCATATAATATACAGACTCTGTTAAACACTTTGAAATGCTCTTCTAATAATTCGACAAGAAACACACACAGAAAGATCTAACATAGGCCAACTGCGAGTTCTGTTAGCTTTTCAAAATTGAGGCAGCTGGGAGCATGCAATTTTGTCGATCTTATCCATCTATACAGTTTGTATGCTGATCTGTAGATGTTTTCTATATCCCCGTTTGATGATCTATGTGTTCGTCCATGCGTTCATTTGTCTGTCCATTAACCCTTCAATACTTGTATCCGCAAGTTCTCATAATTAAGTCACTGCAGGCAGTGAGTCTATCATAGAATCTTAATTACTTGTATCAATTGTGGGCTGCTTATTTTATTCTTGAACAAACAGTTTCTGAGGTTTCGGGCATAAACGACATGGGCTTTGTTATAGCTACAAATGGGAGTTGGTATATAAGTACTGTCAGCAACCTCTCCTAGGATTCTTATTTTTTAATGAGAAATTCACGGAATCTATTTCCATTAAGTTATAGTACAACTTCTATTTTTTTATTCGAATGATTTCGTGGTTTGGTTCGTGGAATTCATAAATTAAATGTTCCCAATATTAGAGCACAAAAAAGTCTATGAAATAGGATACATATCCTGTATTGGTATCTCACCAACACAACTGACTGGATATCTGTAAATAAAAATCGCAGAGTTTTCAGTGCCTAATGGCAGTGCGCACCGTATATATGTAACAAAACGATTACTACGATTGGTATTTCCTTCTGCAAAACAGTTGGATATCTGTAAATAAAAATCGCACAGTTTTCAGTGCCTAATGGCAGTGCGCACCATATATATGTATAAAAAAGATTACTACCATTGGTATTTCCCTCGACAAAACAGTTAAAGGAGTATGCATGTATGATGTCTAATCAGTTGTTTTGGTTACCTGTACCATTTGCTGGAGTAACGTTAGAAATAGTCATAGCTAGTTAAGTGATGACATTTGTATTTGTTGGATTTCGATTTTAGATCAATGTAAGAGATGCTAATGATGTTGGATGGCTGCTATATGTCTAGTGGCAAATTAAATTCACATTCAGAACGAGAACATGTTAATGTGATATGAACATGATGTTGATGTTCAGTAGTTGTCGTTTGTTGATGTGGTTTATAAGTGTTTCTCGTTTCTCGTTTTTTATATAGATTAGACCGTTGGTTTTCCTGTTTGAATGGTTTTTTACTAGTCATTTTTGGGGCCCTTTATAGCTTGCTGCTCGATGTGAGCCAAGGCTCCGTGTTGAAGGCCGTACTTTGACCTATAATGGTTTACTTTTACAAATCGTGACTTGGATAGAGTTGTCTCGTTGGCACTCATACCACATCTTCTTATGTCTATGAACCCTGATTTGTACAAGACCGAACCACCGGATTTTTAACGTGCTAGTTGGGTAACAGACCACAGGAACACATGTTTTCCTACTTGGTCACATTATGCTGACTCCGGATCGACTAGTCTTTGCTCTTAATCCTTAATGTGTTGAGCTTAGCGGAGAAGCTGCAGATATCAATTTTCAAGTATTTCGTCCTCCCGAACTCGAGGCGAGCACGCTACCACGAGACCATCGAGTTTGTTCAATTTTAAAGAATATATACAGTAGTATGTAAACTATCTTTTTCATAACGTTTTTTTTATTTATGAACATTTTCTTTAACTGCAGATGTGTGGGGTATCTGATAATCCTAGGATTTATATATCGTTTTGTTTTATTTGTTTTAGCCTCATTGTTTGCCAAGGACATGGGATTTACTGTAGAAACGCTGACAACAAACAAATCGTACATCGACTGGAAGAACTGGATTGATAATAAATGTCAGCCAAATTTTAGACAAGTTGGTATAATCCCACTTCGGATTGTTGCACTTATGTATAAAATTAGCAATACGCTGATCTATACAGTATTAGTACACATTATAGGCTTTCACATTTTTGTATAAACCAAGAATTGTCTCTCAATTTGTTTTACACTGGATCTTATTCCAAAGTACTTTTTCGTTGATTTTAAATATATTCGAAACTTCCACCTTTTAAAACATCCTAAACAATAAGTATTGTTGAGAAAATATTAACTGTTTGAAGTGCTTAGAGTAATTATACATAAAAGACTAAGCAATGCGCAATGATTGTTTGCCGTTTTGATAGGCTATAAATTGTAGCATTCAAATAATTTTGTCACCTTTTAAATCCTTTGCAGTCCTGCAATGAAATATGCTGGGAAATTGCAACTCCTTGAACATGCATTCAGTTCATTTTTAAACTTCAAACACGACTATGAATGGAAATGTTCCGCTAGTTGAATGAAGACTGCGTTCAAAAATGGATTAAAAAAAATCTTAATAACTCAGTAACTTCAACGATTTCTAAAACTTCAAAAACAATTTATTATATATTTTGTACATAAAGTTTTTTCATTACTGTAGCAATACAATTTCGTTATATCTTATCAGTAAATATCTAGGCAATAAAGTTATGTTTATGCCCTTTATGCGTTCAAAATTTTGTAATTTAACTGCTTTGATTTTACTTAAATACAGGAATCAACGAAGTGGAGTCAGTTGACATAATTCTATACATTCATAGAATCGTTCCTAAATTTAAATTGAACGTATCTCTGGAAGGACATGTATAAATTTCATCCATATGCAGTTGCAGCTAATTAACGATTTTTAATTCCGAATTATTTGGAGTCTTTATCTAATTGACGATGTTTTGTTTTAGAATGTTATTCCAAACCCCAAAACTAGTTGTGGTCCATATAAACCAAAGAAAAGAATAGAACAGCACCTTAGCAGCCGAATGAATTTTGGCATTTCACCTAACAACCACGACACTATTGGAATGATCGCTATTGATAAGAATGGTAATATAAGTGCTGGTACATCCACTAATGGATTGTCCCATAAAGTTCCCGGGTAAGATTTGTGACGCCAATTTTCTTAAACGCCCTCTGAATAATGACAGATGTTTTATTTATCAATTTTAGAAAGAAAAAAACACAAAATGCCTATAAGGGAAGATGGTTTACAAATAATATAAGTATATTGCATTACTTACACGTGGAAGCTTATCAAGGAGTTAATTTTGAATTACAGTTTTATAAGAAAAAGGTCCATGGTCATAAACTGGCTATATTAATGATATAGATGTAATAACCAGTACAAAAGACACACAAAAATATAAATGTTGTCTGCCATAAAACAAAACATTGGCCTTGCTGTTTTAAATTGACAAAAATGCTTGCAAAATCATATATTGAATCATTATTTATTGGTTAGGCGTGTTGGTGATTCTCCTTTGATGGGAGCAGGGTCATATGCTATGAATGGAGCAGGTGGAGCAGCTTGTACAGGGGATGGGGATATCATGATGAGATTTCTACCATCGTAAGTAGTCCTCTACATATATATATATATATATATATATATACCAAACTAAATTCATCTTGAAACATTCATGTTCCCCAATTCTCAATTTTATGATGCATGGTCAATAGAAAAAAAAAACAGTTAAAAAATTTCGTGCGTCCGAACCGCTTTTTTTTAATTTTCTGTCATCAGGAATGCTCAGATATATTTAAAGCAAGGGATCTATAAAAACGTAGTAATGGGACAAACAACAATATTCATCTATACGATTATCTTGCTTGAGAGAGTTCGTGTTGCTTAGTCTTTAGTTTTCTATGTTGTGTCATCTGTACTATTATTTGTCTGTTTGTCTTTTAATTTTTTGCCATGGCGTTGTCAGTTTGTTTTCGATCTATGAGTTTGACTGTCCCTCTGGTATCTTTCGTCCCTCTTTTGGAACGTTATTATCTTACAAAATTCGTAAAAAGAGTTATAAAGTATATTTAATTGATATAAATATAAACAATTTAATATTGTACAATTTTTATTGTTTTCATTGAAGATTGGAAAATTACCTACTGCTGGTTAAATGACAAAACGGGAAAAGTTGTTATGGTTCACAGTGGGCAGTTTTCTTATATTACAGATTCCAAGCTGTAATGATGATGAAATCAGGAATGGAACCATCTCTGGCACTAAAAGCAGCCATGGCACCCATAATTCAATATTATCCATCTTTCTTTGGTGCCATGATCGCAGTCAGTAGCAACGGAACGTTTGGTATGAAATTTACTATAAAAAGATACAAAATATAATTGCTAGTCACAATAAAATATATTTTTTTAAATTTATTTTGAATGAAGCATAAAAAATATTAACAAAATACCGAACTCAAAAAAGGGAAGTCCATAAAAACTGACAAAATCAAACGTTAGATACTGTCATTCAACCATTACATCTCCAAAGTATTTAAAACCCAAATAAATTGTATTTAGTTCACCAAGGACTAGTAGAAAAGCATTTGAGATAATATGGTATTAGACTGAGAAGTATGTTTTCTAACAGTAGATTTGCCATAATCATGGGGCTTTTGGAAAGAGAAATTAATGTACATTTTAAGGTACATTAATCATATGTAGGTAAAAGAATTAACTTTTGTATTAAATTTCAGCTGCTGTCTGTCACGGGTATAAGACGTTTCCATTTTGTGTTGCAAGTCCATCATTCCACGAGGTGAAAGTACTAAAAGTACAGTGCACATGACAATTACACATGTATTACGTTTTACTATTTTCTATTATATTTCAATTGAATGTCAGATCAGAGAATGCCATTATTCTACTTATATAGCATATACGTTTACTAATGCTTCCATAGCTTGTAGAGGTAAATATGTGCATACTCATTCAAATGGCTATATATGTAAACATTTCAGCATTCAATGTTGCTTGTATATCGTAGATTATCATCCGTGTTGATGGTTATAAACAAATGGTCTACAAGACCCAATTCAACTGTTGGTATAAATTCCCCCGTATATTTCTCAAATGTCTTTATGCTAAAAGGAATGAATGTTATGTAAATGATGTTATTATAGTTTTAAATTGTGTAGATATGTGAATATTGCAGAATTTTTAGTTGTGTAGATATGTGAATGTCTGCTGAGTTTTGAGTTGTGTAGACATGTGAATGTCTGCTGAGAATTAAATTGTGTAGATATATGAATGTCTCCTGAGTTTTGAGTTGTGTAGATATGTGAATGTCTGCTGAGTTTTGAGTTGTGTAGATATGTGAATGTCTGCTGAGTTTTGAGTTGTGTAGATATGTGAATGTCTGCTGAGTTTTGAGTTGTGTAGATATGTGAATGTCTGCTGAGTTTTGAGTTGTGTAGATATGTAAATGTCTGCTGAGTTTTGAGTTGTGTAGATATGTGAATGTCTGCTGAGTTTTTGAGTTGTGTAGATATGTGAATGTCTGCTGAGATTTTGAGTTGTGAAGATTGTAAATGTTTGCAGAATTTTGAGTTGGGAAGATTTATGAATGTTTGCAGAATTCGAGCTGTGAAGATATGTGAATAGATTACAGAATTTTGATTTGTGCAGATATGTGCACATGAATCTTGCAGAATTTTGAGATCTATAGACATGTGAATGTTTGAAGAATATTGAGGTCTGTTGATATGTGAATGAACTGCAAAACTGGAGTTTTGTAGACATGTGAATGTTTGAAGAATATTGAGGTCTGTTGATATGTGAATGTTTGTAGATTTTTAAAGGGTTTAGATATGGGAATATTTGGATAACATGAATATGTCAATGTTCGTAGAATTTTGAAATGCATATTGAGGTAAATGTTTGTGGAACTTTATTTGACCGTTTATGATGAACATGTATTACTAGATACGTACTACAGTGAAGACGTATGATGACTGTCAGTGTAAATCATCAGTGAATTAATTCTTGTATTTTGTTAGTACTAAATTGAATAAAATTTCTTCAAGTTTTTTAGTATTTTAATATATACAGATATGAAAAGTACTACAAAAAGATATGATACGACCAACATTTTGGTCATTTAGAACCCTCATTTTCGGTAGTAATAACTATTTGACAGACAAACTGCAAAGACAAATGTCATACGAGATTGTTTGCTACAGCCCTTTTTTTGAAATATGTTGATATGATTCGAATATACTTTTTTTGTGAAGTTGAACGAAAATTGATTTTCACCAATTGTCATCTTTTTACATATCTGTTTCTAAAATTCACTATAGAAATTTGAACTCTGTCCTAGATCCCTCTAGACTACTATCTTCCATGTCACATTACCATAGGTTTTATCAGTTTCATGGTTTTAACCTGTACCACTGGATTTGACTTTGGAATCATATATTAGAGGCAACAGTAGTTTACATATGTTTAAATCCTATGAATCCATTTAAAACTGACAAAATCAGAAAATTAAATCTGAGGGAATCGCATGAACCCCAAACGAAGCAAAAACTAGTTCATCGACAGTGTAAACATGTATCTCCTACTATGTATGCATTATTATGACGAGTGATGCATGCATAAGAGGAAATACTTATCATGTCGACATACATGGTCTCACGTCGTCCTCAGAATTTACAATAAGCTTATGTGATTTGTTAAATACAAGGGTATTATACTGACATTTGTTAATACGTATGTATAGGTATAAACAGACAAACATGGGAGTAAACAAATCAATCGAAATCACACAAACTTCAACGGACCCTAATTACAGGAAATCTTACTTTTGAGACTTTTAATTATTTTTATAGAGCTGTTGTATTTGGTATGTTTAGTGGTAATATGCGTTTTCAGTTCGGGTTTGCCTGTTTATCATTACATATATGAATTCACGTTAAAAGAACGTGTTTTAAGAATAAAGCCAGTTAGGGAATAATTGCTGGGCTATTATCAAAAACTTACACCTGTAACTGTACAAAATAAATAAATTATACAAACGCCTAAAACGTGTACAAAAACAACACCAATATTAAAGAAAAAGGCAACATTAAATGTAAGTATCTATAAATATTTCGGATAACAGATATACTTCATCAGTATGATTATGATGTAAAATGAATCATAGACCGTAAATTGATTTGGCTATTGTTTTTATGTACTTTTTGGTCATATAGCTCTTCAACTGTTACGGTCCTTATACATCCTCGGCTTTCAAACATTTGGCTTTGAGCGTTCCTGATAAAGATTTATCCAGAGAAGCGCTTCGGACGCATGAAATTAATAACGTGTTCTCATTTATAACAATCTATTCTGATTTGACTATAACAGTCTTTAAATTTATACAATTAAAACCGAACAACGCTTGTACAAATTTTAGAAATGTACCAGTTCATATCGCACGTAACTGTTTTTGTTAGAAGCATATCTATGCAGCCTATGTTGTAAATATTTGATACTTGTGCTTCAAACTACTTAAGTTTACGTCCAACCTGCATTTTATAGACTGAATTTTTACACAAGTTCTACTTAAATTTGGATAGATAAAATCAGTATTAACAGGCCTACATTGCATAAATTGTCTTAACAAAACACTTACTGGCTTGAACATATAACACTTACTTATGAATAACACGTAATTAAGCAGGACCATATTTATTTAATCCATAGCGACAAATAATCCAATTCATAATAGCATTCCAGGAATACAATAGTATGACCAACAACATAATATTATATGCAATTAATCACTTCTACCCAAATAATTCTACTTTGGCGCATTGATCAATATTTATCCAAATGTCCGGCTCGCATACCTCACTTAAGACTGAGAAATATACATGTGATGTTGCTTGACCTTTCCACTTTTGTATCAATATTGCCAACTTTCTTACAAAATACAACCTATCTGATGCATTTTTGTCGAGCCTGCAACTTTTGTCGCAAAAGCGAAACATAGCGATCCTACATTTCGTCGTCGTCATCGTCGGCGGTGGCGGCGGCGGCGTCCACAAATATTCACTCTATGGTTAAAGTTTTTGAAATTTTAATAACTTTCTTAAACTATCCTGGATTTCTACCAAACTTGGACATAAGCTTGTTTATGATCCTAAGATAGTATCCAGAAGTAAATTTTGTAAATAAAAAATCCTGTTTTTCCGTATTTTACTTATAAATGGACTTAGTTTTTCTGCCAGTTAACATTACATTCACTCTGTGGTTAAAGTTTTTAAAATTTTAATAACTTTCTTAAAATATCCTGGATTTGTACCAAACTTGGACAGAAGCTTGTTTATGATCATAAGATAGTATCCAGAAGTAAATTTTGTAAAAATAAAATCCTATTTATCTCTATTTTACTTATAAATGGACTTAGTTTTTCTGCCAGTTAACATTACATTCACTCTATGGTTAAAGTTTTTAAAATTTTAATAACTTTCTTAAACTATCCAGGATTTGTACCAAACTTGGACAGAAGCTTGTTTATGATCAAAAGCTAGTATCTAGAAGGAAATTTTGTAAAAATGTATTTCCTGTTTTTCCGTATATAACTTATAAATGCACTTAGTTTTTCTTCCAGTTAACATTACATTCACTCTGTGGTTAAAGTTTTTAAAATTTTAATAACTTTCTTAAACTATCCTGGATTTGTACCAAACTTGGACAGAAGCTTGTTTATGATCAAAAGCTAGTATCTAGAAGGAAATTTTGTAAAAATTTATTTCCTGTTTTTCCGTATATAACTTATAAATGGACTTAGTTTTTCTTCCAGTTAACATTACATACAGTCTGTAGTTAAAAGTTCTTAAAACATTTATTAGATTCATAAACCATTCTGGATTTTTACAAAACCTGGACAGAAGCTTCTTACAATCAAAATATAGTATCTATAGGCAAATTTTTAATATTTTTTCCCCGTTTTTGTTGAGCCTGTGACTAGCAGCAAAAGTAGGCGAGACACTGGGTTCCGCGGAACCCTTACGAATTTTGTTTACAATACCTTTAAGTATGCAAAGATTAATAGGTACATGACTATAAATATCACTTAGTATATCCAGAAAAAAGTTTCGGACGAACCTTCTGTATAAAGTGTTATTTTCATTTGAATATTTGCACTCATCTTATCTTGACATATAAGAATTGTAAAACATAGAATTACAAAATATCACAACAATACTAATTTTATCAAACTTGAAACAGAAGAAGTAATGTTCAACGTTTACAAGACGTATACATATCTAAAAGCCTCTTTTCCCAAATCATTACATTTTGGGTTCAACTTCTATTACAAGCTGATTAGTTTGCTTAAAATGACGACTTTGCATTATATAAGAATCATACTAGGCCAAGTACAATTTCTCATGGACGATTAGAATATAATTACCCATAATAAATACTGGGTTATCTTTTACTAATAGACTACACATTGTGTCGTTCAATCGACAAAAAACACTGTAATTCAAAAGCCCTATCTAGTATCAATTCAATATAAAAAGAAGTAATTCTATCATGAGTATTTTTACCGTATAATAAAGATTGGGAAAGACACAACGAAACGTTAATTCAAATTTTTTATTGTTTTATTCAAGGTAACAGTTATGCTGAATATAAGGGCGAACTTATAAAAGATATCTTTTATCTTCAAAATAATGTGTTCTGTATTCAATACTATTTATTCTCAAAAATATATAATTCACACTGGAAAATTATTGTAAAACTAAATTGTAGCCGGACATTTGTGCTTCAATACTTATCAAGACATATCAATTCAAAATACAAGAAAAATTATCCCAGTTGTACGGGGTTTGTCTTGTTTTGTCAGTTGTATAATAGTGTTTAACTATACAACCATATTAAAGTTGAACAATTGTAGTTGGCACGGTAGAAGCAAATTTTGGAGAAAGAACACAGCAAGTTATTTTTTTTCTTTTTAATCTAATCGATCGGTGTTATTGCATTCAGCGTTTTTTGTATAAACCTTATCAACTGATCTTGAGGCGTAAAGTGTTGTTTTGTTTTCATGGATTGGGAATACAAATTCCATCTAACTATAGCAAATGCATAGTGGTAAAATTACCTAAAAAAACGATCAATTTTGGCCGTTTATTTGAATGATGTAAACGAAATATCTTATCATATAAGGTAATCGAAGGACTTTCGATTTTGACCGTTTATCTGAATGTTGTAAACGAAATATCTTATCGTATAAGGTAATCGAAGGCACGTTATCAAGATAATGGTACCTATTCTATTGCTGTCAATTCTGGTGTATGTTTGTGGAGATAAAACACCTATCGTGGTCACAACATGGTCGTACCCGAATGCCACTAGAGCAGGTTAGTTTTTACTACACGTACAATGGCTTAGGATTGTAAGTTTCAAACATGCGAAACAAACAAATGACGATGCCAGCTAACTTTACACGACTTAATCCCCACTACCACTACAGTAAATATAAATTAATGGTAATTAATGTTCCTGTCTTTGGAGACTTTTTATAATATATTTCTAGGCAAAACATATGGAAAATTTACATTGCTTTACATCTATTTTCATTTTATTGGAGCATATCGCATATTAAGTTCAATACCATAAGAGTATAAGACTTAAAACAATTACTATTGCTGGTATGTAACATAATGTATGACTTATCAGTAACCGACTTATTTGTACTGGCTCGGTATTTATACATCCCTCCATTGTGTAATTGTGCTATGGTCATCTTTTTTATTCTTGTCTTTCATTTTTGCTTATGTGCTTTGTCTGTAGTGTCTATATGCCATTTTGTTTTTCTTTGTTGACATAGTTGTTTGTTTTTATAGTGATTAAGATAATAACACAATGTTTACTTCTGTACTCCAATTTTTGACATTTTTACCTATAATGTCTGTTTGTTTTGCTCACACATTGTTGTCAATATAATGGAATTCTATGCGACTGTCATACAAGTGAGAGGTTTAGCTAGCTATAAAACCAGGTTTTATCCACCATTTTCTACATAAGAAAATGCCTGTACCAAGTCAGGAATATGACAGTTGTTTTCCATTCGTTTGATGTGTTTGAGCTTTTGATTTTGCCATTGGATAAAGGACTTTCCGTTTTGAGTTTTCCTTGGGGTTCGGTATTTTTGTTATTTTACTTTTTACATACTATCCAACATTTATCTATATCCAATATAAAATCATACATTTGCAGTGTTGTCTGCATTTTTACATTTTAGCATGGATAGAACTAATGCAAAATCACGGCACTGCTGTAGATGCAGTTGTAACCGGATGCAGCGCATGTGAGACTTCACAGTGTCGTGGAGCGGTTGGCTTTGGTTCAAAACCAGATGAAGCTGGAAATACTACGTTGGACGCCATGATTATGGATGGGTAGGTAAAATCCATTTCTGTATGTTGTCGTTTTATATCGTTTTTATAATGAAATATACATAATCAGGCCGTTAGTTTTCTCGATTTCTGGTTTGCATTGTTTGAATTTGTTATAGCTTACTATGCAGTGTGGTTTTACTCATTGTTGAAGGCCGTGCGATGACCTATAGTTGTTAACTTCTACGTCATTTGGTCTGTGGTGGAGAGTTGTCTCATTGGCAATCATACCACATCTTCCTATTTTTATATAAGGTTACTTTAAAATATTGTTTTCTACTTTTATGAAGGAAAACAATGGATGTTGGTGCTGTAGGATGTTTGACTAATACCAAGTCTGCCATTGCTGTTGCAAAAGCTGTTATGAAATATACCAAACATACATTATTAGTAGGAGAAAGAGGTAAGTATTTTGAGTTTGAACAAGTTCAAGTTTTACAAATGTACTATCATACTATCAGGAACGACTTAAGTACGTTTCTTGACAAAAATCATATAGAAATATTGAATAATAGTAAGATTCAAGATCAATCTTGACCATTACTACTGACAAATATAAATTCACAATCTAACAAGTTTAATGGTGTAAACAAACATTGTGAATTTTCAGATCATTACTATGATATATTAGATATGCCTGGTGCACACGAAATGTGAACGTTCATAAACTGTAATAGAACTCAACATAATTGTCAAATAGTCTGTTTCTATGTATGTTGGCGTTTGTTTTTGTAGCAGTTCAGTGTTTCTGTTGTTCCGTTGTTTTCCTCTTATAGTTTATATGTTTCCCTCGGTTTTGGTTTGTGACCCGGATTTGTTTTCGCTTAATCGATTTATGACTATTGAACAGCGGTATACTACTGTTACCTTTATTTGATATAAAATTTAGCACAAAAATAAAGTGTCACAATACTCTCCTCATAAAATAAAAAAATCTTCGATGACGAAGGGATGTATTTGTAAAATACTCGTAGTTGAAATTTAGATAAGAGATAGCATTGTTTTTATTTTACCTGTCTTTTCCACTTCTTTCCTACATTGTATTCTATCTTTGTTGTCTTTGACTAACTTCGTTCTAGTATTGTTTTCTATGGTTCTATGTTATGAATTCCTTACAGTTTGATTGGTATGCACTATTCTGTTTATTACATTATATGATTTATAAGCATACTGTAGTGAATGAATATATTATTCGATATTGAATTATTCCAGCTTCCTTGTTTGCTGCTGAAATGGGATTAGGTTGGGATAACAGTTTGTCGTCAACAAAGTCAGAATCTCAGTATAGTGAATGGAAACAAAAGAACTGTCAACCCAATTTTTGGGAGGTATGAATGTATAGGATAATAGTAAACAAATTTAAAAAAAAATAATACATATAAGAAATGTACTGTTACGATTTATTACTATTGATAAATACTAGAGAATTAATCATTCCGATATATATGTCCGTTTATGTCAACCCTTAATGTAAAGAAATCACCTTGGTATCTTTTGAAAATCGGTTCATAACAAATATTTACATTGAAAGTTATTCAAGTTTTAAAATGTATTTTTCAGATTTATTATGACATCATAAAATCAACCTCTGTACATAGATGACATATTTTCAAGATAGATGTTCATGTATACGAGTCAATATAATTAACCAAGTGCTAGTAACCAATCACTCATTGGATAACATTTCACAATAAGCAATTTGATTGTTTAAAAAAAATCGTCTTCCTTTTTTTCTTTGATTTTATGACTTTTTAAATTGCGTTGAACATCGTTGTTTTTTTTAAATTTGTAAGAGTGTTTGTGTAATGGAATTTTTAATTCTTGAGTATTCCGAAATGCAGTTTTAAATTTTTAAATTGAAAGGAACAAAGTTTTCTTTTACTAGTCTTTAAAACAAATCGTTATACAATACAATGTTCCCGTATTTCCATTGCGTTATAACATTGATAGATGGCTTAGTCTCAGTGGTAGTTATTTTTCTTAATCTAATGTAATTTTGTTTTATTATTGTTATGTTTCCAGATTATTATCGGTCATTATGTGTACGTTCTTCTTGTTATGCTCCTTTCTGTCTTATGTGATGGACAATGATTGTTTTTGGGATATGTAAGCTCACTGTTGTTATAATACAATTTCTTGCTGATTATCAGATAAGTTTCAATTGTTTGAAATCTCAGTCTTCTTTTACAAAATCGATTTATATTTTTGGTAATGTCTTTAATAAGACCGTTAAACTTAACTTGTTGTAAACCTTTTCAGAATGTCTCTCCAGACCCTTCCTCTGGCTGTGGTCCCTATATCCCAGCCAATATTACTACTTCATCACTAATGGATAGCATTGATAGTGATAACCACGATACCATTGCAATGCTAGCTATTGATAAAAAAGGCGATATCAGTTCTGGAACATCTACAAATGGACTTAACCACAAAATTCCTGGGTATGGTATCTTAAATCTTATTCCCTTATAATACATATAAAAGCATAGGTAAATTTTGCTGCAAAAGATTTTTATCCTAGTATCTATGATAAGTTTATATACATAAACAAAAATTAAAAATTAGCGCACGTGCATAATCAAAATAAAGTAAATGTGGAAAAATAGAGAGGATATTATAGGTGATACCAAACACTGTCGGTTTAAGAAAAACAGACAACACCATGACAAAAACATAAATATACACAAAAAGACAAAACAACAGTCTGTAAAGCACTGCACGGAACACTTAAGATTTAACAACCTGAACCAAAACAAATAAACGGAGTGGCCTCGAGGACTATGGAAGTATCAGCAGTTTCTACTCCACTCGTGACACTTGTCGTTTTTACGTGAAAAACACTTGGCGAATTATTTAACGGAAAACTACACAGCAGTTGGTCTAAGTGGTACTTGTGAAGCAGGTTCTTTCCCGTCCAGAACACAAAAGATAACCCCCGTGTTTGGTGGTTCCAAGATGCTGAATATTTACCTTTCAGTAGTTTATGGCATGGTGTTTGCATTTGCTTTCTGATGACCATATTGTTGTGTGATCTTCCTGGACTTATCATTTGGATTGTCCACACCGATTTATCTCCGTTTTTATTTTAAAACTACTTAATAGAGAAAAGTACAACAGACAACAGTTTTTGATATAGTCTGTCAGCTGTTTCTGTTGAAATTTTATGTTTGGCAATTTAGGAAATAATTCCTACCTGATACTAAATCGACGTATTAATTTGTACATCTTCTGCGCGATATCCGTATATCATCTATATGAGACGCTCAGTTGCACTGGAATAAAAGTTCAATGCAAAATCAATAACGAAGTTGAAGAGCATTAAAGTCAGTGAAATTACTGACATGCATGCCAAACCTGGCTTTGGCCTTCTAAACATTCAGGTAGAAAAAACCTTCGCCTTTCAAAAGATTTGATTAACAATTGATTAAAGCAGGACATAACGGGACATAAAGTGTTTCAACCGTTCGCCCAAAGGTTACTTCCGGGTCACAAATAGTTTGTTATGCAAGATATGAACTGTCCAAAATACAGATGCAGTGTAACTTGAGGCCTCTTTAATTTTCATGTTTGGTTTTGAGAAACCTTTTTAAAACGTTTCAAATCAAAAGTATTTTTATATAGACGAGTAGGTGATTCTCCTATAGTTGGAGCAGGTTCATATGCTATGAATGGTGTTGGTGCTGCTGCTTCTACTGGTAATGGAGATATCATGATGCGATTTTTACCAGCGTAAGTATCTTAAGTAAACACTATTTTTATATGTGATGCAGTGAAATTGAACTCTTTATCTTGCTTTGTTAACTCAGTTCCCTATTGCTCATATAATAAACGAAACTGTTCTTCTTAAATATTTTTGGAATAAATATTTACCATATTGAATTCATACATGCTTTGACATAATGCATTTTTTTCATTAATCACACGTTCCTTAAATTTGGAATAAAACCACTACACTAATTCATAGCCCCATTGCTTTCTATGTTAAATTCTGCAATTTCAAGCATTGATGGCTACTTTTTCTTAAGTTAGAAAAAAAAGGTGGCAGTCATTTCATGTAAAAACTATACCTTATCATGATTTGTGCTGAAAAATTCATCATACCGTTAGTTGCATATTATACGGCACTGGTTCCCGGAAGTTTGGTAGAACAAAAACAGGTACTTCTGATCTGAAGAACAGTGAAAATGTGCCCTTCTTATATAATTTCATAATTTGATTTTATTATTTAAAAAAAAACTTTCAATAAAGGTTTTACGGTGATTCCAAGTCCTTAAGCTTTCATTTGAAACTAACATTAACCAAATATTTTACTTATTGACAAAATTACACTCTCACTAAATAATATAAAATTTGGTGACTATGTTGAACGAATCTATGCAATCGAACTAGAGATAAAGGATACTACAGATACAGTTAAGTCTGCCTCATATTTTGACTTACATCTAGAAATTGACAATGAGGGTCGGTTGAAAACAAAATTTTACGACAAAAGAGATGATTTCAGCTTCCCAATTGTGAACTTTCCATTTCTATGTAGCAACATTCCAGCAGCGCCTGCATACGGAGTATATATCTCCAAATTGATACGATATTCCCGGGCTTGTATTTCCTATCATGATTTCCTTGATAGAGAATTGCTGCTCACAAGGAAGCTATTAAACCAAGAGTTCCGAATGTTGAAGTTGAAATCTTCCCTTCGTAAATTTTACGGACGCCATCACGATTTGGTTGACCGTTATGGAATAACTGTTTCACAGATGAAATCGGATATGTTCCTTATGTCGTAACTACAATACCCTTCACTTTTCACGAATGTGACCTACCGAATTAGACTATTTACCGGATTTGTAATACCATAAGCAACACGACGGGTGCCACATGTGGAGCAGGATCTGCTTACCCTTCCAGAGCACCTGAGATCACCCCCAGTTTTTGGTGGGGTTCGTGTTGCTTAGTCTTTAGTTTTCTATGTTGTGTCATCTGTACTATTATTTGTCTGTTTGTCTTTTTATATTTGGCCATGGCGTTGTCAGTTTGTTTTCGATCTATGAGTTTGACTGTCCCTCTGGTATCTTTCGTCCCTCTTTTACAGCTATGCGTAGGAACTATTTTGTTTAAAATATGTACTACTTTCTTGGATGTTCTTTTTGACCCCGCATGAATTAGTGGTTCTATACCCTTACAGGTTTCATGCCGTTATGATGATGCAAGTAGGCATGGATCCATTAAATGCACTTACAACAGCAATGAGACCAATAACTCAATTTTATCCAATGTTTCGTGGTGCAATGATTGCTGTTAACCAGAATGGAGATTATGGTTCGTAAAGCTACGTTTCATTCTAATTTTTCCACAGCAGTTTTTTTTTTGTTAAAGATTTAACAACAATGATAAAAAAAAACCGAATAATTCTGTTAAATCAGCATAACGAAGAAAAGAAGTAATAATTATTGATATGAATAACTTACTACCTGAAGTTTACATAGTTTTTCAAGGTTTCCCAGCCAAATGAAGGTGTATTTAAACATAAATGGTACCATTGATATGAAGAAAAGGCGAAGTAGGATAAATGCCAATGGGAGAGCAATCACAACAACACAAACTAAAACTACCAAAAGATATTTATTCTATACGTATTTCTTCAAAATTGCACTAAACGTCCATGAGGAGTCTTGCTTCCATAACATTAGATGCCTTTCGTATCTTCAAATATTGTCTTTTATTTTAAAATTTCTCATTTGGAGAATAGTTCAAAAGGATACGTTCTTCCTGTAGCCAGTGCTTCGATACTTGTACGATTTATTGAAAACACAGTACTGTGAAAAAATATACAAAATATATAATAACACTAAAACTAAGGTTGGAATTTCCATGGAAAAATAGACCTAAATATGAAAATAAGGAGATGTGCTATGATTACCATTGAGACAAATATCCACCCAAGTTCAAATGAAGTGGAAGTAAGCAATTATAGGAAACCGTGCGGCCTTCAAAAATTCAGAAAACTAACGGCCTGATTTATAACAAAATTATTTACGAAAAACAAATATGACAGAAAAGAACCAACCACAATCACTGAACTACAGGCTCCTGACTTGGGACAGGCACATAAAAAATGTGGCGTGAGCGCTCAACCCTCCTCCTAACCTGGGACAGGGGTGTAACAGCATAACATAAAAACAAACCATAAAATTCAGTTGAAAAAGGGTCAACTCATCAAATCGATACAATGCAGAAAAAACGATTTTTTATGTCCTGTTGCACATTTTTACTTTGGTGCGCTTAAATGTCTTGATTTTAACCTTCTCAAAATTTCTTGAGTATCAGCTAAACAGTGGTTTATATCTTATTTATTTTCTGTCATAGAATTTCTTTAATCTAACTACCATTTGATATTATTTCAGCGGCAGTCTGTCATGGTATGGAATCCTTTGACTTTTGTGTGGCCAATCCTGCCAACCTGAATGTACAAGTGTTGACCGCAAAATGTGTATGACTGCCATGACTAAAAAGACTAACTGATATTTTATTTTTAAACGAAAATGTGGTTAAAACTGTTTCGACCGCTAGAAAGTTCATTCGATATAGTAATCACAATCAATTTTTCACATATGTGCATTTGGATTTTAAGTAAAAATGAAGATTAACAAAATATGAGCAGAAAAAAATGTCTGATAAGTTGACAATAAGCACCCTTTCTTCCGTAGCCAACCTCATAGATAATAATGTTTGTACAAAAAAAACTTATATCTCTATCCCCATCGCCCATCTTCATACTGGATACATAAACCTTAACAAAAAAATCCTTATACAGAACGATAAATACACGGGTCGTCATGATGTTCGATAAAACATCTTTCTAAAATTCTTACAACCATTATTTCCCCATTAAAACATTGTAATGAGGTATATTCAACCAGCGGTGTCAATCAGATGTTGAAACTTAAAAATTATAAAATTATAAAATCTACTTCAAAATCGTCAATAACAATCTTTACAATTTTGCAGTTATATCAACATTTATTCAACTATTCCAGATGGAACACACTAGCGGCATGTTTTGCGATCTTAGATCTTCAGATACCAGTGAAGTCGTCTGATTTGTAATTTTAACGATTATGTCCTATTCCCATTTATTGCATTTTGATTGAGTGTGAATTCGCATGTCGGGTGATGCATGCATACTAACAATGTCATCGCACCAGGTCTCCTTCTTTTTGGAGTTCATGTGATTCACTCAGCTCTTGTTTGTAATCATGATTTACGATGTTTGAACATTGGTAAACTACTGGTGCCTTTATTTTATCCAAATATTTGATTGTGTTGCTGGTTTTGCTATTGGAAATCTCAATAACGATTTTATTTGTTTCAGTCATACCATGTAGTGTATGTTGTGTGAGTAGATTTGTATCTAGATTTATGATTTTTTTCTATTAGTATTTTATTCTATTTTGATAGTTTCTTTCAGTTGAAATGTCAAATCAGTTACGAAGCATTTCAATAGTTGCGCTAAATTAAACTATGGCCAACTATTCCTGGGGTACAAAGACCTTACTCTTCCGAATGAATTAAAAGTTAAAAAACAGTAAATTCTCATGAAATTGACTGTTTCAGTAACATTTATATGTCAGCAATAGAGTGTTGACTACTGGGGTGGTAATACCCCCGGGATGAAACGTCAGTCTGCAGTGCAATCGACTCAGTGATTCACAAAAGTCAAAAAAGATACCAGGCTTAAGATAACTTCGGATTTGTGTGCATCTATCTATTATGGCGATTGCTGAACTATGAAAAACATGCAAGATTTATTTGTTTGATTTCAGAAACTGTTGCTTACAAATAATGCTTTCAAAAAATGCAGTCGTAATTTTTGCAAAACTATCGCGTCGTGAATTGACAATAATAGAAATATTGCAAAAAATCAAAAATCTACTGAAATAAAGTTTTTACTAATGATCAATGAAAATATTGCAAATAATCAAAAATCTACTGAAATAAAGTTTTTAATAATGATCAATGAAAATAGTTTTATTTTAAGCAATTACAATATTGTTACTTAACAACAATAAAGGATATCATCAATATTACAAATAAGTTTCTGGTGTCTGTATTGATTGTCATCTAATTAATAGAAAAAATAGAAAGGTTCAGGGTAAAAAAACACAAATTTCAAAAGACACTCAGTCAATTTTATGTCTTTTTGTTTTACAACATAACATGATTATTTGTTTATTGCACGTTTGCCAATGTCACACCAGTTATTATACATATTAGGAGCTCATGTAGGGAATCCATATTTTGTCTTAAAGTCACGTTCAAAACATTGGCTCAGGTAACCAGGTCACTTTTAAGCAAATTTGAAAGCTACTGCAATCCACATAACTCATTTAAAAACATCTCAGGTCGCAAGGTTGCCCGCCAAAACACAATCACATGGGTCGGATTTGACCATATTGGAGCGACAAATAAAACATGGTTAAATAAGGAACAACTGCACGTAGTAAACGAACTAATCCATACCAACACGCCAGTTAACAATCATATAACGTACATGATGTTATACGGATTTTCATATCAAATTTCAAATCAATCTTCGATCAAACTCAATCTGCTTTTGGAAGTGATATTATATTCTGTAATCCTCAGTTTATATGTTTAAATATGCAGTTTTAAATATCGTGTTAGTCTCATTTAATCCATTTAAAAAGACGAGAATTAAGAGAGACCTTATATATATGTCATTTGGTTTAGATAAGTCTTTTTCCTAAATATTTTCAGTAGTGTCAAAATTTGTACACAAAACCAAGTTATCCAAAATGTTATTGTCATTTTCTCTTGCGTTTGCAAACTTATCTCTTGTTTGTTTTGATCAAGCTGTGCAGAACGACATTCGCAATCGGAATTTACATATTTCATATTATTCACTGTAAAGCTAGTTTGAAACAAAACTTAGTACAAAGTTATTTATATTAAAGCTAGTAGCATCTTAATAATGAAGGGTTTCGATATTGAGTTTTTATTTTATTTTCGTAATACAACATTAGTTGGGATAATTGCTTTTCAGTTTAGTCAATGTTACAATTTACATTTTAAATAATAGACATGCCTATATATATATCTCCAATATAAATTTCAACATCAATGAGGAAAGTAGTTTCCTACAATATTGCATACATATCGTGGTAAGTAGGTCATGCTTATTTCGTAATTTTGATATTGTCTTTGAGCTACTGTATTAGAATTTCAGTGGCGTAGCACCAGTGTAGTATTTAAGCATGTGCTTAAAAACAATTTAATAAAAAAATACTTTTGAACATGAATTTTAATATAATCGTTCAGCAACTGGGGGCTGCCACCCGCTAGACCCCCTGCTTACAATTTATTTTCAAAATGGCTACGCCACTGAATTTGATCCATTTTTATTTCTAGTTTGAAAAAAAAAGTTTGAAATAGGATTGTTTTATCATTGTCCTACTGAAAGGTTTTAAGTATGTTTGAAATTTCTGAAACTTTAATAAAAAAAGGTCTGTTTCTTATCTCAGAATTAAACACAAATCATTAATTTTTAATTTTTAATATGAAACAATTATCAATTGTCTATTATCCTGAATGTCATACTAGATCAGATTACTTTAAATGAGTTCAAATCAAATATTGACATAGTATTAACGAAGAAAACGATAATAATATATAAACATATGTCACATGCTGTGTTTGTTTAACACATTTTTCTAGATCTTTTGTCTGATTCTCTTCCCACACGAATTTAGCATTTGGGTTTAAATATTCCGAGTGTAGAATTTGAACGTATTTAAACAATATGTGAATGTAATGTATTTTTCTATGATTAAAACATTGATCAGATTAATTAATATTGCTGGATACACACATTAAACATTCTTCAAAAGATCTCAAGGTCAAGTATTTTATACGGGTAGTATGCAATGTGAAATACATGAACATTTTTCAAAATCGTTCATAAAATGGTACAATGAAATGTATAAAAGTTTGATATTAACTAGAAAACTGAAATGTCAGGAAGGGCTGCGCTTGTACATGTGTGTGAGGTACAGCAACACATTTTGAAAACGACTAGTTTGAAAATGGGAGCCGACAGTTTACAATCCAGGATTATAAACGAACGATAACAATCTAATTTGAATTAGGTATATCACGTGCTCCTCATTTTCGCTCGGTTGTTTATATGTCGCAAGAGAAACTAAATTTGTATGTATATAATAAGAAAATGTGGTATATTGCCAATGAGGCAACTCTCCATTAGAGACCGCAACTATAGGTCACCGTACGACCTTCAACAATGAGCATGCCCCATTCCACATAGTAAGCTATTAAATCCCCGAAATGAAAAATGTAAAACAATCCAAACGAGAAAACTGACACCCTGATTTATAATACAAAACAAGTAAACGATAACACAAATATGCGATATGATATACAGCAACAAACGGCAACCACTGAATTACAGGCTCCTGACTTGGGACAGGCACATACAGAATATGGAGGGATTGAACATGTTTGCGGGTGTCAAACCCTTATTTAACATGGGACAGTGATGTAACAGCACACCAAAAGAACAAACTATAATAAACAGCTGAAAAGGGCTTTACTTATCAGATCTATGCAAAGCACAAACACATTTAAGAAAAACACTGAGACACAAAGAAATTATCTGAGAGAACTCGCAATTACTGAAAGCTAGTTCAAAGCCAATAACAACTAATAAAAAAACCCACATGTATCTAAGACTATAAATTATAATATCAATCAGTACACACACAACATCCGAAGGTTTAAGTGTAAAGACGAAATTAACAGGTCAAAGATAAACATGATCTTGTGCAATGCCAAAATCAATGTATCGACCGTGAATGTTCATAGGTATATAGCAATAATATTAAGTTTCAAAAGAGAGGCAAAAGATACCAAAGGGACATTCAAACTCATTAGTCGAAAATAAACTGACAACGCCATGATTGAAACATTGGTTAAATGAGATATTGCTAGATACGCACATTGAACAGTTGTAAAAAATATTTTTGTCTAGCATTGTAAGTACAGGAAGTAGCCAAAAGGAAATACAGTCATGTGTCCTAAAATAACGTATTTCCGTTTATATTACAGATACGCACATTGATCAACTGTAAATAAATTCATCATAGATACCAGGATTAAATTTTTGTACACCAGACGCGTTTCTTCAATGCCCTTCAACTTCGTACTTTATTTGGCCTTTTTAACTGTTTTTATTTTAGCGTCACAAATGAGTCTTCCGTTGACGAAACACGCGTCTGAAGGATAAAATTTTAATCTTACGATTCATCTATGATGAGTTTATTTAATACATACAATCAAAAGGTGACGACAAGAAATAGTAATGTATGTATTTTTCAGCGTGCGTTTCCTACTTACAACAGAGGTGTGATTAAGAAATAGTCTCGGTATGGTTTGTTTTAATCAGCGTGAGTTTTCATAAGCAACAACCATTTTATCAATAGTACACCAAATCTATTTGTTTTAACAATTTTTAAACATTATTACAATGAATAGATGATGATCCTTTACACATTCATAGAATGGCACTTCTGACGCTTAAAATTTATGAAGTGTTATTTTCATATTTTTGTTGAATGTCAGAGGTCATCTTATTTAATTTTATCAGGAATTAGAAAATATATCACATAAACGTAATGTATAGGATTTGAAGCTTCGTTTATTAACATCATTACAGATTCCAATTTAATTTTTATTGAGGAGAAGACCAGTATACATCTAAGACTTAAATTTAGTTTATATACTTATGTACTTGTCAATTGATTCTTTAATGTAGATTATAATATCAAATGTCAAACTTGGTGCAATTCTTTTATCAGAAAATCTTTGTTGATGTTTATTCAAAAGACCACTGACGTTTTACGCAGTGTGTAATATTCTA